TCCCAAATGTCCTTTTAGCTAAAATGGTGGTCAATTCTACAGGCCCCAAAACAAACTCGGGTTTTATTAATACCATCACATATTTCTACAGTCCCCCCCCCCCCCCCCCCCCCAACCCCTATTTGCCGATATCACCGTATTTCCAAAAGACAAAGAGTGTTTAGGACGAAAGTGGTGACTATCTGCCAGGTTTGAATCCTGAGAGCCTTGCATGCGTTATAAAACCAAAAATAACGTCGGCGGGAAACTTTTGTACACAAATTCGGCAGGATTTATTTACATAATATCATCCTTGAGTTAGAAAATCGATTTACTTAGGGGTAGGTATCTCTAACATGGAGTCGATACGCCATCATAGCTTATTGGTTTTTGGAACTGGGGATACAAGTATAGGGAGGATTCGGTCTATGTAAAACACACTGTATTCTTATCCGCCATTATTCACCATAAGTCGTTGATCCGGGCATCTGAGCCTTGCGAGGTTGGGACACTGTCATGGACCGAGTATAGGAGTGTAGTAACTATAACCGCTACGCGACCAAAAGGTAAACGACATACGTAATCAGGACGAGATCCCGAGTCTTTACACTCGACTATAGTACTGTAACAGACACTCACTAGTGGCCAACCCTGAAAGTTACGAGACACAGGGAATTGCAAGACTAGCGGAAAATACAATTTGGAACCCTGAATCCTGCCTCTGGCGCAAATTGGTGACTGTCATGAATTAGGGCGGCTCTTGATTCTTCAGACGTCTTGTTATTCGAAGGATATTCCAATAACCTGGTCGCCGGTTCCCTCATGGTGGTTATTGTAGTAATGGCCAGAGAACTGCCGAGGCGTGGCCCCGGACTGCACTAGCTGTCCTATGGTTTGTGTGCCATTCCCCGAGAATATGTTGGCATGCGCCAGGAAGTTCGACGTCACCTTCAGCATGTCGGCGTCCGTCACTCTGGTCATGTTGGCGTTTCGTCCTAAATGTACACCTATCGTTTGTGTGCCGCCGCCCCTGTGGACGTTCCCTTTGAATTCTGTGAAGGGGCTGGGGTTCAGGAGATGGAAGGCATTCGTTTCTTGTGCCGTGTTGACAGCTGAGCCCTGAGTCATGGGAGCCGGCAGCTTTGTAGAATCCTCGGGATGCGGCATTCCTCGCATAGAGCTGTCGTCGGTCAGGCAGACTGCACTATCCTGCTTGGCGTCTCCTTCTGAAGATGTTGAACATGGCAAAGCTGTTATGTGTTGAGGTGTATTCCGTCCTGAGGTGTGGGATGATTTCTCATGGTTATTCTGGATCTGGTGGTAGATAGATGTCTGGGTATTCTCTTGTCCCCGCTTGTCGAGACGCTCCGCTACGGGTATTGTGACAGATGGTGTCACAGCAGTGCGGTGGCATTCTTGAACAGACAAGATTGTGTCCTGTTCCTTTTGATGTATGTCCTCGTCTCCCACTTGTTGCTCAGGAATGCACTGAAGTTTGGTCCAAATCTTATTTACCGTAGGGGTGATTTCCCCAAGCCTGTCGTCGTTGAGCTGGGATATATAGAGCGCCAAGGTGGTCTTTTGTCGTTCAAAGTCATTGAATATACTTTCGTATTTCTTTCTACTCCTTCTCTGGTTCTTAGGCAAATGTTCAAATGAGATACCTATTAACTGGTCGCCAGGTCCGTCATTTATGTTGCCTTCGTATTGGCCAGAGAATGCCATGGGAATCGCGCCGGGCCCAACTGCCTGGCCGATGACCTGATTGCCACGACCCTCAGCTGCAAAATGGTTGTTGCGAATCAATAAGTTTGCAGTAGCTGTCAACATAACCTCGTCGGTCACTCCGGGCATCGGCTGTCTGTTGACGACTCCCAAGTACTGGTTCCCCTCACCGCGATGCTCATTACCTTGCATCACTGCAAGTTTATGGCCTTGTTGATGACTAGACTGTCTATATGCACTCTCAGTGGATAGTTCTTCCTCAACAACCATGCCGTCGGAGTGATCTAACTTAGTTTCAAATGATCCTGAGTCTCTGGTGTAACAAGACTGATCGTGGGGATACTGTGATTGATTCATGTTGCTAGCTGCCGCATTGTACATCGCACCGCAGGGAACCTCGGCGTAGGGGTTGTCGTATTGTTGGGGATGGGTATTAGACGAACCATACCCACTATCCGTCGCTGGACGTGGCATCCAGTGTTGTTCACCTGGGCCGCCAGACGACTGGTTCTGTGTGTTCATGATGAGATACGGTAGGATGATAGGGATCTGTAGTAAAAACAAGAATGCAACAATACTGATGCCTGATGTAACACCATGTCCTCCTTCACTCTGCTTGGTTCGCTTATGCCATACAGGATAGGTGATCATACCCTCAAGGCATAATAACGAATCCTACACACTGCAGCCCTATCATGTTACAGGAAACATATTGCTCACGTGTCAACCAGTAGTCTTGCATGCTTACCATGAGCGTTATCCTGCCATTCAGAAGCCTCATCTCCTCTACAGGCTGAGGCAACTGCCTAAGATTGGTTTCGCCTACGGTAGCCTGCTGAGCTGAATGTAACATCTATTTCAATAGTTATATCTGATGCTAGCAGGTAGCGTTCTGAATCTAGCCTGTAGGTAACATTGTACATTAACATTGTTAGGGGCCTTTATGCCGCTACATGTCGGGTCCATTCATGTATGTTGAAACGTTATATTCTTAAGACAGCCTCAGTAAATTATACAGCTTCTTTGTAATATCGTTTTGACACCACTTCTTCTGGTTTGAAACCATAGATTCTACTACGTAACGCCTCAAGTGGTGCGAAAAGATGGTAACTGATTAATATTTCCCTTAGAGAACTTGATATGGTATGTTATCACCCCATTATACTGTCAGCAGAGAGATTCCCCAAAGTTTTTGCTGCCGTGTTACCACTTAAGTAGAGGATAAAGTAGCGTAGCTGGTCGTTGAGTTTCTGAACACTCTTTGCATGTGAATTATATCTGTCAGGGGTAATAGTGCTATAGACCCTTGGGGGTGGCTAGGTATGTTAGACCTACTGACTATATAAAGGGGTGTTAGAATCTCCTTGAATAGATGAGAGGTTTAGAAATCAATGAAGATTGAGCGCTACGCTATACCCCTTTGCCTACCTACCTCGCTGTGACTGGCCTTCTACTCACTCCGGGACACCAACACCTGACACTATCCCACTTGAAAACGAAATCGGATTCCATCCTCGCCAGGTATTGAAAAGGGGAGAGAAAGCTAAACAATCATGGTATAAATTAGCTACTATCTTGGAACTATGCTACAATCGTCGTTGTCAGGCGACTCTGAGTCCGTATCTAGGCAACAGAGACGGCCGATTCTGCCCAATCCCATATTCTCTCATAATTCAAACCACGGCCGCAATCAAAATATTGGGAAGAATAATGTCGCCGAACGTGTTGATGTCCAGGACCGCAGCATCAGACAGCGAATTCACCTGCAGCAACCTAGCGCCCTAGCCTTGGTGGCTCTTGTAGCCGTTACGCTAGGGATTGTAGGTTTGGGACTTGGACTCGGGTTAGGATTGGGATTGAGGCAAGACGCGAGGGCCGTGATCTTCCAGAATGTGCTATCGTTACATATATACATTCTTCAGTATCTAATTACATATAGCACTCCTATCCAGCCACCCTGACAAGCTTAGCTTTACCAAGCGACCCAAGTCGGTAGATCCATCTGCCAGTATACCTTTCTCGTCCATATCTCGGAGCAACCTGTCGATATATTCCCCCGCTGCCGAGAGGTGGAGAATATGCGCAATAGCACGATGAACGGCCAAAAGCCGGAACGAGGGAGGGTCGATTGTCCGGGTATCAGTAAGGTAGAATGTACGGGTAATAGGTAGGCCTAGAGTCTTAGAGACGGACGGATGTAGAAATGAGTTGACACGATAGGTATGTGATTGCGGTTCATCTTGAACAGGCTCAAAGAAAATCTTGAAATCGCTAAAAAATAAATGGAGTTGGTGGGTAAGAGTGAGTGCGTTGCGTAGCCGGTCAATATCGGTGCCTTCTATCAGATGCGTAACTCCATGATCGAACATATTAAGGACTGCGAGCGCAGCTGCTCTAGCACTGTCCTAAAGATAGGTTAGCTATAAAAGAGGTAATTGTAGGGGAACAAAACTTACTAATTCGTGGTTTGCATTGACCTTTGTCAGAGAGTGTGGAAGTATATGGGCTACTTCCAATGAATCAAGCGGCTCTCCTTCCAATAAATTCCCATCGTCATCTCGAGCGTTATCATCGTCACGATTAAAGCGGTTCGTTGCTTCATGCACATCAAATTTCCGCGATACTATACAACGATAGCGGTCCCGGAGAAGGCATTCGCCCCGCAGAGCCGATACTCGGGCTGGAGTTCCCACGAAACCGTGCGCCACTCCTTGGACCTCCTGGACTGCGGAATGGTAAGTCGGTGTGGGTTGGGGCGTCTTTTTAGTGGAAGCTTTCACTAACAAGTCTTAGCAATGACTAAGAAACGGGAGTAGACATTTATAGATAGGGTCTAACGAGGCAAAAAGAAGTTATCTAAAAGAGAATCCGCGAAGCCAAAGAATTTCGGTCGGAGCTCGTCGAAGTCGAAGTCGTCATCATCGTCTAGCGAGAGTGTCATAGCCTGAAAGAAGGCCCGCAATAGATTGTCCTGGGATTGTTCGGAAAGTGCGTACTGGTAGGTGAAGCGGATGAGTTGAGAGCGATGGTAAGGACTACGGTTGCTAGGATCATCATCAGTGTTAAAATAGTCAACGATACAGTTGAATCTATCCTTAGCAACGGAGCGCTGCTCTGTCCTTAAAGGTGGCTCTGTAGAGAAATCGATGATGCCTTCGAGAGACGATTGATGGCGGTGAAGAGGCGATGGGGGGACCATGATGTTTTATCACGTCGAAACCGAAAAGCAGCAAAGATTGAAACGAAGATGGAAACGAAGATGGCGACCGCAGTGCTGTAAACAGGATCCGACCTGGTAAAGAGATGGTGACCGGGATCCACTTGTTGCGCCGCGTTAAGTGATTACCTAGGTAGCGACGTGGGTACCCCTCTACAGGTAAATAGTAGGCTTGGGTAGCGTGAGGACGCTCTCACACCAATGGTTACCAGAGGTTTTCTCTACGACGGACGATATGGACGCCTTGCGGTAGAAATTAGGATTATAGTCAATAATTCCAACTCGTCGCCAGAGATCTGCCCAATCGAATCATGTCTAGGGGAATGCCCACACTGATGGTCATTATGCTCGGCTCTTATTAACTACCTACCTACCTACCATCATCTGCATCTGAGGAGTAAAATTATCCATACATTCAGTATGGTATGACACGTTTCTGACGAAGTTCCCTGGGTGTAAGACATCATCATCTCGATGCCTTACTTAAATAGTCTTCCGTCTTCCCCACAGGCTTATCTTACCTTAGTGAGCGCCGAGTAATAGCTACGACCACGTGTGAGGTGGATTGACCGCGTGTCGTTGAGTTTCCCTGTTCCACAACTCTTCACTCAATCACCTTCATTCCGATCGCCGTCCTTAGGATGCAACAAGTCATTCCTCGCCTTGTAAATCCTAGCAGCCGCGTCGGCGCCAATACATAATCGAGGATCAAATTTCGCTAGCCCAGGCTCGCCCTCAGCACCGCCCATATTCGCCAGGGCGGCCAGACCCATGTACGCGTGATACACGTCCGGCGGTCCGTCAGGGTACTTCGCGAAGCCGCCGATGAGATGCTGCGTCTTCTCCAAGATAAACCGTCGCGCGGGGCCGCGGCTGACTAGATTATTTTCCCCGAGGAGTGAAAGCGCGCCGCTATTCCACCATGTATAGCATGTGTCGGGAAGCTTGTTCAGACGGCCGTTGAAGCCAGCCAGCTGGGGTTCGAGATCAGGTGAACAAAGATTAGGAGTCTCATGATCTGTTGTAGCTCCGTTGTCATCATCATCGTCGTCAGCGCTCGGATCTAAGACCATGAACTGTCGGCTGGCGAGAAAGTGGATCAAGGCGGGTATGGAAGGTATGCCTGCTTGAACGAAGCTATTCGGGGCTGGAGAGGGGCCGGGACCAGCAGAGTCGAGGAGTGCTAGCGCCGCTATGGCGCAGTAAGCGTAGCCACCTGGTTTGTTGCACAAACGAATTGGTCAGCTTTGTTGCTGTGATCATGGCACGACAATATACACGAGACTAGAAGATGTGGATAATGGAAATGGTATTCGCGTACTATGACTTTCATGTGTAGAACTCTCGCTCATGCCTCCGTCAAAGGTCTGCGCGCGGCGGATATGTCCCACCAGCGCATCGACATTGAAATCGAGGGACTTGTCGCCCTCGCCGCCTCCCAGAGCCCAGCGGATGATGGCGGCAATGTAGCAATACCTCATGTCTCTGCCCCCGGAGATGCGACCGTCGTCGGTCAGTACTTCGCCGAAACTCCCGTCTTCCCTCTGCAACTTCTTCAACCATGTCAGGGTGCGAACCCTGTCGACGCGGCTGAAAGCATCGGACCCATCTCCATCGGCGAGGACACCCAGACACAGCAGCGCGAAGCCGGTGGCTGCTATGTTGGCGTTGGCGGGATCACGGGCAACATAGGTCTGAGAGTCGGCGTCAAATCTGCTCGTGAGGCCGTCGGGGAGAACATGGTGCGGTGAGCCGCAGAAGCCGCCATGAGGATGCTGGTGCCGGAGGACCCAGGCGCGCAGGTTTGGACGGTCTTCGGGTGGGATGAGGGGCGTTGGAGAAGACGGAGACAAGAGGTCGAGGGCGGAGAGGATGAAGAAGCCGAGGGTCAGACGGATGCTGTCGTTACTCGTGTAGTGGTGAGGGAGGCCCGAGCGGAAGCAGCGCTGCCAGTACCGGACATGGCGAGCCGTGTCGAGCGGCGGATCGAGGGGCACCGCGGCCGTGGCCATGGTGGTCGCGCGATGTCGGTGGGGACACTAGAAATTGGGGTTTGAGAGGAACGGATAACTCTAAACCATCTATCTGTTTGTCACCTGGGTATCATTTGGAGAGAACTGGGACTCCGAGGAGAGGAGAGGTTCTAGGGAATGAGATGTGATGTCAAAGACGAAAGACTCGGCATAAAGAAGAGAGAGGTCGTTGCTAAGGGACTTCACAGCTTGTAACCCCACGATGTGTGCCAGGCTTGGAGAGAATCAGAGCACCCACTATATTTATGGCGGGGTATTGCCTGATCGTGGGGATCGGTAGTGGAGATGGGTAGTGGGGGTCCCGCCCTCTGGGCAGGGCAGACAGGGGTACGTCACAGGACAACCAGCCAATGCTTCAGGGTCCTCCTTGTCTCCCGTCGCATTACTTACGCTGCGTCACCCCTCGATCCTACCAAGGACTTGTCTATTTTAATTAAAGCATTGGCTTCCGTCCGTTCTTTTGTAACCTGGATTCCGAGGGTAACTTGGGTAAGTATTTATAGGATGTAACTACAGTGTACAAGTATGCTGTAAGTAGGCAGGCAGGCAGGCACCTGATGTGACATGGTGTGTTTGGACACAAAAAGATACTTTAATTACTCAGGCGGCAGGCATGAATGAATGAAAATGTGACCTTGTTGCTTCTGCCTGCCAACACATCACCACGCATTTATGGGCTGAAACCTCCAACTCCAAGCTAAAATTGTAGATCGGCCTCCTACTCACATGCCACATATCCTTTCATTCAAAGTACCAACGACGTGTCTGTTGCCTTGAATCTATCTCAACGCGCGAACTCACACGACAGTTCATCTCTCTCTTTATCTAAACCACCTGTGCCCCCTAGATTCCCAGGTTCTCTAGACGCCTGTCTTCATCCCGTGCAACAACGGGAGAATGCATCTAATGCTGACGGCTCATGGCCTCGAAACGTCGTAGCACCATCGCTTCCAGATCCCAGTCAAGTCTATCTCAATCAAGGAGGGCGTACCGGACTTTACCGCCATCGCCGTCATCATGGCCCTCATCTCAGCGAGCACGATCCTGACATCGCTGTGTCTGTTCCACATCACGCTCGCCTACTTCTTCTACACCAATCCACAGACCATCGCCGACCAGGCATTAGTCTATGTCCTGGGGGAGGCCACGGGCATGGTACGTGCAACCTTACTTAGTCACGATGGTAGATGCTATACTAACATATCCGTCCCACAGCCCCAGACGCAATACTTCTCCACGCCCTCCCCAACAGCCTCCTTCCTCGCCGTCATCCTCTTCGTCCTCGGCCTCTCCGACCTCATAACCCTCTCCATGCCGCAGGAGATCTGGCTAGTGCATTACTGGGGTTCCCAAGCCCCCGCCCGCATCATACTCTTCGCCGCCCTGACATTGTTCACGTACACCACTGCGCCCTCGACGTTGTCGGTTTCCTCGGCGCGTGCCTATGGGACTGCGAGCGGGAGCGAGGGGTTAAGGAATAGAGTCTTCTTCGCGTTTAGCTTGCTCGAGTGCATTAGTTGGTTCTGGGCTTGGGTCACGCTGAGGGAGGAGACGGCTGCGTTTACGGCGAGGAAACGGAGGCGCAGTGGGAGTTATGTTCGGGAGAGATCGTAGAAAGCCTTAGTTTATGATGCGTTGCATTTTGGCGGTTTATTTTTGTTTTGTTTTGGTTTGGCGATTTATATATGGTTCGAAGCTACATGGAGCATGGCATGGGTATGGGAATAGTCCAGCTGCCTCAAATTATCGTGGGATGAGGTGATGGCGCATCGCATCAGACTGCAGGGGTCGGTCGAGCTGCATTATGGGTAGGTATGGTGCATCCGCATTTACGGCACAGCATTGAGAACGAGATTTTCGTATTAGTAACTATTCCCCTTGCGAGTAAGATTTTTTGTTATGCATGGGTATCAGGGTATATAGTACAGACAAGACTGCTTTATATGAGATGTTCAAAGATACCCTAAATTTCATTTTCTGATTGAGTGCTTCCTTGTCTCCTTATAGCTGTTGTCATCAACTCATCCACCGGTTTTATCACTTATTGAACTTATTCTCACATCCGCCTCTCATTTGCATATGGACTCTTCCCCTCCTTGCTTATATTATCTCATATCATGTCACGTTACTAAAAAAACATTTGAACGACTGAGGCAGGAATTTACCTCTCCATCCCTCTCGCTCATTCACATACTCAGGTTATCTCACCCAATATCCTTACTCAACTCACCACCTCCCAACTCAAGTACACAATGTATTTTACGCATTTCTTACATCTTCAATAACACAGCCTTGCTTAGACCATCCGCTTTAACATATCATCTTCATTACCCTTACCCCTCACACTCACACAATATTTATGTTGAGGTCGACAATCTAGTTGGCCAAGTTGGTACGCGCCTTGCGTGATAGATTCATATGTATGCGGCGAAAGCGCAGTACGGCCTATGCTTCCTAGTACTTTAACATTCGGGGGTTTAATTCCCTTGCTGGCCCATGTTTTTCTTCTTTTTTCTCCTTCATGCTCTTTCCTATATCATTCTTTGCATGGATATCTATGGTACTATTACGTATCTAGGATGAATGGTAGAGAATGAAAAATATAGTAAGCTATAATCGTAGAGAAGAAGGCACGCGGACAGATCCTTGCACTAAATTGAGACTCCTGTACACTTGTATAATGTAGGTAGGTAGATAAGATACCGGTAGGTAATTCCAGTCGAAATGATGGTATCGCCTATCCTTACCTCCTTGCAACCTATCTCTACTTGCATACTCTCTAGCTAACACGTAGGACGCATGTATGCTTTCTTTCAATCAAATGCTTTTGTCGAATGCTCTTCAATCAAACCTTACCGCCCCCCACCCCTTGACCACATCCCGCCACGAATCAGCGACATCCACGGCCCAGATCTCACGCGCATCAGACGGTATAAAACCGCCCAATTTCTCAGCGACATCCCGTTTAAATACCCCAGTATTTTCCCTATAATTGTTTTGGTCTTCCGCATGCGAAGCCACGGCATTATCCCCGAAGACCCATTCTTCTAAACGATCGACCCAACCGCTGGCATGCACGTTCTCGTTCAGCTTCTTGAGCCGCTCTTTCATGTGTGTGTCCGCGGATGAAGCTGCGGTGGAAAGTTTCTTCGTCTCGGCGGAGATGAAAGCGAGTTCGCTCGTGTTTCGCGTTTTATCTACTGCTTTCTGTCGTTCTAGCGCTGTCGAGATATACCCCACCGCGGCCTTGACGGCGAAGGCGGACTCGCGCAGCATGCCCATAGCATGCAGGGCTGCGACGCCGTGGAGAGTGTGCATTCTTGCCGGGATGCCGTCTGGCACTGCGAGGAAGTCTTGCGTTTGGTAGTCGATGATGCTAAGGATGCGCCGCGCAATCGCGAGGATGTCCTCTCGTGCCGTCTTGGCTGAGGACGTCGGGAGAAGGCCCGCGGCGGCTTCGAGGATGAGTTTCACGAGCTTCGTGAGCTCGGTTACTATTCTAAAGTACCAAGTCTCTGGGCCCGTAAGGTTATGTTCGTCGCAGCCTTCGCTGAAGATAAGGGTGTCTAGGTTGTTATGGAGAGCTCCTAGTGATGATATAGCAGCGTGCCAGTCCGCGAGGAGGAGCTGGCTAGCCTTGGAGGGTTTGAATTCCTTGGGCTGTACATAACTGACTAGATCAAGAAAGCGCTCGGCTAGGATGCTTAGATGGCAGCGGCGGTTCTGGGATAAGTTCAGTTGAGTGAGGGTTTCACGAGAGGGGTATGGGATGAACTAACTGTAGGTAGAGGTCCGTAGGCAGCAAGCTCTTGGATAGGAGATGATTGGGGTCCTGCCCATTGTGGCAAGGGAGCGTAATCGGTGAAATCTTGAAGCTCGAATTCAGGAGATAGAGATCCTAGTACTGGTTAGCCTTCACCTCAACTTGGGATGAGCTACGGAGCCAGTGATAGCGGGATAGCAACACGTACCAATGAGAGGCTCTTCTTGAATGGGGTTTTCATTCCGGTTGGCTTTGAGACGCTGCCCACGGCGAAGCTCCACCACAGCCAATACCTGGACACAGTTGCGACTCTGGTTCTGTGCAAGCTGTATGATATTAGGGATTTCCGCATAGCTACCGTTTTGCAAGGTTTTGGTCACAATGTCCGGGTATCTCTTCTGAAGAGCCGTCTCAAAGTGGCGTATAAAGGGATCTGCGAAAGCGCGAGAAGAGTTAGGGCCTGTCATGAAATGACTAGGCGAAATAGAAGCGAGGCGGTCGAGGCAAATCGTTCCCAGGCATTCAAGTAGAGTATTTTTAACATCAAAGGAGCCCCAGACGTGCAATGCCCGCGTCACGCATCCCATCTTGAGATACAGCTTGACGAGCAGCATACGTAGCGAGTTGTTCTTGGGTGTTTTCCTCAGATAAAAGTCGAGCCAGATAACTGCCTGCAGGTAGAGTTGAATGTCGGTATGGTATAATGGAGATTCCTTCATATACTGCCAATTCTTGTGACCTGCTTCGGCAAGCTTGATCAGGCATATGGAACCTAGAACGGCGAGGTTTGAGAGAGGGTCTTCAGTCTCATCGGCGGCTTTCCGCGAAATATTTTCGTCTCTCACTCCTGTGCTAAAAGATTCGAGCGCACATTTTGCGATACTCTTAAGACAGGTCTCGCAATCTGCACTATTGGTAGCCACAGTGTGGTCAAACCTGCACTCCTCGCCAATCTGTAGCGACGTCGCTTGGAAGAACCTGACCCTCAGCCTAAGGGCGATCAGAATCAAGTTGTCGAATGAGGTAAGACCCTGGAGACGTCAGATTTATTCCGGTTACAGGGCGTGCTCACTCACCTCGGCGTCTTCGGTATGCTCAGTTCCCAGAGCCTCAACGAATTGAGCAAGGTCTTCTTTACTAAGGACTTCTAGATATCCCTTGAGCGTAGTGAAGCAAGAGGAGCCTTTCATATACTTCTTGGCGAATTTGAGAAGACATTGAATCTTGTCGATCTGCTTCAACTCGCCTTGGGATGATCCTGTGAATATGGCGGCCAGCTCAAACTCTATCTCGAGCAGTATTTGGTCGTAATTCTGTTCATAAACTGGGTTGGCGTACTCATTTCTGGTGAGAACGCGAAAGACTTTCGTAATCTTGTCGAGGAACACGTTCAAACTTCTTATAGGAAGCCAAGTCAGCTTCTCAGTCGTGCATCCTCTCCTCTTGGTGGTACTCACTGCGCTCTCTGTGGTAACTTCCGGGTGGCGTTCAAGGCACTCGTCCAAAGCAACCATTCACGCGAAGCCATTATGTATTGCTTTCTAACGGCGGCTTCGGGAGCATCGCTGGGTGTTGATATTGTGGTGCTGTCAAGTTGTTGAGGGACAGTAAATGCCTCGTCTTCCTCATCTCCTTGACCACTCGTGTGATTTCCAATCTTGATGACCTTGTCAAAGATAGTGTCTACGATTCGATAAACCTCCTCCCACTGTTTGTTGGTGGTTAGAAGTCGTATGCTCAGTAGAAAGGCGTCAGTGAACCCGCGCTCAAGGAAGAGCAATGGGCCCCAATTAGGCAGTGAAAGAAGCTTCAGATTCTCTTCAGGTGATCCAAATTTCTCACGAATACCAATCCAAAGATTGACTTCATCCTCTCTGATATCTATTTGACTAGGCGGCACCTGTTCTTTGCCGGTCTACTACTATTAGTCTGGCAATGTCTTATGATGTTCGTGGCACCTAGACTACTTACTGGGGGGCGTAAATTGAAGGCTCTATCAATTTGAGCTTTTGCTAGGTTAGCGAATAACTTTTTCTTATTCTCATTGGCGTGATCGGATGTCTGGTCAGGTGTCAGGAGACCAATACATCTTCAAAAGGAGACAGCGCTTACTGCAACGAGGAATGTAGCCAAGATATTCTGGAATAGGAGGCTACGGTCTCCCGGAAAGTTTTTATTTAGTGATACGGCAATCTTCACGCTGTTAGTCTGGAGCATGGCAGCCATCGGTTTTGAGCTTAAGAGAGTACCTCTTGCGCGTTGTCCCAATCCGAATTCCACATGCAAGCATCTAGACATTTGAGGCTGGCACTTCGATCTTTAGGAAGAGCCTTGACGAGCCTGGATCGAAGTACTCCAATCGTCTTAGCATAGTCCATCGAGAGCCCGTCAATGGCAAACTCATATAGGTCTAAGGTATCGACGTCCTTGATAATTACATTATCGTCGATCATGGTCTGCACAGTCTCTCTGCCGACGGTGATGTCTGCGGCATTGTCGCCACGAGACCTTGCAGCAATCTCTATTGCCTGGTAGTGATGGTTAGCCTTTCGTACCACCTCAAGTCTACACGTTTGAGATGTCCCCAGACCCTCATGGTCTTTTCGTTTTAGACATCGAATAGTTCTTTGACATGTAATCTTGATGCGTGGCAAAAAGTGTTACATCCAAGACGCTGCGATGTGAGGTGCTGACGAAGCAGAAGTGGAATCTAGGGCACAGCAGCAGAAGAGGCATCTTCTGAATGAAACAGAAACAGAGAGCAAGGGGAGGGGAGAAAAGACGTGAGAGCATGAAGCAGCACACGCGAACAGGGGAGTGAGCGCTCACTTTATAATAGTCGTCTTTAGTAGCCTTGTGGCGCTGTCGCGCAAGAGTGGCAGCAATGGTCCACTGTTCTTCATGAAACGAACGATCGAGCTGAATATCGACGCTATGCTTGAGCTGTGCCGCACGACATAGAGGCAGAATCCTCGGCGGCGTCATTGTGCTAGGCGAGATGTCGGCAGGGTTGAGGATGCTATATAGCTAGCATGGGCAATGTCAAGGGCGAGGGTTGCTGGAATTGGAAGTCGGTTGGTGTGAGCTTGGATGGATTGATAGCTGCAGCATGGGTACATGCAGACTATGTACAGCGACGACGGCGACGACAACGACCAGCACAACCCTTGTAGTAGGCCGCCTGGTAAATTATTTTATGCAGCAGAAGCGGCACCAGTGCAAGCAGTACTCTCGTAGTCACGGCCGTGAAGCTATGACGATCCTGATGCTTAAATACACTCCTGAAGACTGGCAAGCTTGACTTCACAACTCAGCTCATATGCGCTGCAAGAACCCCACATGCCTATACGACTTAGTTGAGGCAAGAGTCCAGGTCAGGTAGCAGAGAATGTATGTAATCACACCTTGTGATATGGACTGCACTGCTTGAGATCCCCTTTCTCGACTCTTGATCGACACAGGTATTCCGTATTCTATGGTGGGGTGAGTTTCTGCCACCGGTAACCGTCACGGTTTGCCATCTCGAATGTCTTTAAGTGGCAGGCGGTGAGAGAAGCTCTGCAGGTATCCGAGATGGCGGCTATCTGTGGAGAGAACCCAGCATGTGGGGTAGTTGAGTGGTAGTGCTAAAGTCAATGAGTGAATTGCTCACTTCATTCATACAACTTGCTCTCCCAGGCCTCGGTTCGCCCTCGTTAGTGCCATGTTTCCATCTTGAGGATCGCGAGTTGTTTTCGAGTAGCATAAGGTCACACTATACACTGGGACTCTCGCTCAGCTTTCTATGTTACAGAATGCCCAGGCATTCATACTCAGTCGCATAATATACATATTTCTGTTACAAGGACATTATAAGCCTGCGTTTCTCCCAATCAACCTTCTCCCTCAGGCTCCGTCTCCTTCCACGAGCGCTGTCCGATGTCGGCGGTTTATTGCGCGTGTCGTTCATGTATCCTGTTAATAGAGGTGTTGTCTTCTCTAGCGAAGGCTGTCGGATTTGTCGGGGTTGATTTTATTGTTGTTGTATAAGTATGGGATCGCTTAAGAGAAGAAACTACTTTTCTTCCTCTCTTCCTTGCGCTTGTCCATCTGGAGTGGCCAGGTGTCAGAATAAACTTGTATAAGACGATTTGACATGGCGTAGCGTGCTGATGCTCACCCATTGTTTTTTGCACTCTCGATACGCCCTATTCGAGGTCCTATATCAGCGTCCGTTGACTCTTTATATTTCCCATCTTCAACCACATTCTAGGAAGACAAGACAAGACCCCTTGTTCGTTATGCGCCAAGTACCCTCATAGCGCAGTCGCGAGGGCAGGGCGAATCCAAAAGGCCAAAGGCACTCACTCGAAGTAGTCGGTACACATAGTTCGGTCGCCTCCGTTACGGTTGAGACATCGTATACTCCTGGTCGCAGCTTCCTGGCATGGGTCGAAGTATTCGGACTTGGATTTGCTAGGTGGCGGCAAAGAACGAGTCAGCCGGGGGGTCAGGTAGCATAGGTACAGAGTGTGGGTAGTAATGCGCACGTTTGGAACTTGCGCCGTGTCTCTTTATCCCAAGGGTCGGGCTTCGAGCCGTCAGAACCGTCAGCTGGTGTAGACATGGCGGGCCACCAAACGCGCCTAGGTGAACGCAGATGATTTTCCAAATGATGGACAAAGCAAGCACACGGCTAAAGTTGCTGGACTGGCTAGATGGGAGGTTGCTTAGGTAAGCTTGAGTAGGTAATCTACCTCGACAGGGCCTCCGATACGCGATAAGATAGTGCAGGCAGATCTGATAAGAGGAGTTACATCATCACATGTCCACCTTACCCTGGGCACACTCTATGTACTATCATGTAAGGATATGAAGTTTTCCTGGCTCTGTATTTGCGGACCCATGTAAAGGCATGGGTAGTTTGCCACGGTATCTCGTTATGCTCGAACCACCGAAGACTACGATTTTATGCAAGTATCTCGACTTCATCGCGGTGGGGCGAGATGCTAGCGCCCAAAAAGGACCTGACAAGGCACACTTTACCCAACATAAGGGAGTAAGTAAAGTAAGGACTTGCCTCTCTTGTAACCATTTCGGAGTCGATATGTAAGTATATCCATCAATATCAAGTGCCCCTTCTACCCAGGATCATATCATGGCCAGACATCTGACTAGAAAAGTCTCTACCGGCTCCTTTTTAGGCGACTTAGACGAGGCATAGATAAAGCAAGATACCATGTGGCCTATGCCTTGTGATACTGCGAGCCCCAAGTATCACAGATCATTTGAGGTTTTGCAGTGCCTACCGAGCCCTACCTAGGTGAAGAATACCACCTTCCTGCCTTTGGATGATAACTTCCCCAAATTCCCATTACAAATAGGCATAGTTCCTATGGTTCTGCTATGGTCCAAGTCTGGGCGACTTACTCCACACGAAAAACGTGCCTGAGTCTGGAACGCTTCCGTAACTCCACGTAAGTTCAACCCCGGCGCTAGGTAGCTGCTAAGCCACACTGGCCAGGCTGGTGTCTTACTTGGGTACATGTACTTGGTACATGTCTAAATAACAAAGCTACAGAGTCTAGGTGTATTTCACGATGAAGCGTGTGATCTGCGCCGACGACCCTTTTCTAAGGCAACATCAACGTAGATGGTTGTGAAGCTGGCAAATACACAATGATAAATAGGTCAGACTGACGAGCAAGCTACGTACCTGGCCCGGTACTTACTGACGTAGTAGATATATGGTGTGCCTGATCCGATTTGCAGCTGCAATGTACATGCACATACATAAAGCTTGCATATGTTGGGTGAGCACTGGATGTAGATCTCTGGCAGATAAAATGTATTATATCAGGTATCCAGTACAGGGTAGAGACAGGGATGGCACCCGACGGTGCGATGCTTGATCAAGGCTTGACCGGGCTTGACCAGGCTTGACTATTGTTGGACCCGACTTGGACCCGACTTGATAGGGCAGAGAGGGCAGAGAGGGCCGCTATCACGTTTATTACGTAGCTGTAACAGTGGAGCAGGCCTTGGCACCGAATCGGGAGGTCGCCAATTCATCCATCAGATCCATCTTTGATTGAAACCTCTCTGGCAGACTCTGGCAGACTCGGGCGAGCACTGATGTGTCAAGCCTGGATTGCTCGGTTGGGCGATGGATCCCCTGTCCATTGATTAATCTATCTCCCTTCGTTATGATGTAGGATCCTCACTCAGTTAGTTGTGCTACGACACCATCGAGACAGCCATCCGGGAACTCGTCGTCGTCGTCTACTGGTCGTGGTCCTGGTCCCTGGTCGTTGGTCGTGGTCGTTGGTCCTCCCACCCAAGCCAAGGTTACGCAAGTTCTCTCTTCCGCACCTCGTTGCTCTCATTGTTCGCTCCTCTCTCCCTTCTATCCGCCAATCCGTACCTGTCTACCCGAACCTCAGTACTAATGCTACATTTCAACTTCCACCGCAGTATCTGTCTTACATTCAGGAGTATTGGCAGTGCTGGACAGCCCTTAACCCTTGAGCGCTTGTCATCGATTACTCTGGCCATGGTGGTGTTTCAAAACGAATCCTCTTGGCCGTCATCGTCGTCATCGTCTGGCGTTTAGGCATCTCTACATCTCACTTAGTGATATAACTTACCTTGTGATTTGCCGCAAAAATGGCCGCCACTACCACCAACGCCTTCACCGGCAATACGTCCATTCTACGTCGACGGAGGGCTTTCGATACTCGCCCTCTTTATACAACTATTTTTATCTTTACTTTTCTTGCTGTATATTCACTTGTGATTAAGAAACATTATACCACATACGCGTCTGCATCTGCACCTGCACCTGCACCTGCCCCTTTATCTGCATCGACGCGATATCGCCATGATCAGCGAAGCTTGGCCTCCTTGTCCGACGAGGATTGTCGCTTGGTCCACTACGCACCCGATCAGTGCGCCTTTGTCAAGCGCAACTGTCGCGACGAAGAAGCTGGCCTTGTCGAGTATCTGACCTTCTACTACTGCAGCCTCGGCCGCGTGCAGCCCTTGGCATTTATTATCTTGGTCCTCTGGCTTGGCCTGCTCTTTACCACCATCGGCATCGCTGCAAGTGACTTTTTCAGCGTCAACCTCAGCACCATCTCTACCTTTCTCGGACTGAGCGAGAGCTTGGCCGGTGTGACCTTCCTGGCCTTCGGAAATGGCTCGCCCGACGTCTTTAGTACCTTTGCCGCCATGGGCTCCAACAGTGGGAGTATGGCTGTTGGTGAGCTGATAGGTGCCGCTGGCTTCATCACCACCGTCGTCGCCGGCTCCATGGCTTTGGTCCGTGAATTTAGGGTCGCCAGGAAGACTTTTATCAGAGACATTTGCTTTTTCATAATCGCCGTGGGTTTTGCAGTGGGTTTTCTCATCGACGGACAACTGCACTTTGCCGAGTGTCTGGTCATGATTGGCTTCTATGTTTTCTATGTAGCTGTCGTCGTCGGCTGGCATGCCTACACCAAGAAGCGCAGTGCCCGGAGAGCCAAGGAAGCCGCTGCTCGGGCTCATTTCTATAGAACTACCGGTGACTCTGGCAATGATGAACTAGAACCTTACCGAGATGCGCCCGACGATGATGAGCCTTCCACGACACGATCTGGATCTGCCCCTATAGATATAGAGGCGTTAGAGCGAACCCCCTTGATTGAAATCGGAAGTACTGATGGAGATGGAGATGATCACTCAGACCAGAACCAACATGTTGCTGCCGAAGTAACAAGTAGCATGCGAGTCAACCGGCCGAGAGGACGACGTAGCAATACGACCATCACCCCAATTCGCCCAAGTCTGGTCGGTGCACTCGAATTCAGGTCGATATTGGCATCCCTGCAGAGGGAAGGAAATGTGCGCATGAGGCCGATCCATACTCGTACCTATTCAACCATTAGCCATCTGCATGTCACTCCTCATTCAGCAGCTCAGGAACACGCTCTGCTGTCTCCTAGTACAGACGATGGCGAAACATCTCAGGCAACCAGAAATCGCGCCCTCTCTTCAGGCGATATGCCAGTAGCAATCGACCAAGATATAGCGCAGCGGCAATTGGCACCACCTCATACTATAGGTGGTAGATTGGCCCCTCCTCCTTTGAATGACAGATTGTCCGAGACCTCTTCCCTCGACAATGAGTCTGAGTTTTTGACACCTACATTGTATCAGCCACGTACAAGCCCCTCCAATAGTGAGAGATCAACACCACAACTATCTCCTTTCCCCGACTACACGGATTCGCCCCTTGTAATGACCCCAACACAGCCGCCGTCATTCCTAACTCTCCCGTCCCCTGTTGTAGAGCCTCCCTCAACGTCTTCAAGCCTGACAGGGCCCACGGGCCCCAAACCTGTGAAATGGTGGCCTTATGGCGTTTTGCCCCCGCCACACATAATGTTGAGCACTCTCTTCCCTACGTTGCAATCATGGCGCACCAAATCAATTTGGGATAAATTCCTTAGTATCATATCTTTACCAAGCATTTTCTTACTCGTTATAACATTACCGGTCGTGGAGACTGAGTCGACCCATGACGATCATGAAGAAATCGTTGTGGACCAGCCATCAGTTCCGTCAGTAGCCATTGAGGTTGATGAGCCCACCGAAACGGAAACCGAGTGGCAGCGCTATAGGCGAAGCACTATATCCACAGGAACGAGTCGCAGCCCGAGTCCGTCACCCAGTCGTACTAACCCAGACGACTCTCGAATCGCCATAATGGGCGCTGAAACTCCAATTGCACCAATCCAGCCCACCATAGAGGTGCACCCCCCAAAGCCGCCCTCAAGTTTGGGGCAAGACACTTCTACAATAGTAGACGAAGATCAAGGGTGGAATCGCTGGTTGTTGATACTCCAAATATTCATTGGCCCTCTATTCTGTGTATTGATCGTGTGGGCGAATCTAGCTGAGGATCTGGAGAATCCCATCAAGGTGCTCGTGCGGTCCCTGCTGATATCCCTAGTCTCTTCGCTCGTGTTACTTGCTCTTCTCCTCATGACCACGTCGCCTAATAGCAGACCGAAGTATCACGTGGCATTTTGTTTTCTCGGCTTTATTATTGCCATCGCCTGGATATCCACAGTGGCAGGTGAAGTGGTTGGCGTGATGAAGGCCTTTGGCGTCATACTCGACATATCAGAAGCAATCCTAGGTCTGACGATATTTGCGGTCGGCAATTCTGTCGGAGATCTCGTCGCTGATGTCACGGTGGCCCGGCTAGGTTACCCCGTGATGGCATTGTACGTGGTTACCTTTTTTCAACTGAATCATGAGGAAACACACTGACGTTTTTGATTTAGATCGGCGTGCTTCGGCGGGCCTCTGTTGAACATCCTCCTCGGTATTGGCCTCGGTGGAGCGTATCAAACAATCTCTGCCGCAAACAAACACCACGCCAAACATCCTGACAAACCGTACCATTACAAGCCGTACCACATACAGGTCACGGGGACACTGATGGTTTCCACCATCGCGTTACTCATCACATTGTTCGCGCTACTCGTCGTCGTGCCGATGAATAAGTGGATGATGACGAGGAAGATTGGATGGAGTCTCATTGGTCTGTGGACTGCTAGCACTGTGCTGAATCTTGTGATAGAGGTTACTGGAGTATGGCAGGACGTGGCATAATTCCTGTCACGCGCAAGGAAACGTTTTTGTTTTGTTTGGCTCAGGCTAGACCATTGTGTTATTGTGTTATTGTGCTTCTACGGCGTTGGTTACGAAAGCGCCTAATTAGTTTTGAATACCCAGATCTTGCGATGCAAATATAATTCAAGAGTTCATCTGTATGGGCCTGCGTAGACCCCGATTACAAATCAGTCGAGACACAATGTGATGACTCACTTGTTTGTACTATTATCATGGCTGTGGGCGGCTAGATTGTGTTGCTCCCTTGCTTGGTGATGACCAATGATCATGGGCTGATGGATTCTAGAACGGTGTAGAAGTAATACAGAGAGAGCACGTTATCAAAATTGTTGAGACGTGGATCAGGAACACGCCCATTTCGTGTACCGTGGTAGGCGAGGTGAGGTGGAAGGACCGTCTTCGGCAGTTCCTCGACGCGCCGGATGGATTCTATCCGAGCACCAGGCAAACTTGACGTGTGATTGCACTACTTGATGGCCACGTAATCTGGTGGCATGGAACAGGAGGATATGATGCTATGATTGGCTTTGGGCCTGATGATGGTGTTACGGGGTGTGTGCTATTGTGGGATATATAAGGATGCGGTTCGGCCGACTTTGGGAGATGGGATGGAAGCTGGGATAACAATCTTATACACAGGGATACACTGAATATCATTGCGACAGCAATTCAACAAGTAATCGATCAATAAATCGGATTTCATCTTCAACAATCAATCAATCACAATGTCCACCCAAACCAACCCATCCACTACCCTCCCCACCGCCATCACCCCCCCTTCTACCACCACCGGTTCCATCACCACGGACCCAGCCCTCCAAACTCAAGCCGAAGAAGGCGTCGTCGACCAAGCCATGACAACAGACGGTTTCAAAGACCCCAAGAAGCCCGTCGAGACTCCCGTCATCGACGAAACTACTGCCAAACCAGCTGGCGACGAAACCGAGACGACGCAGAAGGAATGCAAGGATTGCTGCGCTATTGGCGGCGGTGGCGCAGCGAGTAAACTTCGTAGTGTGTTTGGTCGGGGCAAGAAGGGCGAGGACGCTGCGAAGGATGAAGGCAAGGGGGACGAGGGGAAGACTGCTGATGCTGAGGCGAAGTGAGGGGGTTCATGGAAGGTACGTAACTGTTATGCTATTAGAGTTTTGAGATTTAGATGCTGATGATTCGTGTATAGATGATGGCGGAGAAGATGGATGAAGTTTAAGTGTTTGATGGCTTCTCTCTCTCTCTCTCTCTTTTTTTTTGTCGTACGCTTAAACCTTTTCCACCTTTTGGTTTCAAGTTTTTCATTTTATTATTATATAGTTTGGTGAGATGTTATAGAGATGGGAAGGAATGGGAGAGGAGGAGATGGCTTGCTGGCTGGCTGGTATGGATTAAGGGGTTGAAGACTGGGATTCACTCGCTTTGTTGATGGGTTTTAGTAGCTAGATGAAATGAATAGATGAAGTTTGCTCGATTGCTTTTTGTCTGACTGATGATTGTGGCGAGTATATGAGTTCGATGAGATGGGTGAGTGGAATATGTATAATTCTGTTAACTGATTGATGTGGGAGAGATGAAGATGAGCACTAAAAAAAGAAAAAGAATTTGAAGAAGATAAAAATGAATGAGAGGGATGGAAAGAAAGAAGGGGATCAGGAGACTGGGATATAAAAGGACATATTAGACAACCTCATCCTTTGCTACGCCCGGCACGCATCTATTCAGTTGCCTACAAGTCCAGACATGACGAACTACGGCTCCTTGGGTCTAGACTCCTGAAATAGAAGGTATATGAGGGTTGTATTCAACTGAACTACTTGATCTGAGTGAGGTGGGAAGACCGCCTTATATACATGAACTGTGCCTTCGTGACCCTTGATCCGTACCGTATACATGGAGTGACTCCTTTACCACCTACACTTTCAACATAGACTCCAATCCAACGGGGACAGGGATGGCCTCGAATGTCACCACGTTCAAAACTATCAGCACAGTCATTACAGATATTATTACTATCACGATGGTTGCGATCATTACGGCTAGCCTTTGGCATCTTAGCAGACGCCGATGTCTTCTTTGACTCGGACCCAATTCAACAACTCCAATGATGAAGTTAAATGCATCGAGGAAGACGAGTGAGTGCATATTAGTACTCGCCGAGATTGAGTTGAAGTAAGTGAAAGATAGGATTGGTTAAATTCAATCCACTCCGTCTCCGTCCCTCCCACTAACCCCTACCGACATACACGACCAAGACAGCTGCGTATGCCGCCGTGGCAGCAAACACTTCCATCTTAGCGGCCTTGGTGAAAAGACCAACCCAAAGAGAAAAGGCTACCACAAACCCCGTCATCGCCGCCAGCTTGGTGATAAAGTCATGGATTGCCCACAACGCCCAGACAGCGGCGATCAGAAATCCTATTGCAGCTACCATGTTGAAGGAGATTACAATAGCATCAATCCTCTTCTCCGGCTCAATGATCAATCTTCTGTACTCGTCTGTCTTGTCCCCGAAAACCCACTGGCGATTTGGTGTTAGGAACATCATGCAAGTCGGTGAGTTGATAACATACTCGTAAAAAACATCCAAGCCAGGTTCTTCTCGCCAACCACCTCGAGAGTCTGTCCTCTCCCGCTCGTATATGTAACGTCAAAAGGTCAGACTCGTCTTCAAATATCCTTGACATGCTGCTCGATGAGTCGAACTCCCCTTCTACTAGATCCTCGTGTTCTATGGTGGGTTCGTAGGCCTTCTTCATAGCTGCTCTTGTGCGACCGGCGGGGTTAGCAAGATTCAGTACTTTGTGGTGCAGGATCAGTGCCTCTTCTTTACCATTACCACCGGTTAGTAAGGTCTTGCGCTGCCGTGGGCCGTCGGGGACTTACGATACTCGCGTATGGCGTTTTTCAAACACGTCGCGAGCTCCACGCGTCGCGCCATATCTTGTGCCACGCTGGAGAACTTGTATATGGACTGGCCTTGCAAGGATTTCGGAATATCGCTCGGGTCCTTTGCGTGCAAAACACCCCAGATGTTGCTTATTGCGTCGCTGCGCGATTCCCTTTCTTGCAGCTGCTCTCGGTTATAAGCCGACTTTTGTACACTATTCTTCCATTCCGCTTGATCTTCCACATACTCTTCCCACAACCTGATGCCGTGGTGGAGTCGTGGCTCCATGCTAGGTTCTTGATTCTTGCCTCTGGTTTCGTACCATTTGTCAATGATCATGGTCTTCTTAGCCTTCCAATTAGGTTGCTGTGATAGCTGATCGACAATGTTTGAATCGTCTCGCTCATCCAGTTTGAGAAAGTCCCCGAATATTTGCAGCATTCTTGTCCCATCCACTACGGCTCTTCGATCTAGTAGTAGGGCATAGACTTGGTGGTTCGTTACAAGGTAATCGAAGAGGTTGTTATTGCGCTGACGGGTAAAATCAAGGAGAAGCCATGTTGGGATGTCTAGTTGTTGGGCTGTGTAAGTCATGTTGAGTCCCTCATTCGTGGCGGGAAGCGAAGAAGTCGCGAACCACTCCCACGATGTAGCTGCTTGCTTGTAGTTAACCCACAATGGGTGAACGCATTTCTTTTTGGGATCTTTCCATTCTCCTTCAGATGGTATCTTACTTAGCACATCTGTCGTTCGTGTTACAATGGAATAATCTTGCTGATCGAGCTCTTCCTGTGCCTTCCTCAGAGCAGCCACGCGTCCTTCCAGGTAAAGTAGATTCCGAGACGCCGAGTCATTGAAACGTCTGAATATAAGTCCGAAGTGATCTGGATCGCTTGAAATAGTCTTCGACCAGTCTGGGAATCCAAGTAGGTAGCTTGGTGAACGTCTGCCGTCTTCCATAGCAGGCAAAAACACTGGCTTTTCTTTGCTACTGCCTATGCAATACCAGTCGACCGTAACAGAGCGGCGTGTCAAAAGAGATAAATGCTTCGTAGATTAAAAAAATTTGGGTCTGGTGAAGGTACAACGAGCTCATCACTCGTTGGTTTCATTCGAATCGCAAGTTTAGTGAAATCTCGCTTAGCGAGAGGGGGAAAGAGAGGAATAAGCGTGATCTCGTAAGCGGCTCTGCAGTGGGAGGGGGCCCCCATGGAAGAAATTGTGAAAGGTGATAGTGGCTGCTGGGGTGCAAGTTTCTACTTTACCCTCCTCCAATAAGAAGCGCAAATGTTCTCGTTACGCGATAACATGCGTAATTGTAGATTAGTGTTGTGATCTATTACTATCTTGTAAACCTCACTAAACAAAAATATATTAATAAAGAAGTATTGAGGATTGAAACTCTTCTCTTGCGACTCTTTTGGTAGTAACACTAACCAGCTTGGAGCTGATGACTAGTATCTCATGACACTCCAATTCAACAGACGCTATTCGGAGGATGATTATGAGCGCAGGCTTGCGCAGAGTTTATATCAGCCGTCTCAGTTCACTATATCACGTCCTTCTGATTCTTTCAAGCCGTTATCCACAGCTTGGGTATAATTTCTCGTCCAGTGCTGCAACTGATTTCCTCTCTGTGCTAACGAATAACTGCAGAACCCTTTAGCGGAATTTTCAGGAGAAGACGCAGCAAGAGAGGAGCATGTAGTAGAAGAGGAAGGCCCAGTAGCCGCGGCTCCAGAATACAAGGCTGTGGAACTGGATGATGTCCTAACAAGAGACCAACCAACACTGCCAGGAGCGGCGCGGTGGCTCCAACGGCTGCGGTCACGTTTTGTTAATAACTCAGTTGCGGAAACTTGGGCACTAAGAAAACCCGTACGGCCGATTCATGGAACTCCAGCTCAGTCTAGAGTATCTTGGGTGTAGTGTAGGAGTGATATTGATGACGACGACCTACCTACTGTAGCAGGTATACGACTGCTCTTGCAGATCCCGGGAGTGGGTGGTTAATTGGTGGACTGGTATTATAGCTGATAGGGGCGACGATGCCATTCTGCAGCAAAACTATTGCCAACTGCTAGATTCCATAACACTCCCCGCTGAATGGCCCCGTGATATATAATGGCGTCTTACATGCACCCTCGACTTACTGTGACATAATATCTGCGGCGAGCGCGTCTATTTCCCGAATGAGGCTGAATTGGGGAAATATTCTATCCAAACTTTCAAGGTCCTAATTGCTTGGATCTATCTACGAAAGCTAGCACGCCGAATCTGAAGCCCCCAAGCCTGTGTTCAAGTATCTGCGTCGCCAAACCAATGCACATTTGCAACGGTGGTCCTAGAAGGCTGCCGTTGATAAGGGCGCCGATGAAATTTCCACCGAGCCTTATGCGGTATAGACCTAGCGGTCGATAATCGAATATTCCCTAGCTATTACTATCAATTAACAGCTTCGGGCGAGACCTCGAAATTTCATCTACATCTCTAAGCAGTGCATAAGCCTCATCGGCATTGCTTGATTGGCTATGGATGCCTATAAAGGATTCTGGTCACAGTGTGTTTTTGCTCAGCTTCGGAAGCGCCATCTTACTCATTTGACCCGTGATGAATAAATGAAATGTTATATCGCATCACGCGGTATGCGGAACTGCTCACACGTACATAGGCTTGTGCATTATCACGCCACATAACTTTATTTCCAAGGGTTCTTTCCATGGTTGATCTTGGAGAATCCTATTGACTATCTTCTACAATTAAACCCTATCCGCGGAGACATATGATGAGCTAGGGTCTAGCATTTACATCCCAAAGCCAATAAGAAAATTACCTCAACGACGATTGAGACGCAACTGCATGCTGGGGGGGCAAGGTGACGATTGATTAGCTAATCTGATAGCCAAGCAAGACAACAAAAGCCCGGCAGTTATGAGCAAAGGGCGGGACTATTGCACAACTACAATAAGTAAGAAGACCCCTTCATACCGAGTGTTCAATATTACAATTGTCTTAAAATCCGGAACCTAGGCCGTTTTTATATTCCTAGAATACTTGAGCCGAGAAATTAGCACAGCCTCTGTCAGGATTGTGCTTCACAGTACGACGACAAACACGGCAAAAGATGAAGAGCATACAAAAGATCCACGATTCTTCTCTCCCTCGCCGCTTCTCGGCTTCGTTATACATACCCTCTTGCCAGAGCTAATAAGTAACATCGCTATATGGGTTCAGCATGGTATTAGGACGCATCTTTGGAGAGAATATTTTCGTGAATGTAATGCAACATCAGTTAAGAAGAATATCTACTTCTGTAGTCTCCAATCCAATATAGTGCCAGCTCTATAGAGGCCATAGCTACTGATAACTCTATGGAGAGTGTGTGAGTACGTGGATGTTGTCTATTAAATCGACCAATGATGCGCCTTTTTGAAGTCGCATTCAAAAGACCCTACATGATCCTCCTTCTTCATTTTTGGCCTTGACAATTCCTCGGGCCCGAAACATGACCCAAACGGGCATGCATACACCGATAATAACTCTCTGTATTTTTCAATTGAGCCTCATACACCGCAAAGCATCTGGAATTCAGGGTCTCTCTAGCATCCCGAGCTAATTCACTCCTCATCAATGAAACCTGCCGGCTCTTAGGCGAGCTCGTACTCAAAAGCCTCCCCACTGAACAAGGGCCAGAATCGACCAGCGTCGAGCCTAAGAGTATGCTATGTCAAGAGTAGTACATGTAATCCCGTTAGATTGATAAAAAAGGGAAGGCTAAGTTACAGTACGCCATACGGCAGGATGAAGGGTCCTTTATACATTCCAGCATATGGATCGTCAAGTATCACCGCCTCCCACTTCTGACATGCTACTCTCTATGCCTATATGTTAGAAATAGGGAGGATGACATAATTTAATGAGGTTGACTAATGGTATCATTTGTCAAAACTACCTGAAATAGGAGGAACTCTTGAAGCGAGATCTCTGAATGGAAAGAGTGTGTCCGTCATCAGCATGGTAATATATAAGATTTTAGAGATTTTCTAGGGAACAAGGATTTTGTGTTCAGTTGATCAATTGATGTTTTCCTATCTTAAAAATTTAGTTAAAGAGTTATAATCGCTATAAGGGGACTCTACTGCAGGCAGGATTAATAAAGCTAAAAATTAATAAAAATTTAAAAGATTATAGCAGTTACAGCTCCTAGCCTTATGGATGGCCTATATGAATAGTGTATGATAGATTCTAGATTTATGTTATATATTTCTTAATAATAATATTAATATAGCTATTTATTATAATAATTATAAAAATTTTAAAAGAGTTATTACTTTCAATGTTTTCTTTATCCTTTTTATCCCTTATAGCTAATGCTATTTGATTATTTAAAACTTTATATAATAAATCAATTGCTTATATTTACATATAAAGGAAATGAGCGAGTCTAACGGATCGCCGTGAGTCGGTGTGACCCGAGACTTAGGTGAGTACGAAAGAGACGGGGAAGCATTGGGCCGTTCCCTTGGTCACCCCAGAACTGACCTGTAACATCTCCCTTGTCTTGGTGTACGACCTAGTTCCTGGATCCGGAAGTCTTTAAATCGTCGATATTGGAATAGTATGTCGAGTATTGTTTATTGCCTTTTACTGCAGCTGCATTTTGGGTCCGTGATATCCGGGACTTTATATTTGAAGAGGAAATCTGTCACGGCGAGCATACTGAAAATCTGGGACAAAGCTGGCAGCAGTAGCTGATATTCTATTGACGAGAATATCAAGACTAAAGAAAGAAGGAGGAGAGAAGACTAAATACAGAGAGACAGCATCTCTTTATATACACATTGCGCTGTGTAGATCTTTTTCTTATTCAGGGGCAGCTTAGTCATGTGAGAGGTCGATGCTGGCCGTAACAATTTCGTGTATAAATACCTAGGTATGTCTTAAAATTGCCAACATATTTCCAAGATTTGACCACATAGCTAGAGTTGAATGTGGCCTCATCGGAGGACCTTAGAGAATGGTACTATTTCCCCAGACCATAGATCAAAATTTGAGACGAGTATATGAACCCAGTTCAATGAATACACAACACTCCTTCCGTGGCCATTGCTCTAGCAACAAGTTTTTCCCACCACGCGTCCCTGCCCTCGATATCCTCCGAAACAGGCCCCACTGGATCTCGTAGGTGACTATCCATCCAAAGCCAAAGCCTTTTCATAATCTCATATGAAGGCGGCACACTCTACCAAGCCACGTACACCCAAAATTAGACAAGCTTTTAATTCATCACGGATCACGCTAGGTTAGATGAGGACTCACCGATCTGCATTGGTTCGAGCTCATGACTATCTCGCACCAATTCTGAGCGACTGCTCTATGTCGACTCTGAACCGAGAGAATGCCTAGCAAAAAACAGGGGAAGAACGGCGTCATCGAGGTGAACAGGCTCCCGCTGCAGGGAATCCGTCTGACACATTCCGCGAGCTGATCCAGCTTGGCTAATACCCTTGGGGAAGATCGGGGGTACCTACAAGCAAGTGAGCCATGGATGTCACGGGGACGCAGATGGAAGAAGGGAGGTAGATGATATCATTCGATAGCTTACCTCAGAAGTCGGCAGAGTAGGTATATTTGTGCAGCTATCTTCCAGCACTCCGCCCCCAGCGCTACCATCTGCCATGGTTCTTCTACGACGCCGCTTTCGTTCAGCACGCACGCCTGAAGCAGGTCATCGGTGCGGCCGAAGCCCCTCGATAATTCGGAGTTCTGGACGAGGCAGCCCAGTTTATCGAAGAACTTCTCTGCGAGGAGCGGGATGACGTCGTTATCGCCATTCTATATGCCAATCATCAGCGTCGGCACTTCACAACATGCTCGGGGCGTAAAATTTCAGTCCTGCTATCTCACCAGTGCGAACTTGGCCGACAAGTGCGTGATCTGGGACCACATGTGTAGGAGCTTGGGGCAGTAGCCACAAGCGCCATGAATCTCGTGGACTTCATGCTCGGTTCCGTACAGGAGCCAACCAAATTTCCCTTGGGTGTTCTCGATGTCCAAGGGCGTGAATGTCAGTCCTGCGATAGCATGCCGAGCGATATTGATCGTGTTGCCGATTCTTGCCCTCGTCGCCTGGACATTGTACGGCTTGTAATACCTATATCCGGGATCCGTTGTGTCCAGGATTTTACAGGCAGCCCTAGCCCCTTCTAACCAGCGAGGCAGCTGTCCCGGCGGTCGCCGGAACTCCCAAGCCACCACCTAGACATGTCTTAGCAATAGGAACCCGAATATGCAGGTATGAGAGAACTAATCATTTGTCTATGCTAAGTTGTACAGTGTATCGGGGTGGCTTGACAGGTTAACCCCGTCTTAATTAATATGGGAAACTGACATCGTGCATATTCAGAAGAGCAAATGTGCCGATCAGATCATCTCCTTTGCCTATTTCCCACTGTTGGGGTTGTTGAAGTTGTTTATTCAAACTAACCACGGCATCGTGATAGTATTTGTTGGCTCGCGTCCGCATCCGATCATCAGTAACGTAGTCAAGAATGTACGTGCAAGCGATGGCCAGCAGGGCATTCTTCAGTGGCTCGCTACTTGGCAGCATACATCCGAGATCTACCTTCCACGAGTTCGTCTTTGGAAGAATAGTCCTACCGCTGCACCAAGCATCAATGTCTACCACAGAGTTAGATGCGCGAGTAAAGATAAATAGATCGATCGATCGAAGGGCCTACAGAACTTGAATATCTTGCGTTCGACAATCGTCAGCTTGCATCCTAACCCGAAATTTGGGGGTATTCGAAGGACTGAGCCTTCCTTGCCAATGCGCAATGCTCGCTCCACTGCCCTGTGCGATTCAGGTTTGCTAGCTTGCTCCTCAGAAGTATTTTGGAGTACCTCTTTCTCGGTGCGCTCATATCGGAGTGGGCGACTTGAGACCCGTTCTTCTTGAACGTCTGACGGGAGAATCCTACACTTCACGTAGCCGTTCACCTCGCCGTTTCGCGGAGAAAAGGTTGCTATCGAATTGATGGATTCAAGTCGATTGCTCACATTGTCGGCGTAGAGGTTACCTAGGTTCAGAGGGACAATGCGACTCGCCCGGTCAGGAAGGCTGACCGTAAACTCTCCGACTGTGCGAGGAGACTGATTCGGTCGCCCGAAATTATAGATATCGTCGGTTGGTCCACCTTGGAATGTTGGAAATACGGCTACAGAGACACCAAGAGAAAAGTTAGCTCGTGACAGATACAATAGAATCGTGAACAAGCACTTTGTGAAAGACAGTTCTGGTCTGTCCCCTAGGGGGGCGACGAGGAATGTGCTCGCCATGAAGGGGAAGTAAGGATTCGAGGCCTAGCCCAAAGCCATGAACCGAAAAGCCCAGCATTTGGCCTTGGGTCCCCAGCTGGTTTGTCACAGATCTTCATCTTGCCCAGCATGTTCATTTGATTATCTTTGCTACAAGACGTATGAAAAGGGCTACGAACAATCTGACAACGTGGGCCAGTGATTTAGCACATGTGTATAGTTGTCACTGTGACCGCCCCATACGACTTCGGGAATGGCGAATAGTTCTGTACCGGCGAGGGGATCCCCAACACTAAAAGGATCTTCGACGCTGAGGGGGTCGTCAGCTCGGAAAGCGGCTTCTCCACCATGCCCGTCTGCGTCCGAACCCTCGGGATTGCCGCCGATGGTGGAGGAGGAGTATTGGGTCGAGCTAGGGAGCCTGCGCCGTTTCCTCGGCCCACTGGCCGGATCATTTCCGTCCTCCCGTGTGGGTATTCCTAAATTGAGAAAAGAGGGAGCGGAGTCCATAAGTGAAGTACAGCATGCCTGAGCAGAGACTAGATAGGTAGATTGAGCTAGTGGTACGAGGGGGGGATCTCGGGATTTTGAGTGGAGATTTACGTTTCTTATAACAGGTCAGATCCGCGGACAATGGGTAGGTATTTGTCGAGTACGTACACGCATTTTACCATTGACTTATGTCAATATTCTCAACTAGCCCCTTTTGGTAATAAGTTGATGCTTACGCTTATATATATATAAGATTATCTACTCCGTATGACTGGGAAGAAAAAGAAAAGAAAGAGAAGAGCTGCCCGGCATAATATAGCCTGGTAAAGACATGCAACTTTCCGGTAAGTCGCCTTCTGCTGTGTAGCCACATCTGTGGTGACCATGAGTTACCTAGGGCATATCATGGTGACTCCAGATCAACAATCCCAGCCCAGTCTGGGCATATGGGCATTGAAAGGCTTTGAACCTCTTGTAGTATAGTGTTGAATGCCCCGTCATCATATCTACTGATATTCTTTCTCTTTCTTAGTGCGTCGGGACCGACTAGGCAAGCCAATGCAATCCTACTGTGACACCCATTGCGCTGCAACTGGCGTTCAAGGGTGCACAAGACCAGCCGCGGATTCCCTTCTCCCCCAAGTGAGGAGTTGTTCCCTCATTTTGAGAAAACTAAGCCTTGATCCTATACCCTCCGACTTAGGCATTTCCTCATCTGATTTGAGAACTGTTCGTCGCTGCGATCGCCGACGACCGGCAGTACATGAATCCCTGAGCGAGCATTCAAATGGGCAGCTCGTCGCACCAAATGAAAGAGGGTAGAGTTTGAAAGGATTAGCAAGTCTCGCTGCGTTGTTGTCACAATGGACGGCTTACTACCCCAGATACTGCCAATGACGCTGCACCCTGACGTTGACGCCGTCATCAGGAAGTACTTGCACAAAGCCCACACTCATCTGCCAGCAACACCTTCAACCGGGTGCATGCCGAGCAGTATCGGCCTGTTCCTCTCGCAGTCCCTCTGCCTCCTCGACTTTCTGGCAGATGGGCTAGTCAGCGGGCCGCATATGAAAGTCAACGCAACGGATGCAATCCAACAACTAGAGAAGGACAACGACCTATCCGAACTTGAGGCGTTAGACGACCTGGTTGAGACTCACGTCATTCTAAGGTCGGTATCATGTACCAGATCCCATCCTTGTAGGTATGCCCTAGGGCTGACAGACATAGGAAAATATGCACACGCATCCATGATGCGGCTAAAGAGGTCCGATTGCTCTGGAACGAGCTTCCCCTATCTCCTCCCGTAGAGAGTCCATCAACAGCGTATCAAGCGCCAAGCGCCCCTGACGTTACAATAAACGACAATCTATCTCCCGCCCTGGCCCAAGCTGACACACCAGATAAACTCCATCTTGAAGTTGCATCGGACTGGGCATCAATTGGTCCGAGTGCTGGCCAGGCTGACACAGCGATGCCTATTATCTCTCTCCAAAGTCAGCCTGACGATCTCATCGAGAACGTCGACCAATGGCTGGATTCTCTAAAGCCAAGAGGTACCGGGAATTATACGTGTCCATTTCGCTTGAATTGTGAGCGAGGGGGCGTCGGGGACGACGGAAACTTGATTGTCTTCGCGCGCAATTCGGAGATCCGGTACGCTGTTTGCCTCATTCATCGTTGGCTATGCTACTTCGTTTCCGGAATACTGATGCCTCGACAGAGCCCATGTTGAAAAGCATTTAAAGCGTTGGAAATGTAATTTGCCAAACTGCCCGACGCGGAAAGGGTTCGCGCGCCAAGACCAGCTCAGGCGCCATCAAGAGACTGTCCCTCATCTCCCACTTGTATGAGAAACTGAGGGAAAAAAGAAGAAACAGCAGTATGAGTGTCATAGATAGTCAATCTCCATGTTCATCAACCACCAAATTTCTCTCTCTCTCTCTCTCTGTTTTTTTTTTTTTTCATCAGTGATTTAGAGTATACTGCGACTTGCCAGCGTCAGCAAGGCTTAAACAGATCGCCGCTGTGACTATGTCATTTCGAAGTTGTGTAATTAAATTTCATGCCAGGGCAAGTGAAACCCCCTGGCAGATGAAGAAACTCTGCCTGCAATCATTCTCGATGTCGAATGAGGTGGGGCCGTGTTTTCTCCTTCTGAGACGATATCGCCCCTCACGCCGCCGCCTATTTCAAACGGTGTGTATGGCTTCCACGTGTACGTGTTCAGCCATTACCGCTTCATCCCGGTAACTTGTCTCATAGCATTCACGGGCAGTCGAAAATGACTCCAGAGACCCAAACCAAGGCTGCGGCTCTTGACTTGAGAGATAGCTCAATACGAATGAGCCTCAACTCACATGCAAACCGAAGCATTCAGGTATCCGAGCTGGACATATGTGTATAAATACTTTGCATTCCTATCCTAATGGTGTATCGTCCCGCGCTCTCTAATACTCATTCGATAATTGTACGGCAATAATCAGATAGACATATACATATATCAACATTTATCTGTCTGTCATAGTACTGGCTCCGCACGTAACCAGTCGAGAATGGTGATCAAGATGACTACGGCCTTGCCCTACACCGTGAATTATCATGTGGTCGTGGGTCCCTCGCAAAGACCTTCTCAATCGAGCATCATGCCGGAACGTATCATGCCTACGACCTGCTATACGGCCGCGAACACGATGGACGCGCGACTCGTTGGTGAATCCACCTCCTGCTATCACGGCCCCACCTCTGTCACCGAGGGCGGCTCGAGGAATCATCTCGCCGAGCCCCGCAAGAAACACGTGGGGTCGAGAGATGCCTTCAGACATGGTGCCAGACATGAGACAAGAAGAAATCACCGATATACCTCTCGAGCATGTTCATCTTACTCGTCCGTGGGCCCCATGGCTCCAATGACCTACTGGCTTCAGCAGCCCGCAGGCGATAACCCGTGGGCTTCGGTCTACGCGCCGGAGCGGGAGATGGACGCGCAAGACCCTCTTGAGGGGATGCGCAGTGGGGTAGCGTGGCGGCGGGGCTTGGATCGCGCGGCGAGACTTGACCAGTTCGATGCCCACCCGTGCTTGGAGCTGGCTGGGATTGGGACGTGGGTGGAGAGTTTTCCGAATGCAGCATGGCGACGGCGTTGATTGAGACCTGTAGGCAGTTACCAGTATCATACCTTACCTACTTACTTAGGTACTTGTGACATTTTCCTTTACGTATCGAGGGGACGAGGGATGTAATGATAGGTATATAGTAGTCCGAGAGACAGTTGCGAGCCTCGTGGTGCCGTACCAGGTATCTGAACATTGCCTGAGCGGGTATTTCCAAGTTACAGCTGAACTACTGTAGTACGGTACCGTAGTGCCGATCTCATCTTTTCTCCAAACGAGAAAACAACACTGATCACACCCCTGCTCTTGACCCCTGGACCCCTCGCCCCCTCGCCTGCACCATGCCATGCCATGCCATGCGCCGTGTTGACCCAGATATCAGAACTCGGCCGAGCAACCAATATCAACCAATATTCACGCCCGAAAACCTAGCGGTGAATGTTGCCGGCGGTACTACTATTAGGTTTTAGTATGTCGTGACAAACATTATCATCAAATACCTGGGTACATAGGGAGGTGCAACCCGGGGTAAACAAACAACCTCACCCTCCCGCTCCCTGGATGTCACCTCGTGGGGTTCTCTCAGCGAGTCCAGTTGTGTCTCCTTACTTCGATCGATCCTTGACCAACAATCGCGCTGCAGCCAACATGCTGCCTTTGAGGTAATTTTTCCAATGCTACTAGTCCCAATACTCTTTCGTATTCGTCTATGTGATTCATTGGGGTTATAAAGCGACATCCTCTACCCCGGGCTTCGTGAGATGCTGTCGTCCTTCTGCCGGTCTATCAGCACCACCATCATGTCCGCACGTTCAAACTACCTCATAATCGGTGCCGGCAACTTCGGCGCCGCGACGGCCCTGTCGCTCGCGGCGCGGTCGCCAACTTCTAGCATCACACTCGTGGACTCGGCCATGTTCCCCAGCCCGAGGGCCGCGTCCCACGACATCAACAAGATCGTGCGCGACGATTACCCACACCCGGTGTACATGAAGCTCATGCTCGAGGGCATGAAGAAGTGGCGCTATGATCCCCTTTACAGCCCCTTCTACCACCAGACTGGCGCCATGCGCGCCGATCTCTCCAGCTTCAGCGAGGACTGCCTGGCTATGTACCGGAAGCTCGGGGTCGAGACCGAGGCGGGCTGGATCTCCGTGGACGAGGCGCGCAATCGCTGGTCCCGCGTGTTCGCATCCTCGAATTTCGGCGAGCTGCAGCGGCTGTTCTGGAACCCCCGCGTGGGCTGGGCAGAAGCCGAGCAAGCCCTCGCCAGAGTCGTCGAGGAAGCGGTTACCAAGGGCGTCGAGTACAAAGTGGGCAGTGTAGCCAAGCTTCTCTTTGACGAAGGCGGTGCCTGCATCGGCGCCCAGCTCGCCGACGGCTCCGAGATTCGTGCTGATGTATGCCTTGTGGCGGCGGGCGCGGGCACGGCTCCGTTGCTCTACCGGAGCGCATCATCTAACAAGTCTCTACATGTCGGAGATCGCGCGGTTGCCACCGGCGCCATGTCATTCTTCGGACGGTGGGACACGGAGCGCCGCCAGAAGTTCCAAGACGTGCCCGTGCTGAAAGTGTCGGTCCCAGGTGTCAAAGGTGAGTCGGGTTGCTGAGCCATCCCCATTTCCTAGTGGCTCGAAGCTGAAGAATCTCTTTAACAGGTGAGGCCATGTCGTTGGCCAAAGACGGGGTCATCAAGTTCAACTGCGACTTGTGTTTCACGAACCTGCAGAAACAAGACGACGGGACCGTCCTCTCCGTGCCGCCCGATGGGGAGAGCCAATTCACCTGGACCAAGGAGATGCCTCAGAAGTTCAAAGATATCGCGCAGAGAACGCTCCACGGCCTGTATGGCGAAAACGCAAACAACGTCGAAATCGAGGGCTATCGACTCTGCTGGTAAGTCCCCCATCCCCCTCACCCCCCCCATTTTGAGGATCATATAGCGCAGAGCAACATAAAGCGTGCGTGCGAGTTTTGCTGATATGGTGGCCACTGCTTCAAGGGATGCGTCGACGCCTACCCACGACTTCCTGATCTCGGGACATCCGCACAGTAAAAATTTGTACATCGCCACTGGGGGCTCGTTCCACGGCTGGAAGTTCCTCCCGGTCATCGGCGACCACATCGTCGACATGATGGAGGGCACGCTGGACACGACGCTGGCCGACCGGTGGGCCTTCGACAAGCCCCCGAGCTTCCCCGGCGATAAGCCCATGCCTAGTTATGTCACCAGTGGCGACCTGGCCGATTTCTTCCCATGATGGATAAGTGATGAATGATTTATTATTAGTTGGTAGCTTGGTGAGAATCTCAGCTTTAGCTCCAGCTCCAGCTCCAGCTCCAGAAGTAGGAAATAGATGCCTACCTACCTAAGTACTTACCTAGATAGATAGATGATTGGTAACCCATTCGTGAGCACTTAGCATTGCTTTGCTTTTCTCGTGGTCTGTGTCCGACAATTGTATTGTACAGCCGTCTTCGGATAGGTAGGCGTCTGGGTAGGCATAAGTACGTACTTAGTTAACATTGAATTATGGACCTCAACTTGCATATTTGCATCTAGTGACTGAGGATTCATGTGTCTCCAAGGTTGATGTACCGGTATAACAGCTCCAAGTGAACAATCAGGTGTTTTCTAAGTTACGCAATAGGTACTATGTGTACCTCCAGATACCTAGTATGCTGAAAATACTTACCTTAGGGCTCTGACCGGGGGTGCCCGCTAGCACTAGCTTCCGCTGATCTCAAGCCCCGCTCCCCTATAATACCCACCTACTATTGTACTGAGTGGTAAGTACCTACCTACAACGGGCTACCTAGGTAGGTACCGCATGTACTCATGATATCTACCTGCAAAATCAACGGACCAACGACTGCAGATTGTCGACAAGCCATCCGAAATTCACGTCAGTATTTTACCCCCGTTCTTCTATTCTCCGTGAAAATTGTTGGTGGGGAGTAATGCCCATGAATTTTCTCGTGCGGACTCTCCCTGTGAGCCGAAATATCGTCAGAGCCCTAGGTCTTACCACGCCTCCAGCTGGCCTAAGGACTTTCCATGGTATCACTGAGCCTCGCTGCTCTCTCGGTAAACCCGATGGCATCAGCGCTCCGATGACTCCAAAGCTCTTCTTGTAATGTCCAGATGCTGTCATCACCGAAACATTCTGCTAACAAAGATACCAGGACTGGCGTCACTGGCTACATTGGAGGGTCTGTTTTTGCTGCACTGGCTCGGAAACATCCAGAGTATGACCTCACTGTCTTGCTCCGCAAGCCGCCCTCCAACTTCAAAAGCCAATTCCCCAATGTGAGGGTCATTCAGGGAAGTTTTGATGACTCCAATGTCATAGCGGAAGCGGCAGCTTCAGCGGACATCGCCATCCGTACGGTCAATTCCCATTTATACCGATTGATTACATATCAGCCTGAGCATCCCTGATGGTGAATTGCAGATAGTGGCGACGGAGACCACGAGAACGCGCTCAATTCCATCATCAGCGGCTTGTTGTCCCGCGACGCCAAGTCGTACCTGCTCAAGCTCAGCGGCACCGGCACTCTTTACGAATACCCCGAAACCGAGGCGTACCTGGGACGGTTCAACCCCAAGATCTACTCTGACGTCGATGATATCGACGAGCTTGTTTCGAGGCCGGACAATGCGCTACATCGCTGCACTGACGCCATTGTTCTCGAGGCCGCAGCTAAACACGGACATAGCCTCAAGACGGCAATACTCTGCCCGCCCGACATCTACGGCCGTGGTCGTGGCCCGGGTCGAAGGACCAGCTACTACATCCCCTGGTTCGTGGGAGCTATCCAGAAACTCGGCAGGCCGTTCTACCTCCGAGATGGCTCGAACATGAGAGGCTGGGTGCACATCGACGATTTCGTGCAGATCTACATCTCCCTCGTAGAGGCTGCCGTGGCGGGCGGAGGATCCGTCTCCTGGGGTAGAGAGGTGAGCAACTCCCCATCCGTCCCTCCCCACCTTGCCTTCTCTGCATGGTATTCCCAACTAACATCTACAAGGGATACTTCCTAGCCGCTTCCCAAGAAGCGTCCCAAAGGGACATAGCAGAGGCGACGGCCAAGATCCTCTTTGCCCGAGGGGCGATCTCGAGCGCCGAGGCGCAGTCGATATCCAACGAGGAGATGGCCTCGCTGTTCCCTGACGCGCCCGAAACGGGATTCTTCTCGTTCGGATGCAATTCGCGGAGCAGAGCCGACCGGGCTGGCAAGGAGCTGGGCTATGTTCCGACAGCGCCTGCTTTCTGGGATGTTCTGGAAAGTGACTTGGTGGATGCCATTGCTGCGACCAAGTGAGAAGTGTCTTGATTTGTTCGTGCTGGTGTGACGAATGCGATAATGACTCCAAAGCGTGTGCTGGCTTACGTATTTTAATGTTAGGCAATCAAATGATGCTACTACACATGATGGTTTCGCCTAGAACCTGCGTGATTACCGTTCCATGATGATGGGTCAGTGAAGCACTCAATATTAAGTTGATCGGAGGTTAAAGACAAGTCTATTTAAGCTTCCTCCACACTTTGCCGCAAAGAGGCTTGTCAGCCTAAAAAGGCACCGTGATAATTTTATGGTAGAATTTCATGATTAGTATTTTCACCAATGAATAATTAATATGAAGCATCCTTCTTATTACCATTAGGAGTAATCATATTGTCTGATCATAAATCTGCCAGCCCGAGTATTGACATTAAGTTGCAGCAGTTTTAGTTCCTACACTCCTATACTCGTTCCATGACAGTCGCGCATGCCCATATCTAAACTATCCATACGTTTACGAAGTAAGCAATGCTTCGCTTGTTAGATCTTGAGCGGCGGGTTAACCTACGGCTCACTTGTGCTTATCTTTCCTGCTAGGTAGGTACTAACTACTCGGGCAATGTGGAAGCATGCAGCTGGCCAGCTTTTGATGGAGCAGTGCTACGTGGGGGCGGCGTGGGATGAGAGAAAAGAGAATAGTGAACTGAAGGAGAAAAGAGAAAACTATGCATGGTGAGCCTCATGTAGGTAGCCCGCACCAGGTGGAGAGTGTGAGGAGTTCCGCAGGGGTACAGTAGGTAATTAGACATATTATGTACGGTATACCATATGAGTATGAGGTGAGATGCCCGATGTCACGGTCCTGGGGATAACCTACGTGCATAATGGCACATTCCTTCAGTCACTCATTGGATGACATCCAATGCTGTGTGAGTTGGCTGGCGTGCTACCTATTACAAGAATTGAAGGGACATCGCATATCTATTCTTATGCGAAGGCTTGACCTAGAGAGTGAGGAACACATCCGCTTGTTGATACTGAGATTTCCAACACACACACTTTCAGTTACTGCTTGCTTGTACGACACTACCCCACCGCTCGGGCAGTCATCTACGTTGAATCTTGTCGACTGACCAGGAAATCATCTAATTACGCCCATTAGAAAATGACAGTAGATACCATAATCGCGTGAGAGGCCTGGAACACTCACAGATCTTGCCGGAAGGCGATGGCCAGCATGCTATTTCAGTCAAGGATACCGCCTGAAACTGCTGTCTCACTAGGGAGGGAGTCTGTTTGTAACCCCCGTAGCACGTGATTTCATCGTCTTTCTTGAAAGATATGCCACTCTCTCCTCCATCTACGTCGCGGACAGCACGCAGGACGAAGTGGTGAGCGACAGGATTCAGCTCGAGCTCACCTCGGATATCCCAGTCTTCGTCCCGGAACCACTCCACGCCGACAACGCGGTTGGAATAAGCGAACGCGTTGCGGATGAATCGCTCAAAGACGCCGGCCGTGTCGTGGTACGACTTCCACACGAGCTCGGGGTCCTGCAGGCAATCGACCCCAATGAGCATCAGGTCGTCGGGCCGCAGGGCGTCGTGCCACGGCTGTAGGTACCGGATCGCGCGGGGAAGCCTATCGTTGGCGAAGATGGAGCCGAGAGAGAGATACAGCATCGGGCCCTCGATGCCCTTGGCCCACTCCAGGCCGTCCTCGAAAGTGCCCCAGAGCCCTGTGCACTGGATGTTCTTATGCGTGGCGCGAAGGCCGTCTATATTTCCTTGTACAGCCTTCAATGATAAATCTAGGCCGAAGTAAAAAATATCCTTGCCGCTTGTCTCGAGTCGATCGAGAAGCGGTTTAGTCTTTCTCACATCTCTAAATAACACACGCTTTAATAGCTTTTCGTAAGAGGTTAGGGGAGAAGGTGGTTAGACGAAGACAATATAAGCACTTACCCACAGCCCAGGTCAAGAATGGTGCACTTGTTGGGAATAAAGCTTTCTAGCTCTGCCCCGTACTTCTCCAGGGTCTCGATCTCATCCCGTGTCTGGTAATAGTCCGGCAGACGATTTATGTCCCGCCAGATCTGCAGCCCGTCATCGTCCGAGAAGAAGATATCCGGCAGGAAATGTCGGCCTTCGGAGTCAAAACCGATGATTTTTGCGGCGATGCTGCGCTGGAGTCTTCTCTTGGTCTTGCTGCCTCCGATGTCGATTACGGATTCGCTATGTGTAATAGAGTCGGCCATGGTGCTGGTGACTTGAAAACTACACCCCCACTTTCTTAGAGGTAATAATTAACTTGTATTTTACAACACCTGAGAGTGTTTAGAACTATACCAGTGGGCACTTTGTGTTTACGAGGCTTAGACAAATTCACGCCTGGTTTCAAATATAAAGTGTGACCGCTTAGAGAACTGCAACGATGGTGAGTACCGTATGACCACTGTTGTTGCACGAAGGTCCTAGAGCCTTAATGTCTAGGTTAGGACTATATATGGCGAGTCTCTCAGTCTGCGACCCTAGGATTGTGACAGCCACAGAGCCGCATACTGATGCAATTGACAGTAAGAGCTTATACAATTAACCCTGGCTTGGCTGGCCACTAATTCTGATGGCAGTTGAGCCTCAGCATGCTTTGGCCTAGGTACCTAGATCGCCCCGTGGCTTAACCGAGACATGTCAGAACATGGGGTTCCAGTTGAAAATGGCTGGGCTTCGTGCATCTCCACGTAATCCGGGCGATTGGGGTAACCGTCATCAAGGGCGGTAGGGGTGAGATTTCCTGCGAGGACTAACAGGGTTAGTTGGTTACTTATTTCTTGAATGTATGCAAATGTAACTGAACATGACGTGATAATTAGAGTGCCTGGGATCAACATGAACTTTGAAGTTTTGAAGAACCCGGTACGACTGGATCGGCATTTCAACTATATAGTTATGCTGACAGTAAGCTAAACCACCCCATTAATACGGGTCATCCCAAACTCCGTATGAGGGTACGGCGTGATTAGATGAAGGAGCAACTCCTATATAGTCCGGGTAAGCTGGTGCAATGGGAGATATGTACAGGCGTTAGAGAGGTTTACAATACCGCTCTCTGGCTAACCATTCATAGCACCATAATATCAATGTAAAGAGTAGGTGTATAAATAATTACGCATTTGACGTCCATTTATACCGTGAACTCGCACTATCAATAGATTTACTTAGTGATAGAGTGCGTCCATCATTGTTCAGATATCATGATACTTGAATTCCGATGGGTCAATCCCGTTAGCGAATTCCGCCTCCACGAGCCACCTGATCGTCTGTGAAGCCTTCTTGTACAGTTTGTAGGTATGTGTCGAATTTCGCGGAAACTGTAATCACGTGTTTGAGATGGTGGAATGCCATCTTCTCATCTTTGAATTTGGCGAGTTGTCGCGCTGTTGTGATGGCATTCCTGATTTGGCGGCCGTTCAATTCGTACTTCGCCAGGTCTGTCAAATAGCATTCTATATCATCGAAATCGATCCTCATTGGGTCTAAGGGCTTCTTGCGTGTGCCTTTCAAGCTTTCTTCCGACGAGCTGGCGAGTGAATCCGCATCAAGCCCCCTAAGCCTGTTGAAAAAGTTTTTCCAGATTTTCCTTCGCTGCCCTTCTGTGAGATTCTGGTAGTGTAGAGCAAGTTGAATTCGTGACTAGAGCGGTTGATGTCAGTTAGAACGCCTTAAACTGTCGCAAAGGTAACACAAGAGTGAAATTGATGCAACGGGTATCCAATCAGTTCTTACCTTGAATGCTTCGTCAAACGTGCCCACTCTGTTGGAAGTAAGAATCAAGATGCCTTCGTAATACTCTAGGACACGAAGAAACACGGAGACGAGAGCATTTCGTTCCAGATCCGTTAGGGTTCGTTGCTCGAGGAAGACGTCAGCTTCGTCTAGCAATACCACGCAGCCCCAGCTCTTGCCAAGGTACAACACCGATTCCAGGTATTTCTCGACAACTTCAGGCTTGGTGCCTATATCACCACAAGTGACGCGAAATAGGGGTTTCTCGGCCATTTCTGCGACGCTTTCAGCTGTGAATGTTTTCCCAGTCCCCGGCCCGCCGTGTAGGAGGATGATTAGCCCATTGCCCTTTTGTTCGATAATATCTGTATTTTGCTCGCTCTCGATCTGATTTGTCACTAACGCCTGTACGAGCTCTTTGGTCTCGAAATCAATGACCAGATGCTCGAATGACTTTTTATTCCAGACAACATCTTGAATCAGGTCCACAAGAAGGTCATCTAGAAAAGTCAGATCCCCATCAGCAGCTGGCTTAATTGTCGAATATAACAACTTACCCCATTTCTTGCTCCGAAGGTTATATCCTGTGATTTTGGGGGGAAACACATAGATTTCCGGTACACCGGGCGGATCGTCAGACGCCATGACTTCAGGGTCCATTGGCTCTGATTGACTTTCCTCAAACTTTCCGTATATCCTTTTGAAATTTGCAGAATCCGAGTGAAGTTGCTCATAAGTCTCGAAGTCGATCATGAAACGTTCTCCGGTCTAAACCGTAAGATTAGCAACACCAATCACAGAATGCAGTAGATCTTGAAATAGCGAGACTCACCCCAACTAGTCCTTTTTCATCTTTGTACGAAACGAGTCGTCGAAACCTACACTTCCAGAACGTCTCTCCACGAAGCTGAAGCCTGGCCCTAAGGGCATCACTCGCATATTTCAATGGATATGCGCTTAGTTTCACGATAGGCACCTTCTCTGTGGGTGAACTCGATTGCAGAATGATGATTGTTGATCGATTCCTACGCTGGAAGCTCCCATCATAGTGATACTGCCAGGCATTAACTTGCCATTTCCATTTGAAGGCAGCGTCATCGGTAGTCTCGCCTTTTCCCTTTTTCCATGTGGAATCTCGGGATGTTAACTTCGGCGACGGTTTGGATCTGACCGTGGGCCGGGAGGTTGCAATTGCTGCGACCATATCGTTCTTCTCTTCAAACACAAGCACCTCGCCGGGCTTGAACAAAAACTCGATGGTTTCTACGGACGTAACGCCTTCGCTTAATTGGTCTTGAACAGAGCTGTAGAGCTCACCGTAGTGTTCATCAATCCATGATGTCAAAACCCTTATGGTATCGGCGTGTGACGCAGACAGGCCATCTAGGGCAGTAGGAGATCTATAGTGATACCAGAAAAGGTAAGGGGCGCTGATAGGATGCTTGATCTTGAAGTTAGGGAAATCTTCTGCAAATTTCGGCTGTTGGGCGAAAAAGGCCTCCACTGCTTCTATCAACTCTGCGGACTCCAGGCGTATCAGTTCTGTACTTGGTTGTGGGCGCGGAAGTGCCCGCTTGTCACGGTGCGCATCCGCAGCCTCTTCGCCCTGCTCATCCAAGTCGTAGAACTTCATAACCACAAAGGCGACATCGTGCTGTTGGCTCAGATATCCATTTGTGTCAGGAATTGAATAGTGAGCTTTTAGCATTGCCTGGCCACGAGGGCCAATGACCCAAGTTGGTTCGTCGAGAAACGTAGTAGCTGGCACACCCGGTCCTTCTGAGATGGTATACAAGGTTTCAATTCGTAACGAGTTTCCTTGCGACTCTCTGAAGTTTTTGTTCTCAGCTTCCAGGAGATGAATTCTCTCTATTAGGTAGTCTAGGGATCCTCGAGATGACAGATCAGGCTGAATTTGGACCATCCTGGCCATAGTGTGATTACTAGATTCAGCATTTTGTAGACTCGTACCTTTGTCTTGATTAGAGATGATTGAAGTTGCCGGAGATGTACCGTTGACAGCCATTTGCTGCGGATTCCCCAACGGCGAAACATCAGACCCCGGAGGTCCCAGACTCTTCTCAGTTGTCTTTCCGGGTTGGCCTGAATCTTGCGCCGGGCTAGAAGAGCCACCAGAGAAGGGTCTCATCTTTGATCTCGATTGTCGGTGTTGATGTCCCGGTGTGCCGTCCGGAAACGCGGGCCACCTTTGGTGTCTAGAGAGATGTGCAAGTGGAGATTTTGTTGTACGAATATCAGGACCTGGAGATATCCCTCGCCTCACTGGCGGCTTGGTCACACGAGTTATTACTGGAGGCGGCTGGATCACACGAGGTATTACTGGAGGCGGGGGTCCTCCGAAAGTAGTTGCGAGTGGTGGTGGCGGTGGGCCAGCCGGACGGTGTATTCCAATACCTGTAAGGCCGGGGGCATGCCCAGGTACTCTAGCTCCGAGTGGTGGTGGTGGCCCTGGTGGCCCTCTAGGTGGTCCAGGAAAGAGACCAGCGGGATAAAGGCGCAGGTGAGCGGCAGCAACGAATGGAGCCGGCCTAATTAAGGAATTTTGTTTCCCAGCATCCCAGTCAAGACGCTCAGAGGATCGGTTGTTAATCCCCTTTCTCAGCACTGCTAACAAAATTTCTTTAGCGAAATTACTGGCGGAGGTCTGGTCCCGTGAAATAGTAAAGTGATTCCAAAAGGAAGCCTTCCTTTCCCTACGGCTATCAAGATCCTCGATCGGGTTTTTAGGTGGGCCTGCTTTGGGTGCAGGGGGCTGCTGTCCCGGTCGTAGAATGGGAAGGTTTTGTCCTGGTCGTGGAATTGGATGGTTTTGTCTTGGCGGTGGGTTGAATCTGGGGTCTGTATGATTTATATAAGTCACAACAGGTCCCGGGTGCCTAGGAATGACTGTGAGCGGTTGTTGGATCTTGTTATTAAGATGTGCCTCGATGGTTTCCAGAGTGTCTTCAAGAGTCGGTTCTAAGATATCTAGTAGAGCATCTTCTATACCGGCATGTCTTCTACTAGGACCTGGCAATTGCGAATTGGAAACAGTAGAGTTTACTGTACTTCTAATGGTAGAAATATAATCATCGCATTTATCGATAATCAGTCTCGGTAGTATCGGTCTTTGGAAATCAGATGCTTTAATGCCTAGTCTCGAGATTTCTTGCAATAGCCTCTTTTCCTGGACTTCGACTTGTCTTCTAACAATCGTGATCACGCGGACACCTTCTTCTTCAAATAGTCTACCGACGGGCTCTTCAGAATCATCAGCCGAGCCCGGGCGGGAAGGAGTGGAGGAGCCAGGAGAGCTAGAATAGCTAGAATGGTTGGAGGAGGAGTCAGAGTCAGAAGAAGGTGAAGAATTCCCTCTGAAAGTAATACTAGGCCGTCGTCCTCCTATTGGGCGGAAGGGGAAGTCGGAGTCAGAACCGGAATCGGAATCGGAATCGGAATCGGAATCAGTATTAGATGAGCGTGTGGAATCGTAGCTCGATGAATCTGAGTCGGGCTTGAAGTAGTCGCGCTTGAAGTATTTCTATGAATGTATTAGCCAAGGCGCAACATGCTTAGTTTGACAGACAATAACCTCATATTCTCCGTAAGTACCCATCCAGAGTGTCGCCGCACGTGGCCGTATAGAACCTTCAACAATTGAGGCGGAGTCGGTGCTAAGGATGCGTTATGAAGGTTGATCGGGATAGACGCTGGCTATCGCGGCCATACTTTGGTATATAATATTAAGGCTGTTTTGTTCGATTAAAGCGAGAGGAGATAGTTGTCAGCGCGCGAATGAGGGGGAAGACGACAGGATGTCGCATAAGCGCCCCCAATCCCACCCTACTTAAGCTACATGCATAGCCACAATAGGCAGAAAGCTACGAACGCCACCATGAAGGAAAGCTTGCCAGTATTTCCACATGATAGAGTAGTCCTACCGATTCTGGGGTAGTAATTCCGGTCTTCTCCGCCATGCATAATCACTGTATTCCCACACTTACTCAAGAAGCCATAAGCTCCCCCAGTCTCGTGCTGCTCGTCTCATAAGTGATTATCTTGTGCGCTCGCATGGAACGCGCCTAGATTTAGCAAATAAGCAATATGGAGGATTTAGAGAAATGGTACACAATGGCGGAAGAGACGGGGAACGAGTAAGACGCTCTTTGTTGATGAAGCTATACTGCGGATCACGTACTCACTCGCTAACCTTATTTAACAGCTCTCAAATGAGTATAGCAAACCAGACATTTCGGAAAGCGTCTGTTAAATTTCTGAGCGGCAACAAACAGCATGAGAAAAAACTCAATTCCATTAGTGAAGGGACCGGATCTAAAGATGTCCTACTTATCGTTACCGAGTGTATGAACAAGTACGAGGCCCGGAGGAAGCACTCGGAAGCTCGGACTTGTCTCCATGCATTCGCACAGCGCGTCAGCTTTTATGGCAACATTCTGGACGTCTTCGTTCAACACCACCCCGAATATGTGTCTTTGGCATGGGGAGCGATGAAGTTTCTCTTCGTGGTAAATATCTACCATTGTCCCCCAAGAGGTACTTCAACCACTAAACGCTGACGTTCACATAGGGAGTAATAAATCACGAGAAAACAGTAACGACATTAGCACAAGCCCTCTCAGATATCGCTGATATGCTTCCTCAAGTGAAACTCTCCTCGGCCCTATACCCAACTCAGTACATGAGGACCGCACTCGACGAGTTGTATGCCAGCATCATGGAATTTATGATGAGGGCCTATGATTGGTATGAAGAAGGAACACTGAAGCATATAATCCATAGTGTCACGCGACCTGTGGAGCTCAGGTACGCAGACATACTCCAGCGCATCGCGCGATGCTCTCAGCGTATCCAAAATTTGGCTTCCGTTGGACAGCAAGCGGAGGTTAGAGATCTGCATATTGGATTAGACGCCAAATTGCATTCTATGAGCTCAAGATTTGACGAGCGATTCGACGACATGAATGCTGTGGTGGAAGAGATTAAGAGCGCAATGACATGTAGGCTCTTGTCAAGCCTTGTCGATGATTAGAGCGACAGCTAATGAAAACAGTGCAATCGGCTGCGATGATTAACACAAACTATCTGCTAACGGATATTCAATTTTCACAAATCATGGCATCTATCACAGATCTCCTGCTATGGGATCCTGCCAAAATGTTCCAATACCATCGATCTCTACGGGACAGGCGATCACACAATTCTCATCAAAGCCTGTCTACTCGATTCTGGACATCATCGAAGTTATTTGGATGGTTCAAGTCGGGAACCTCAGATTTACTAATCGTGAGAGGTAGTCCCCAAGCTCGATTTAGCTTGCGTAACTTCTGCGTCGACGTGATCGAGCAGTTGAGGTCATCCCATTTGCCAGTGTTGTTTGCTCTGAAGGTCAGCCAGGGGGTCACGGAGGATACTCCGTCCATCTCGGTATCTTGGGCGGACGTCCTCAAGTATCTTTTGCGCCAGGCACTGCAAGAAACACATGGAAAGCAGACGGAAAAATCCATGTCACTAAGCTGCGCTCGCGTTCATAGCGCCAGAAGTGATTTGGAGTGGTTTCAGAACCTAGAAGCCGCGTTGTCAGCATTCGAGAAACAAGTCTATATTGTCATAGACCTCGAGATTCTGGATAGGAATTTGGAGGAATCCAACGGCTTCTCTTGGCTGCCTTCCTTCTTGTCTCTATTTGGAAAACTTGCCGAGCGTCGCTCTACTACTCGGATCAAGGTTCTTTTGATAACATACGGACACGAGATTTGTTCTCCGATGTCTTCAAACGAGCAGTCCAAGTTCATGATCCAGGCTCGAACGGATATCGTTACTGTACGGCAGCAGAAGTTGAGGAGGCATATGCCTCAACGAGGCATACCGGATTATCTCAGGAGAGAGATGTGCTGATGGCAAGCAGGGAATAGACCAAGTGAAATAGACGCTCAGTGTAATGGTTAGACTCCTTGTAGGATTTTCCACCTTTCTAACGGAAATATCACGGTACGGCATATAGAGGCCCTGTAGTATATAATTATAACACGCTATTAATATATATAATATCCTTCTTTTACATATATTTAAAAGGGCATTTTTGCTTCTCTAGGCGTTAGTTTTATGTAATAATTATTATTAAATAGTTATAGGAATCATTGATTATATTTGTTTCTAGTAAGCATGTCAAGATTTTTATTTTTGCGCAGAGAGATGCAAGTTCAGTGTAGATAGGGGTTTGGTCGGGTGTCGCATCACCCAAACCTACCTAGGCAGATATCAGGCTCGCACCCACACTCCACCTGTACAGGTAATAGACTACCTAGGTAGGTATTTAATATTTGCTATACTGTTATTGTGTATGGCAATAGTCTCTATGTGTTTTTGTCGAAGATTGTCTATCTGTATGACACAACCACCAATGTGGATTTTGTTGAATGCCCCAAGGTAGCACCAAGCGCCAAACGAGCAATCAACGCAAGGCATAAAAGGGGTTATACTGGTAGAAGATTAGAGAGAGATGAGGTTTTAGTTATATTCTACCATAATGTTGTAATACTGCTTCCATCACTCTCTGCAAACCCATCTTGACACTTCTGCCCTTCGAATTCTAGCGTGCTAATTCCTTCTTCACCACTTCTATCGAGTGGACTTGAAGTCTTGTTAGGTAGCATATACTGAGTTTGCGTAATCTGTATCTGGCAAGGCAATCGACTCGTTCCCTTCAGGCTCAGGCGGGCTTTACCTAAATAATCAGCTAATGGGTAAGCGCCATCTGTGTCTTCTGGTCGGATCGCAATGCTCAAAACAGCCTGGTGTGCTACGCGATATATACTAGAAAAATCGGTTGTATAGCTGGCGCCGTTTGATCGTATAGCAATGAATCCAACTGATATTACTGCGATCGCAACCGCCGCCGCAGTTCCGTAAGCAACTGCGAGCTCTCCTGCTGAGTAATTGTATTCAACTGAGTGTGATGTCATCGAGACGTTTACCTTTGGCGGGGCAAACTCAGATGTTAGATTGGGCCTAAATGTAAACGTTAGACTTGTGGACGGCTTATATTGGGTTTGTTTCTTTGCTTTGATACTGGTGCTATAACCAAGTATAATAAAGTCCCCTAGCTAGACAGATCCCACTGAGAATTGCGGACTATGGTTGACAGACTTACTGGAGTGGTTTGGAACTCAGAAGGCTTATGGTGATGTTTTGAAACAGTTGTTCGATAGCGTCTGGCAGAGATAGGTTGATGCTCGGCTCAAGAGTACCGCCCCTCGAATCATTCACATGTTGAAGTTCCCACTGTAAAGTTCTAGCATCCCCGCGATACGTATGAATAAAGTCTAGGTCTGGTGTTTCGTAAAGAACTGTGGACAGAATGGCCGACGAATGGGCCCATTGACGTTCAAAGCTGTCCATCGAGATAGACCCCTGAATCAATTCGTGGAAAGCGCGCATGATAGCAGAATAGGACAAAATTCGCAGCGCACTCAAGTCAAAAGCGCACGGTTTAGACGTTGCTGTTGGTAAAAGGAACTGTGATGCTAGCTGAAAACAATCCATTATATCTCCCTCTAGGCCAACAATGTATTTGGCAGTATCGAGAGCCTCTAGATGGTTGACTTGCATGGCTATGCTCTGTGTTCCGGACTGGAACTCAAATTTTGTGTGGTATGAAGCATTGTGTAGCCCGCATTGGAAAATTGTGGAATCAAAGCTGCCCAGGGGTCGAGATGGCGATCTATGGGTTGGGTAGCAAGGATTCTCGAAACTAAGTAGTTCAGGTGCTAAGGCTATAAATACGCCAGAATACTGTCCTTGCATGAGACTCTCCAAATTATCAACAGTGACTACGCGGAAGGGACCATGTATCTCGTTAGGTCCAGTTATCTCCTCAGAGTGAAACTTATGATGAATAGGAGCTTTGATGATGTCAAAGCGCCAGGCAACATAACCTGGTGGAGATAGGCAATTGGGGCTCGATTCGTTCCAAAGCCAGTTTGCTATATCTTGCTCGAAATATACTTTCAACTCCTCGTCTATTTTCAGACATCTTATCGAAGGGCCGTAGAAATCCAGTTCCCAGCTCGAGTTCGTTGCAATTGGCGAAATGGGTAGGATTAATCCACTAGCTGCGGTGGAAGCGGCGATTCTCCGGACTTCTTCATTGGGGCCTTTGGAGGTGTACACTTTGTAAAGTTTATTGTCCCCGGGTCTAGATATGTCACATGTGGGTGGGATGTCCTTCAGGTAGCGTAGACTTGAAAAGTCAAAGTTTGGAACATGCTGCAGAGTCGATGTGTTTCTGACTGCCACCGCTATGAATAATGTAGCTGGCGGAACGACGAAAGCAACAGGAAATAACCTGTTAAGTGGTTCTAGTGGCGTTCCGCGATCTGGGGGAAGGTCGAAACTCACCACCCACATAGCACAATCATCAACAATAAGGGGTACTTCTTCCAAACCGACACCATCCGCAAAGCTAGGATATTGGCCAAGGCAGAGAATAATGCATCGATCTCCTCCAGCTTATTGGCTTCACTTGGGTGTTTAGCCGCTTGCCAAACTATTTGTATATAAGCAGTTGAAATAGAAAACATCAGCAATGCTTGAACTAGGAAAGAAAATGCTGTGCCAATGGTAGTATGAAACTGCTGGTCTGAGAATTGGTGTCCGGCAACAGATCGGTCGGCTTCCACGAGTGTCCCGGCAAGAGAGCTGTAATAGAAATGATGACCAAAGGCCAAGGAGCCTCCTCCGAGAAGACCGAAGGCAATAGAAGCTGGCTGGCGCCAGTTTGCTTTATCGCTCATTGCAATTAAATCAGGGTTGAGAATTGCTCAGAGGTATAAGACGGGTGTGAAGGGAGAAAAAGCAAGACGGCGCAAGAACATGGCAGGCATGGATAATAGAATTGATATTTAGCCTTGAACTGAAGTTTGACATTCCATCCTACCCTTCCATCCCGGCCCCCACGATGTTTGAGTATTCGTTACGCAACACCTCGGTTCAAGATATAGTTGGTGGTTCAAACGTCAGTCATCAAGAGCTGCGTTGCTATCTTCTGAATCACTCCGCATCCACCGTCAATGATAAAGGGTTGCTTATACAACTGAGGTAGCAGAATTGGCATTATACTTTCTCGCGTAACAAATTGGAATACTAAGTTGCATTAGAGAACAATTCAGCATAGGATTATTTGCGTCTTTCTTCGTCTCGGCCGATACGTTATCATGGCTGGAGTAGGTGGTAATAGGAGAAACTCCCATATAATCATCACATCGTAACAGCCAGAGAGGACATGTGGTTAGAGTCACGTCGGAGGACAAGGCGAATGCGAAATATTATAACAGAGACTGAGAAAGGAGTTGAATCTAATTATATCCTTGTTTTACATAGTCTGCCATTGGGGGCTGCTTGTTACAAGTCTGTCCATGATCATCGAATTGTGTTTGCACGTGTCAGATTTCAGATAGTAACAACGGCGGTACTTGAGGTAACCCCGTAAACTTGGGAAAGGGAATCCAAGACAAGACGATGTCGAGGATAGGGGGATTTAATTAAATACCCAAGTGTGCCCGAAACAATTGTGTGGAATTAATTAAAGCTGATTGCGTTGTGAGGTGATGATTGAATGACACCTAGCAGCGCGACGAGCAAGATCATCTGTAATGTCTGCTCAAGCATCTGTGAAGATTCTGAAGAAGTTATCAGGGTCTCCCCCTTTTCACTAGACTAGGTAGTAGACTACTGTTGACTAACACAGGATTTAGAGCATTAGGTAAGTAAGTAGTGTAGACGGACCTCATTGTGCGGGTGTACCCGAAAAGCAGGCCCCAGATGCGGGTGCCTGACTTGCATCCTGCGACGAGAATGATCCCGGTCCTGCCATGCATGCGCACCTCCTCGACCACTTCCGAAATAGTATATCGTGAATTTGTTTAAAACATAGATACGGCCGTCTTCGCATTGATATATAGGTATATATGCATGCACCTGATGAGTGATGAGATGAAGTGAGTAGGTAGACATCTAACCCGTTTTGGGAAGCTACGAGCTACTCCATCCATGTAACAGCCGAGTCTTTCCAAGCAACTCTCGACAGACATATCATGTGCCAATCATGGCGCTACCGGCATCTACTGTAGTACCTAATAGTATACTCAGCATCATCCCAACTTACGCGTACAAGCTTTTGGTGCTGTGATACACAGAGGAGAGGAGGCAGTGAGAGAGTGAGAGAGAGAGAGAAAGAGAGAGTGGAAGCCGAGTGCCGTGTCCCACCGACTAGGTATAAACTGAGATAGGTACCATCACAGTTTCCCCTGCGCGACAGGGCAGTGTGCGGCGCTTCGAGTTGGACGTCTCCCCATCGTCTCCTCCCGCCTACTTAAGCGCCTGTTGGAGAGAGGCCAATCATGAGGCTTGTCGGGCTGGATGCCAAGCGGCAAGATGGCAACCCGACGGGCGATGCGATATGGATGCAATGGGCGCAATGGGTGGCACAGAGGTGGCACTAGGTAGGTAGATGGCGCCCCCCGCCGTGACACCCCTGCTCCAAGCACTTGTTCCCCGCGACTCTCTCTCGCTTCCCTGCCTGCGTCGCCGTCGTTGTGCTCTGATAACTGCTTGTGATGCGACCGAGCCGCCACGCTGCTGCATATCACCATCTCTCAGCCATTTTCCATTTCATTTTTTGGTTTCTCTGAGCGCCATTCACAGACCCATTCACCTCAGCCTGCGCCACTCCTCTACACTCACCGACAACTCTGCCCCCAACAAGCAAACCACTGTTAGCTCCGGCACAGAGAGACAGAGAGAGAGAGAGAGAGAGGCCTCACTTCGCCTGTCTCCTTACTTTGTACCCCACCAGGTCGCGATAAGGTCGGCCACCCGACAGGCCGCCTTAAACCGCCGCCAAAGTCGAAGCTCTTGTGTGCGTGTGCGTGTGCGTCATCGTGCGCCTATTCGAGCTGTCTGGTACGCCTCGGAACTGTACCTTTGGTGTCGTGTGTCACTCGCTCTGAGCGAGTATACACGAAACGAACATGGATCATCATGGTCGGCCGGACGAGGAGATGTTCCTCAACAAGCCCGCCGAGAACTGCGACAGCCCAACAGTAGAGCCCCTGAGAATATTCAAACCTCAGAGCCCCGTTCCTGCCGCCGACAAGACCTCGGACCGTTTCAAGTACCCTGCCCCGGTGGCTTCCAAGCCCAGTTTCCCACTGCCACCTGGTGCTTCGAGCTCGGCTGCACCCCTCCCTTACCCTGCCGATGACGACGATCTTCGGATAGGCCAGTCCTCTCAGTCTTCTCGACCACCATATCCTAGCGATGACAGGAAGCCATCCACGAGCAGGATATACACCAGCCCTACTGGCTCAAGCGGCTCGGGTCGCCTAAACGATACGACCCCGCGCCTCGACACGAGTCCTATCGAGAAGAAAGGCCCTGGACTCGCCGAGCGGCGAGGGACGGCTCCGAAGCCGTTACCGGGAACCCTCAGCCCTTCAAGCCCCCATGCCGACGACAGTGGTTTGTTCGCAAAACCTCTCTCACACCAACAGAAGCCTGCTGCTGCCGCGGCTACATCCTTTCCAGACTATCATCAAAAACCTTACTATCCGCCACCACGCGGGAACTCGGCCGGCCCAAGCTCAAATTCGAATACCAATGCGCGACCTCAACAACCACCGCAAGATAGCTATCTAAGAATGCCTGAAGATAGTGGCATGAACCGCTTCGCATCAACAGCATCCACTTCAACTACTAGGGCAAACCGAGGATCTCCGCCGCCGCCTGAAACGCCCATTGTCGAGCCGGGCAACTTCCCTGGCGGTGGTATCGAGGCCAGATATGCCGCTGCCGGTATCTCGGGTACTGCAACGTTGAACAGCTTCCAAAGTGCAGCGGCAACTCAGCGCTTAGCGCAGTATGGCCAGCAGCAGCAGCAACAGCAGCAGCAGCAGCAACACCCTGCAGCTTCACAACCTGCCCGACCATGGACCCCAACAGAGACGCCGGATCAGCAGCCACATGGGCCTCCTACTGTGTATCAGGGAGCGAACCCCGTGTCTAGCCCGACTGCCGCCTCGTTCAGTCCCCAGGCCACCCGGCCCCAACCCACTAATGCGGCCCAAAACTCAAATCCGACAGGGGCTCTACAAGTTAGCGTGCTTGAACAAGATTTTCAACGCATGCAAATGTCACCTAGCCCGCCGCCAGCCTATTCTAGCATTACACAATCTGGAGCCGCTTCCGGATATCCAAATGAGAAGCAGCGGCCTGGACAGGCGGGACCGCATCCAGCTGTAGCACAGTCCGCCACGGCATCTTCACCTCCAGAGAAACAGAATGAGATAGCAGCTGGACTGATATCTCCTGCTCTACAACACCCTGGCCATCCGGCCTTTGCCAATGATCCCCGGCCAGATAGCCAGCAAAGTGGACATCAGGTCCAACCTACTAGCAGTGCAGCCGGTTCCGCAGCCGCACTGAGTGCTGGAGCTGGTGTTGCTGCTGCTGCCCCAGCGGCTGCCACGGTCGTTCAAACTCCATCGCCGTTCCAGAACGGCCAGGGACCAACATCACCTCCTCCATTGCCTGAAGGCTGGATTGCTCACCTTGACCAGAACTCGGGCCAGTATTATTATATTCACCTCGCCACACAAGCTACACAATGGGAGTTCCCAAAGGGGCCGAATCCCATTCATCACGATGTGGCTCCTTTATCTCCGACCGCCTCGACATATGGCAACCCCTTGGCCTCACCCATGTTTGGCAAGCAAAGCGCCATGGCTTCGCCCATGTTTCCTCCACAAACACCAGGGTATGCAGAGAGCATTATGAGTGTAGCGACAGCGACACCAAGTGCTGCTGGGTTTTCCGGTCCGCCTCCTGGGGCGGGAGTGGACATGTACAAGGTTCATCCTACCAACGGTGTTTATTTCGGACCCTATCTGCGGTATGTAAATATGGATATTGAAAAGGGCTTGTGGCTAGGCAGTATCATGATTGTCACGGACGCACCTCAGCCGCCCACCATCCACATTCATCAGAGTATGGATTTATCGCCGAACCCTCGCCAGCTTATTCCTCATTCTATCTATACACACCAGAGGTGGCAATTTTATAAATATGATGTTAATCTTCAAATGACGGAAGCAACGGAACGGTGGACATACGCCGTGACATCACACCTGGGATGCACTCGTTATGAGTTTGTGGTTGCGGGACGATACGAGACAGGCTGGCGTTTTATGGCCCATTCGGGCAATGACTTCGCAGCAAGCACATCACAGAGTGAGCGTAGCAAGCTAGGCGGACTTGGTTTCATGTGGAAAGATGTTTTGCAGAAGAATGTCGACTGTGGCGGATTTCATGTGCAACTTGGCTTGGGCGACCAGATCTACGGAGATCGGCTGTGGAAAGAGGTGCCACTCTTGAAGCAATGGCTGGCGATGCCTGGTAAAGATAACCGGAAAAACGCCTCATGGACGGCTCGCCATGAAGAGGATACTACGCATGCTTATTTCCATTTCTATACGAGTCATTTCGATCAGCCTTTCCTTCGTGAGGCGTTCGCCCAGATCCCTCACATCTGCCAAATTGACGATCATGATATGTAAGTGTTTGTTAGATGACCGTGACATGGCTTTGAGCTCCGTTCTAACAAAATATGCAGTTTTGATGGTTACGGATCTTACCCGGAATATATGCAGAACTCACATGTTTTTAAGAATATTGGCCGGATAGCAGTAGACATGTATTTACTCTTCCAACATCACACCACGCTGGAGATTCTCCGGAACGTCAGTCACGATCTAGATTTGTTCACGATCACGGGACAAGGCTGGCACTTTTTGAAATATCTCGGCCCAGCCGTGGTCGTCATCGGCGCCGACGTACGTTCCGAACGGACGCAGAGCCGTGTGCTCGCTGGCCCGACTTATCAGGGGCTATTCCCCAAAGTTGCCATGTTACCCCCGAGCGTGCAGCACTGTCTGTGGATGATATCGGTACCCCTAATCTACCCGCGCCTCGACACCATGGAGAGTCTGGCGAACACATTCGCGACGGGTAAAAAGGCCGTAAACGCAGGATATAACGTCCTTGGAAAGGTGACCAGCTCTGTGGCTGGCATCGTGGGCGGTAAAGAGGTTGTAGCGCAGGGCTTCAATCAGGTCAAGAAGGCTGTTGGCAAGTCGGGTCTAATGGGTAATGTCGTCAACCAATTTGGCGATCTGGATATTGGCGAGATCTTGAAGGATATGTGGACACATGAAACCAAAGATCTCGAACGCACATATCTGATCCGGACGCTGCAAGGCATCGCTCATCAGAAAGGCATTCGCATGACTTTCTTATCAGGAGGTAAGTTTCTCTCCGTTATTCCGTGCTCCTTACCCCAGATCATTATTCCTCGCCCTCTGAATCTGCACACGGAAGGGCGCACTTTCGATTAAGCAAACGACTAACCACATTTCCCAGACGTCAACGCCGCAGGCGCAGGCCTAGTCCACGACCCAACACACCCAAGCGACCACAAAACAATGTACCAAATCATCACATCCCCCATCGTCGCCGCGCCCGCGGCGCACTACATCCTAAAGATGCTCCACAGCAATAAAACGTACTACGTCCCTCCCAACGGCCAGAAGTCGGCTAGCGACTTACTCTCCGACACCAAAGAAGACATGATGGAGATCTTCCACACGGATGCTAGCGGATCGCCGCGCGAACTGAAGAAACTCATGGGGCGGCGGAATTACGTTGCCGTGGTGGCGTATGATCCGGAAGCTATTGCTGGAACGCAATATGCTGCGTCGGTGGTTAGTGGTGGGAGTGGGGGGAATAGTGGGAATGGGCTTTCGAAGTTAAGTCTTGCGGTAGATTTCGTGGTACAGGGCGATGGCGCTTTCACGGCGCCGACGAAGTATGGTCCTGTTATCGTGCCGCATTTGGAGTTTGGGAGGTGATTACCTATGCTCGGCGAGGAAATGAGGAAATGAGGAAAAGAATGAGTGAATGGGGGGGTGAGTGTGTGAGTGGAGGGGTCTAATGTTGGCTTGGCGCAAACAGGCATCTTTTTCCTGGGTCGGATATGAAGTACTCCTTCCTGGTCTGATATGAAATCAAATGAGATGAGATGAGATGAGATAAGACGGAAGAAAGGAAATGAGAATGAAGGAGCTGGAGAGATTCATGTTTTTATATACATACATATCTGTTTACCTACATCCTTAGCGTAAGTGTAATGAGCGATTCACGTCTTATCCTACTCATACTTATAGCGCAAGTAAAGCAACTTGTGTGGAAAAATGAAATTCCAATCTCAACCAAGGTGGTATCGAGTCGCTCTTCTGCCTACTGTGCTCGAATTCCCGTAATTTGCATTCCGTTCACTATATTTTTCTCGCTGCATAATCTTGGATTACGTGCTGTGCTGCGGTCTTATAGGAAATGGGAGCGATGATAGGGGGAGTGAGCGTACTCAAAATCCTTTTAAGACTTAGAAACCTCTAAACCGATTCTTTCTAGCGGTCTTTTTATTCGTTGTTGGTTCTATCTCTCTAGTATATTCTATAAGAGGTAGGTAGGTAGTTAGGTGGGAGGCAGGTATATCAGAGAAGAATGGCAGCAGCCAAAGTCTTAGTCTCATCTCTTTGTGAATAAATCATGCGCTAATCCTCAGACTTCTCTTATTTGGTTTTTTTATTCCCCTTCTTTTCCGTTCTGTCAAATACTTCACTTCCTCGAACTTTTACTCCGGTGCCGGGTCTTCGTGTTCGTCTACTGCCCCAGTAGTGCGTGCTTTTACTTGTGGATGTTCTTTTTACCCCCGGATCTATTCTAGGCGTGTGTAGGTATCATCTCGAATCAACTAGTTATCTTCCATCTCCCGCTCTACAATAAATATTTAGACATCGAAGAGCTCCTTCAGTATACGTCGGGTGTCGTCGGGGTCCTTAACCGAGTGGCCGGTGACGCGCGGGTCGGTGTAAATCTCCCAGTCGTTGCCGCCCTTGAAGGTCTTGTCGCCGAAGAAGTGGATCGTGTTGTACTCGATACCGTTGGGCTTCTTGGACTCGTCCTCGAGGTGTTTTATGCAGTAGGTCTTGTCCCACCCTGTGGGAAATACGTCGAAGGAGAGCTGGCCGCCGATGGAGTACCTATTTCACACAAGTGTTAGTGTTTCTCCATAATCTTCGGATATAATGTTTCTTTTCGGATCAGGACAGAGGAAGAGGGCATAGAGAAAGAACGAAGAGAATACGCACGTCAAGTCCAAGTGAGCGAATCTCTCCCTCAGTTTCTCGATAAAGGCGGGCCGGATGCCGTGCTCGAGGTCGTACTTCTCAAAGTCGAGACGTTCCTGGAGATTGGCGTTGCGGCCGATAGGGGAGACGTTGATCATGCCGTTGCGGAACTCGACGAAGGTGCCTCGCTTGACGGGGATGTCGAGGTCGGCGACGTAGTGCAGGATGAAGTTGACGAGCTCCTTGTACTGCGCCTCGCCGATCCACTGGATGAAACTGGTGCTGGGCAGGGCCTGTCCCAGCTTGAAGGCGGTCAGGCCGTTCTCGCTGAAGCTGAAGTCGAACATGGCGGTCACGGGGCGGTCTGCGGTGCCGAGCTGCTCTTGCTGCTTGGACAGGTCGGAACCACCGACATATCCTATGGCGACCTTTTGGCGTAGGGCGGCGAGCGTGGCTAGCATTTCGGGAGTTGCGGTGCGGCGGGCTGGCGATAGTGTGCCATCTACGTCGAATAGAACAATGGTGTTCTTGATGGGACGCTCCTCAAGGGGAGGATAGGAGGGAGGTGCGGCGTCCATGATGTCGTGGAAGTAGGCAGACGAGAGTAGGCGAGGGGTTCACTAGTATGCTAGGAGCTTCTTCTTCTTCTTCTTCTTCTTCTGTCTCTTCTGTTTCTTTATGAGAGATTGCGTTAGGGGATGTGATGTAAATCGTCCGACACGAAAAAACCGGTCAAGAAGAGATGGATGGATGTACATGTAAAAAGAACCAGCCAGCCAACCAGTCGTGTCAATTGAGGCATGCGAAATGCAACATTGTAAACTACCCCTCCCTCCCCACCCCTCCTTACAGGGCCTACAGGGGCTACAGGGGCAGACAGGGGCCTTGCTTGTACCTGGCGTGGGGCCTTTGCACCACGGGATCGCCCCATGTTTTACGGGTCTAGATCCCATTGGCCCACTGTATCCCCTGCTGTAGCCTGTAGCCAGGCCCTGTAAGCAATATTGTAGTAGGCGCTTAGGTAAGTGTTCACAGGACCCCTCCAGAACCCCTCCACTAGACCAGGTACCTACTTTGTAAGCTCTTGGATGGCTGGCTTCATCTCAATCCCTCAACCACATGTTTAAGAGTTGACAATCAGTCTAAACATGTGAGATCAAATAACCATCTACCTACGCCTACTATAGATGTGGAGTATATCCAAGTCTTCAATCAGGGGTCCTTTTGCGCCCCGAGCCTTGACATCGCCTCTGTAACATGTCTCATGGGATGAACCACTGAGACCCTATTTTATCTAACCTTCATTGATGCCGTAACAGTCATACCTAACCCTTCTGCTAAACGGTTAGAATTATGATATGGAACATGCAGTTTATATCTTCCTGGTTCTGAGAGAAGAACTGCATCTCGTTATAAGAAACCTACTGCTCAAGTTTGTTATGGGGCGGCCCAAACCTACGCCCTTTTGTCATTAAAGTAGGTGTCTAGACTAAAAAGAACCCATTTATTAAGCAGGCCGTCCGGCATCAATACCATAGATATATGATATAGGTACAACTTGGATTCAACATCTACAGTCACAGTACGTGTTGCGGTTTGTAACTCATTGTACCTGTTTTGTCAGTCAATATGAAGACCCTCCTTTTGCTCGGAGGTATGACGCCAGATGTGACCAAGTTATACTACGACCTCATCAACCGCACAGCCCGAGCAGCTCTCGGTGGCCGGCACAACGCTCCGCTATACATGTACAGCGCCGATCTGGAGACCATGGTCCAGCACGCCGGCGCAGGGGAATGGGATGCCTTTGCCAAGGTCTACACGGATGCAATCGACGCACTGGCGGACAAAGTCGATGCCGTCGTCGTGTCTGCGATCCTGGCGCACAAGGTCGCGGCGCGACTCACTCGATCTCTTTCTCCCACTGGCGTGCCATTGCTTCATATTGCTGATTGCGTAGCTGCGCATCTTAAAGCCCGGTTTCCTCATGTCCGCACTGTCGGGCTCCTAGGGCCGAAGATTACGATGTTGGATAGAGATGATCCTGACTTCTTCGTGGGCCGATTGGAAACTCCTGGGAACGGATTTAAGGTCCTGGTGCCGGAAACACAATCTGACCTAGAAGAAGTCAATCGTGGCATGATGGAGGAAGTTGCGAAAGGCGCTGCTGCTGTGACGCCGAACACGAAGGACATGTTCGTGAGACAGGCGAATAGGTTGATTGAGCGCGGCGCCCAGGGAATCATATTAGGCAGCACGGATCTGGGATTCGTTGTGCGCCAGGAGGATCTTCCACATGGGGTTATTGTTATCGAGCCGGGCGCGATCCATGCTGAAGAAGCTGCGAAATGGGCTTTGCGAAGTTGAGATGGTGTAGGGCGCCTTGATGAGTTTATGCACGATAGAACCATCGCGATTATGTATGGGTACTTAGATATGTAGCTATAGATATTGTAGTTTAATGTAGTCGTTTCTTGTCCTTATTACTCGCTCAACTAGACCACTATTCTAGATAATCGCTTGAGTAGTTGCAGTTAATTGTTCCTTCACTGAACCAAATCGAGCGCTTAGAATTTCTTCATGATGCTATTCTCGAGTACACCAAAAGTCGCAGGTTACCGATTTCACTCTAATGCGCAAATACCACAAACAGCTCAAGTACGGCAATCTCCAAAGGTGTTTGAAAAGCTGACAAGTAATATTAAATATCGATATTCATGAGATGCAACAAAAGGGAAATATGTATACTACATTCTTAGACATACACAAAACACACCATTTTTGCTTTCCTTTTTTCTTTTTCAGCACATGAATTAAGAGATAGACCAAATAGCAGGAGGCGCAAACCCATCCTCCTCCAGACCACCCTCGGCCTTGCCCAATCCATACCCGGTCACTTTCCACTTCCTGCTCAGCACCAAGTCATCCGTCATCTTCAGGTCTTCGCCAAACTGCTTCCAGACGCGTCCCGTGAGGCTATCGAAGCGCCGCTCCGTGAGCTTCTCCCATCCGCCGTAGCGCTGCACCGCGAGCTTCGAGAGCCGGAGGTGCTTGCCCGCGACCTGCACGAGGACTTCGCGCGGCGCGGCCTCGTAGTGTCTGTGCGGTGCGCCCGCTTCGCTCTCCGCGGCCACCGAGCTCTCCTTCCCGGGCATGAGGGACGGGGGCAGATTGGCGCGGGACGGGATCCGCCGGTTCAGACCGTACATGCTGCCGCGCATGCGCACGGAGCCGCTGGCCACGGAGAACTGGTCGTCTTCGTCCTCCTCGTCATCGTCGACGTCCGTGTCCACGAGGAGCTTGAGGAGGTCCTCGTTGGCGGCGATGGCCTTTTTGAAGTACGTCCTCGCAAGCGTGGCGTCGCGCTTCTTGAGCAACGCGTTCGCGCCTTCGGAGGTGCTCTTCTGCGTGTAGTAGTGTCCTGTGCTGGTGTAGATGCTGGCCAGAAGCTCGTAGACGGAGAGTGTCTGCTTGTGTCGCGGGCCGTGCGTCCGTCGGAGATTGTACACGATGTCCTCGGCGAGTTGGATCGCCGGCACGATTTGGCGGTCGTCTGCTAGGAATCGGGCTTGTACGAGGCGCACGCCGAGGCGCAGCTTGACGTCTGAGCCCCAGTTCTGCGTGCCGCGCTTCTCCCACAGGTTCTCGAGTAGCCAGAGTAGGCGGCGGCTGTCCTTTTGGTCGCCGAGGAGCGAGATGAGCTCGTCGAGCTCGTTCAGTGGGCACCGGGCTAGATCGATCTTGTTGTTGTTGCAGATGTCGAATACTTCGCCTAGGATGGTCTGCGAGAGCGCCAGCATGGCCTTGTTCGTCTCCTCGTCTGCGGGTGTGGTTCGCTTGTACACGCCACGACCGGCCATCATGAGACAGAGCTGGAAGCCAAGGGTGATCTCGGTCGGGTCGTCGAGGCCCTCGTGCGCCATGAGGAATCCGTAGACGACTTGTGTCAATCCCTGGGCATCCTTGTACTTTTGGTTACTCAAGTACAACTTCAACTCAGCGACAGCCGCGCGAGCAGCGGAAGCGACAAAGTCCTTCGGCTGGTTACGCTCAGAGAAGTACGCGAGAAGAATGCGCACGAATCCGCGAATGGAAGACTTGTTGGACTTGGCGACGACAGTTGTCTCAGTAGCAGAGAAGTATTCGAGAACCTGGCGCTCTACGATCTCGAAGTCCTCGGCGCGATTGCTTCGGTAGTGTATGTGTCGGAGGCGTGCACCCAACAGGAGGACAACGCCGATCTTGGTCTTGATCTTGATGGACGAGATGAGGCGCTCGTAGAACAGGAACTCGGCGAGAATCTCAGCCATGTAAGTCGCGACGCTACCGCCGGATCTAGCGCGCAGATGGTATTCAAAAGCCGCGATGAAGGCGAAGCACGAGCGTCCGGCCTTGGTGACGTCGAAGCCGGCGTTCTTGGACACCTGCTTGTAGATGACCTGCATCTTCAACTCGCGGACGAGCTGGACGCCTTGCGACACGTAGAACTCGGCAAAGGTAGAGGCGACGAAGCGGGCTGTTTCGATCATTTCCTTCGTGGAGCTCGTGCTGCGGACGCAGTCGACGACTAGGCTGTGTAGCTCCTTGACTGCGAGGTCGGTCCTGCTCTGCTTGTGATAGAGCACCACGAGCTCCTTGAGGGTGGAGAGCGTAGTCTCATGCGTGCATGAGTAAGACTTCCTGATATCCGTATAGCGCTCGTATGTCATAGCCGTGGCCTTCTCCAACGTCTCCTTGGTTACTGTGGTGGTGCTTGACGAGCTCTCGGAGGTAATTTGCTTCACGTAGAGAGAGCGGAGAGTGCTCTGGCTGCGCTTGACGATCGTTGTCGAGACCGTCTTGGAGTGCTTCATGATGTTCTCATAGTATGCCATGGCTTCGTACTGGTACTTCTCGCTCTTGGTGCACACCTCGGCAAGCGTAACAGTGACGTTGATGGAAGTCTCGGAAGACTCTCCGAAGTACTTGACGCAGGCTTCGCGAATCTCCTTCATGATCTTGACGTGCTCGTGGATGTCAACTTGCGTCTCCTCAATGACTCGGTAATAGCGCTCAAGCGTCTTCTGGACGAAAACGGTGTCCTGGAAGACCTTGTATTTGGTTCCGAACTGGCAGAACGTGGCGATGATGGATTTCAGGTAATCCAAAGACTCGGAGTATCGCTGCAGATCGTAGTAATATTCGGCTACGACAATGAGAGCGCGTAGGGCATTCTCGTGGCAGATGCGTGCGCCCTTGTTCAAGGTGACGATGATCTCTGAGTAGTATTCGATCCAGTAGCCATGCGTCAGATGGTGGCTGCGGCAGATGTCACCCAGAGCGTACAAGATCGTAATAGTCTCGGCATGATCAGGACCGTAGAAAGAGCGATATTCGACAAGGAGTTCTTGGTAGAAGCTGATGAGGATGTTTTGAAGCTCATACTTTGTAAGGAACTCAATGTAGAGCTTCCTAAACTTCACAACGTCTACGTCGTCGAACTTGCGTGCCTTGCGGTACACACGGTAGAGGCGTAGATACAGTTGCTCGACCTTGTCATACTTCTTCTGGTTGATGTAGGCCTTAGCGAGTTCAAGAACCAGTTTTACACTCTCAGAAGAGAATGAGGCATCGAGACTGACGCTTTCGATAGACTCCGCGAAGAACGAGGCCCAAGTTTTCTTCAATGTGGTTCGGATGACAGACACTGCTTCAGACCACCTCTCTTGTTCAATGTACATCGAGGTCAGAGAGGTGCTAAGCTCCATAGTAGTCGTAGTCACCTGTGTTTCCTCTGACGAGAACGATGACTCGAATACCTCTCGAATCACACTCTCACTAGAAGAGGCTGTTTTGGTTGTAGTGGTAGTCTCAGAAGACTTCTTGACGAGGGCACTCGATGTGGTCGCAATATTCTCGACGATCTCCTTGAAGACGCTGCTCTCCTCTTTATGAGTGGACTTGAACCATGACCAGCAACGCTGGAACACGGTGAGGGAGAGGGTGGTCAATCCCACCGTCCGCATGCAGACTGCAATTTCCTTCATGAGGAGGATAATAGACTCGAACATGGATACTTGGTGAGCTGAGTACTCATTCCAGCAGCTGATGAGGACAGCCGAGGCCTCTTCAATCCGATTCTGCGTGTGGAGGAAGGACGCGTACTTGAGCATGACCTCGATTCTCTTCTCGTGCCATTCAACGATGTGGTTTGTCTGGCAATGGTCACTGAGTTTCAGCCAAAGCTCCACGTAGATCTCTTCGGCGCTGCTGAATCGTCCTCGCTTGACGAGCTCCAAAGCGAATTTGATCATGTTCTCGACGTGGAGGATGGACCAAGTTTCCTCAGTCTCCTCTTCGTAACCAAACAGAAGGCTGTCGAAGCCCTCTACCTCTTCCTCATGACTGTGCTTCTTCAGCATAACGTCAAGATGCCTGCCGATGTCTCCGTCGTGAGACACATGGTCTTCGTAAGATCCAATGGTAATCTCCCGGATCTTGATCTGGATTTCCTTGACTTTGGTCTCCTCGTTAATGGAAACGTAGAGCTGGGATAATGTCTCGTAGACTTTGAGCACTTCAGTAGAGGTAGCTCCATACTGGTGCGTGTAGGAAGAGATGAGAACTTGCAAGATCTCTTCTCGATATGTCATGATCGTCGTGCGCTTGTTGGTAATAAGTGTCTCCGAAATATGGAGAAGGGTGTTGCAGCAGGTAACGACGAGCTCAGATTGAAGACCGAGCACATTCTTGCCGATTCTGACGACCAAGGCGTACCATTCGGTCGCATCTGGGTAGCGTGACAAAACAGTCTCGTAGTACGTGGCGATCGTGATGGCAGATTGTAGAACAGTAACATGCTCGAGGCCGAAAAGTTGCTTTCGTACACGATATGCGATGGTGAACAATTCTACCACCTCATCGTGCAAATACTGAGTGATCCACCGGTTCGCCTCCAGCAAGGCAAAGCTTACCGAGCTAGGGAAGACTGAAGCGAATTCAGGCGGGAGTTGAAGGTCTCCTTGGACCTTATACAGTGACGAGAGCTTGAAGTGAACCGTCCAGTACCGGATTGTGTACTCGAGCAGATAGTTTGATGCGATTCTCTTATCAACATCAGCTGAAGGCAAGTGGTCCAAGCGAGGCTCGTCCATATCTCGCACCTGCTTGGTAGCGGAGCCTAAAAGGCGGATGAGCAGATCCTTATGTCTATCCTTCAGGTGCAAAGACAAATCTGAATTATCCGGGATATTCAGAAGAGCCTGTTTGATGGCCTCGTGTCTTAGAATGATTAAACCTTCCGCAGTAACAGTGAAGGGGGAGATGGCATCGGAGATCTGGCCCAATGGAACTGGTCGTCCACTGCTAACGCCTTTAGGGTCATTTCGAAGGAGAACTTCCAATTCACTGATGAATAGAGGTCGTTTGGCGGCTGACAAAATGGAAATAACAGTCCTGCTGTCATTGTCCAGTTTGACAGCTGCCAAAAGCTTCTGCACAAGCTCAGCGACGTTCTTTGGGGGTGAGTTTACAAGAGTGTCGTATCCTTTGCCAAAGTCGGCGGGCGTCTTCTGTTTTGCCAGGTAGGCAACAAGAAGATTGGCAATGAGTAACGAACCGTCAGTAATCGTCAAGAGATTATCGATGATGTTACTCTTCTCGCCGATGTCCTTATCCACGAAGTGTGGGTTTCGAGAGAGACCCTGTTGGACAATGGTGTGAAGATCGTCATAGATATTGTCGAGCGAAAGCTCTACGATCTCCATAGACTTGGCGGCATGGACGCCGAGAGGCTGAGAAAACAGGAGAAGGCGTAGATGAGAAACATCTTGTGCGATAGATTGAAGCTTTTCGCTGACTTTCTTCCCAGCAGGCTTGAGGCCTTCCATCTCATCGAGCCCATCGATGATAAGGGCAATTTCTTCATCCACGCTGCTGTTGCTCAGCGCTTGTCGAAGTGCCTCCCATAACCTCTCTTCTTGGGCCGCACTCGAAGATAGAGATTTGGATTCCGTGAAGGCTTGGAATATGATAATGAATAGATCTAAGTCGCCAATTCGTAGAGATAGGAGCTGGAATAGCAAGGTTTTCAACATGGAAAGGCATGATGCTTGTGCTGAGATGCTCGAATCTGAGTATTTTGTTAGAGTTTGTTAAATTCCACGTCATAGATTATAACTTACTGTAGAAGAAGTTCAGAACAGGCACTACCCGACCACCAATAGGTCTTTGTAACCTGTTAACGACCCAGTTGGCGAGTGTTGTCTTTCCGGAGCCTGACGGTCCCTCCACAAGCAACACCTTTTCGTCCTGCTTGAAAAACTGATTCAGGTGTGATTGGAACCAGATACAAGTATAGTCTTCTGGGCGGCTCGCGAGACTGATGTGGTTGGAAGACAAGAACGCAAGAACCTTATCCTGGGGTGCTAGCCACTCTTGCAGAGTTTCGATCTGGATAGTTTCACCGTACCCCTGGGTTCGGAGCTCAAAGTTCCAAATCTCATGCTCACACTGCTGGACTCGCAAACGGTAGTTGGCAATGGAATTGCCGAACAGGGCGTAGATATCTAATCGAGTGGACGAGCGGGAACCGTGAACAGCACTGTAGTAGCTGATTGTGATACCAGATACAATGCTGAGCAGCTCTGAAAAAGCTCTAGCAACTCCTTCCATAATCGGAGGAGCTAAGCGAAGAGCATTCTCAGCCCTCAATAACGGCGACAGCTCAAGACCAAGCTGATAAAACAGGTCGAATGCTGTTTGTAGAGCCGTGGCATTCTCATAACCAAGCTTTTATCTCATCAGTATAGGACCATTACCAGAATACAGTTCTAATAGATCAAGAAAGCTTACCTCAAGTAGAGTAAGGCATTGTCCATAAAGGAGGTTAGCTGCCGCTTCCATCTCGGGAGTGAAAGACTCGATAGCTTCACTTAGACGGTTAACTTGTCCAGCGAAGTAAGCCGCGGATATGAGAACTCTATCCCAAGAGCCTCCCTTATGAGGCAGCCTAGCCATACGCTCATGTTTGATCCAATCCACAAGGCCAGAGTGAGATGTATCAAAAGCAAAGCTGCCTACATTTGCACCTAGCTCACGCTGGCATCTATGGCGAACCGAGACATATTGATCTCGGACAAGGTTGATACTTGAATGTTGCCCACTCGCGGCACGCATCACGTTAGGCCGTCGGGCTACAGGAAAGCGTTTGGCTACTTGAATACTATCGCCTACTGAGGCAGGTGATAGAATAGCTGGTGGTGAATCCACTGCGAGGTAGGCCACGTCCTCTTGTGCTCCCCCCTTTGTTGGATGTCCATTTTGCAACTGGGTTGGTTCTGGCGTCCTCTTGCCTGCCTCCTTAGAGGCCTGGCTGCGCCCTAATTTAAGGGGATTAGTAGACTATTTTCATCTTTGTCTAAAGAATAAGCCAAGGAATTATTTTCATACCTGATGATCCTCGCAAGCCCAACATATTTCCCAAGCGCGGCATTAAACCACAGAGGCCAAAAAAACTACTTTTAAACTTCAGCTTGGGCAATCTTAGCCACTGGAAGAGTTGATATTAAAGATTAATGACAATAAGATTGAGTATGATTTCTAGGCAGAAGGACACAGGAAGCAGGACAATTATATACACAACATAGCATATAGACGCGAGATGGCTTATACGTCTGAATCTAGAACCCAAGGGTCCTCAGCTGGCGGTGGTGCCGACAGGCCTGATGACTATTGGGACCAAAGCATATCGTTTACCTCAAGCGGACAAGGTGCCGGTCTGCTAGGTACATCAGCCAAGCTGAAATGTACAGACTGGGGTGCATCATTTACGCATATCACAAACGGGGACCTATCACCGTGCCACCAAGCTCCTGGGACAATACCTACAAGCCCTCATGATCCATCACCAATTACCGCAGCTGACGCAATGGACTTGATTAAGGAGGACTATGTGACGCACGGCACAGCTGGCTTTGATGACTTCAGACAGTCCGGATGCTCTGAGAATATTAAGACCTCCAGAACCATCTTGCTACATATGCAGGTTGCTGTTAGTATAGCATTGCTCTTGGAGACTATAATACAATATGGACCCAATTACACGGCAGGCTTGCTTACTTGCAGTGATCTAGCTTCTCCAGTCTCGACGGCATGTATACGTACTTCTGCAATGTCTATCAGCCATATGCTCGGTAGATGTGCGTATAGCATGCATTACATAGTGATAGACGAGTGAGGTTTCGCAAGGGGTTGTGATAACCCACGCCAAGCTTCGAGGCCTCTGCAGCGCAGCCGCCCGCCTGGTCCGACCGACGTCTGGCAGCTAATGAGATGTCAGGCGCGGAATACGAACCGTTGCCAGATTCGGCGACTTGAATCCAGCTAGGAGAGGAACCTATCTCCAATATATGCGAGGAGCGCAGGGAATTGCCTAATGCGGTGGCTCGACGCCAGCTGAACTTGCTGGAGGTTAGGTGGGGGGTCAGATGGACAAGGGCTTTTGTCTAGGTATACTCCATGTCGCAGTGTGTATAATACCGCAGTATACTCCAGGATACGACCATGTGAATAGGAACGCCGCTGTCGACGCCTGTATCTCTGTCTAAAGTGACACCTGGAGGGGTGGCTGGTTCATGTCCGGACGAGCTGAACGCAAATTGCAACCCCCAGCTGCAGTTCCTTCAGCGCCGCATTTAGGCTGGGAAGCCCGTGCTCCGGATGTTCGGGCTTCACTACCTGTATCTATACCTCTATCTCAAAATGTCGACGAGGCAAATGAATTTCGTTCCCATTTTGTAGATCACGTCGGTTCACAGTCATGGCCATGATGTCAAATATTCAGACTACTTCATGTCCACCTGAGCCATGGGTCTTGGCGCGTGGAGATAGCTTCGACAGGAGGTTAAACTGAAGTAGGCAACCTCGTCTTCAGCCCTATTGGGTTAAGTATGTCGCGTTACTAAAAACAAGCAGTTGTCTAACCTACTATGTAGGGTGGCTCAACGTCTTCATTGTGCTTAGTTACCGAGTAGGTAGGTAGTTAGTTGGTAACTTTGCTCCACTGGCCATGCTTTCTGATACCCATGTATGTAGGTGTTCTCTCATCCAGTTGTCCTCCCCACTACTGTACATATTCTTATCCCAGAAATTATAGGCGACAGCACTAGTTCATAAATTGGCGAGGTGAGGCAAGAGACGAAGGGCGAAAGACAAAAAGAATTAATACCCACATTTCTGAGGCACGATTCAAACCGGCTGAAGCGAAAGCATACGTATGGAGACTGGGACCATGAAACTTTTCTCACTTCATAGTTGCTAACTTTCAAATCCGTTCTACTGGCACCTTCGGCGACAGTCATCCTAAGCCTCTCCCACAGCCTACTCTAGTTCCAGGAAGATCAAGGACTATCTGTTAACCCTCGAAAACAACAATATTTGCCGCTTTTGGCACTTAAAAGACGCTCTGTTACGAAATTATCCGCCCGACCTATCTCATGCAAATGTGTGGTATCTATCCGTTATCCTAATAACGATCCTAGTACCACAGAATGCAATGAAACCAGTATACGGCGAAGAATAAAGAGGCAGTATCGACAGCCAAAGTTGACCGTGGCCCGCACGACGTTGATCCGTTCTATGATATATGGGGTGCCGATCAGGATGTATTTTTCTTCCGCATCGCCAGGTGCTGCTAGTCCATTGTCATCGTCGATCTTTCACCCCCATACTAGCGACGAGGGGACAATAACAAGCTAAAGCACTTTACATAGCTTAGCATGGGCCATTATGGAAGCTATTGAGGCGGAGCAAGACGATCAGCGAGAATCGTAGATTCGATTCTTCTACGAGATGCGGTATCCAAACTCTCTTTCAGAGCAGCCTACTGCTAGAGGAAACTTTTGGAGCAATGATTATCACGACACTGCATTTAGAGCCGAGGGTTATTGCCAGTAGTATGGATATGGTTTGAGGCTAGCTACCCGTAAAGTCTACTCGGTGCGTACGGCCCACCAGGAGGGCCGCGACGAACAGCTCCCGAATACGTACGTTCGGCATTCGCTGCGTTCGATATACTATTTCATACGTCACTCGATTATAGAAACCCCATCTCTCTTGAAACCCATTGCAGCGAGTTTAAGATCTACCGTACGTCACGAAGTCAGCAATTACACCACCGACCGTGTGTGTAGTTCAGCCGCCGCTAAATAGCGTTAACTGGCAGTTGTCGGAAAAGATGAACATCGATATGATAGGAGGATATCCAACCTTGAAACTACGTGAACCCGGTTTCCGTCCTCCACATCACATACACCATCCCTTACAACCGGTTAGCCAGTGGATCCGTACTTCCATGCCTTTGATAATACCACACTCAAACAATCTGGAAGCAGGAGTATTGGAAGCGACAGTTCGGGGATGATGCTCTCAGAGTCGGTAAGTCTGCCCCTTTAACAGCTGCCCGCGCTACTATTCTATGTCTTTGTGCTGCTTTTGATCTGCCGTCTTGGCCCTCCGTCTCCATGTCCGATACCGCTCTGAGAACTAAATAGACAGGCGCGCGATTCAAGAGGCAGAGGCAATCGCCTTTGCGGACTGGCGCAGTGGCGATTCCCACCAGCCCGTTCTCTGTGGTGAAATAGGTCTTCCCAGCAGCTTCCTTGAGGTGGACGGCAAAAAACTCATCGTTCTCACCTTCCGGAAAGCTATCAGTGTCTAGGCATAGACAGAAGAAAGGCATCAATGAGTTAACTGCTTTACTATGTATCGAAATCTCCTCTTCATCTCGACTGTTTCTTTGGCGCCGTCGAAATTTCTTCTGGATTTTGAATGCCAGGAATAAAATAGAAAAGAACAATTTAGGGGTTTCATCTTCTTCAAAGGTTGAGCTTTTGTTTTCCGGGATAATGCCTGTTTCGTAGACGTCATCGATATTTATACCGTCGCAGAAAAGTGTGCTAGGAGTGGCAAACACTAGATTTTGCCCAACTTCATGAGACTTAGCGATCTTGCTAGCATTGTGATATAAAAATTCATTCAATGTGACCACATTAGATACATCACCTGCATAAAGCTCTAAAATACCAGTGTGCTTTTTTGAGTCACAATAGCTAAAGTCCAGTGTCCATGACGGGGTCGAGGAAACCTCGTCATCAGTTGCTGCGAGACCTGCGTTGTTCCTCGTGGTAGATTCAAGGAGTAAATTAAATTTCGCTGCAATGTGATAGCTCCGCACAGAGTTGACAAAACGAGCTGTTGCGTATGTAAATAGCGTTTCGTAATTCTCATTATAGTCAATGGGAATAAGTTTTCCGACGCAACGTGGAAGAAGCGACTCTAGGGCGTAAATCTTATCTCGTGGATCCGTGGCTCGGTACGTGTCTGTTGCGCCCAATAACTGGAATAAACTGCGAATGGCATTCCCATCCTTGTTCTTCGAACCCTGACGCAGACGATTGAGTAGTGGTCGGTCAAAAATTACCGGGCCCTGGGAGCGAATGATGTCGTGCATTTTCAAGACCTCGTCTGTCCTTGCATCTAAAACTCCGAAAGTCAGTCCAAATTGGGACGATCATTTAAACGGAAGCACAGAACATATGGGCGTGCTTGACTGAAACCTCGCGAAAGCGGGATACGTTTTTACCTTTATTTTTATTATGTAAAATTTCGCGGAAGAGGAGGTTGGTCTTTTCACTACTCCAGTTCTTTGCGTCTGGTAAGATGTTGATGGCCAATTGGAGGGTTTGGAATTTGCATGAATGGCCCTGAAAATAGATAATCGGCGGAGATGCAGGAAGTGCGCCTTCTTGTAATGTCCATATTCTCTCCCACCAAGCGTGCGAGAAGATATGTTGTACATATCGAAAAAGCATGATATACAGAGCATATTTCATCTCACTCCAAGGCGGCTCGATTGAATACTTCTGAAACTCGTGGAGTATCGATTCAAGATCAAACTGATCTATTGTGGTCCCTCCAAAATTTGTAGGAAGTAGCGCAAGTTGCTCGCCTTGCCTAAGTTTCAAGTTTACGTCGCCCTTGGTAAGATAGATAACTGTATTTCGTGCCTGAGAATATATGTCTCTCATTAGTCGAACCTGGCGATTTCTTTCCTCATAATCTCCTTGATTGATGCAGATAGCGTCGATCCAAATAGTTCGAGAAGTTGTTGGATGCCGCAAGCCACGAAGAATCTCGAGAAGATTCTTCGTCACAGAGAAAGGCTGCATATCAACGAGGATATTTTTTTCGGAAATTTCTTTCCCCCAAACATACGATAAAGCTTCTGGAATTCCATTTTCCTTAATGCTATGCACTTTGAGACTGCATTTAATATCGTTGTCTTCGGAACCAGGACTAAGCTTAACAACTCGGACTTGGTCTGTTGTGAGATCAAGTTTGCTCTGGTAGACGAAGTTGGAGTTGAAGTGACTGTTGAATTCGAAGGAATGGATCCTTAGTTTCCTCGGTTTTGGTTCGCGGTTTCTAGTTCTATCATAAAGGCGATGTAAAAGGTCAAGATAAGCTAACGTTTTGTGCGGAACAGTAGCCTCTTGAACTGTGATGTCGATGTTGAACACATCAAGGATTTCATAGATTACGGAGGAGAGGATTTCAAACGGCGCTGCCAGAAACAAATAATCGCCCATGTCTACATCCGGAATTATATGGCTCCGTAAAATAGGTTCCGACTTTATGTCTTGAGTTATCAAGCCGTCTTCACCTTGTAGAGAGAGGGTGGAGGCGACATGTTGGGTACGGCAACCAAGTTCCCTCAAGCCAAGGTCTCCATCTAGAAACTCTGCAATTGCCTCTTGCAAGTAAAGAAATCGGCTGTCTTTTTGACATAGATCTCGCAAGATGTTAGCTACATACTCGCAGATGTCGCGAAGTTTTCTTTGGCGTTTCTCGACACTTGGACGCAAGCTAAGGGGCTCTGGTTGCACTCTAGCTGTCTCATCATGTTGGGATGTGGCTAGGGATTCTTGAGGAAGGATACAACTATCAGTGGGGGAATGCATTGCTCTTTAGATAAAATCATAAGATAGAAAGAGGTGGGCTGTTCGCTTTCAAGGATATGCAACAAATAGTATGACAACTGATCAATGCTGATTAGAAGTAACAATGACGGATGGTACTAATACCTACTAGCAACTTGTTGATAACTTATCCTTTTCTCTTACAGTCGTTCCGAATTTTCAGTGGGAAGAGGTCGGATTTATAAAGTCAGTGGCTTCAGTTTCACAGGCAAGTGAGCAGAATATATGTACTGCATATTGCAATCTTTGACATAATTCGCTTCGCTGATCTCCATCTTCCGTCGCTACGCGTTGGGCATCAAGTAATAGCTCTTCCAGTGTGCAGGCCTCTAATCAAGGCCCACGTTCAAATGAAGGACAACGAAGTGGCAAGTTCTGGGCCTCGTTGCACTCTGTAAGGCAAAGTCAAGTTGATTGGAGGTAACTCGAATACATGTGACTTGGGTGATGTGGCTATCTAAGTAAAGGTCGGATCTAGGATTTGGCAGCAACAGCTTACTGGCAAGATACCTACTCATCACTGCATATGCGAGACGACACTACCTGTGCAAACTGCACTGCCTTCAACACTGCCTCCCTACGAAGATGCTAATCCGGCGGTCGCCTGATGTACTACCACCCGCTACAACATGTTGACCGCAATAGATATCGCACTTTTCGTTGATACTACGGTGTGCTGCAATGTGCATGCTGGATTAGTGATAAAATTGATTTTCTCTGGAGACACGTCAGAGTACAGCTTCAATGTTGTAGCAATACGACGGCCCCAAATGTGCATGCAAAACAGCATATTACATATGTTCAGCGCGGGTAATAAGTATTAGCACATTTACTTGGTTTTCGTTTTGTTGTCATTACTAACCTATTCAAATAACACACTTCTGATATAGGTACGATCATAGGCCTGGTCTCACTCATTGCAGTCGTTCTCGACAGGAGCAAACCTTTACTATACTTAATTAATATCAATTCACTACAAAAGTGATTATCTCACTGGTCTTCGTCGTCAGATATCGTGCTTGTACCTCCCCCTTCGGCTTCAGCAATCATCTGGGTCTTTACCACTTGGCCTTCAGGAGTGGTATAAATATAGGCCACGATCTCCAGACCTGGAAACGGCGCATACATGTAACCGAGCTCAAACTCGGTCTTATCATCAACAGTTATACTTCTGTTATGCCCAGTGAATGTCATATCCTCCTTATAATATCCAACGGCTTTCTCGCCATGTTCATTGCCGTCGTTGTCGAGCGACACGTCGTACAAGGTCCCATCCTGCCCTAGCTTGCGATTCGTGTGTGTGTTGCCAGAGTAGTCGTTGATGGAATAGAGAATGTTGTGTTGGATGTTATAGTCCAGCAAGCTCCGTTTGGCATTCGTCGCTGATGACTCCGCACTTGTTGTGGTTGTCGTGCCTCCCAGATCATCCGTGAGATTACCCACGATGTCTCCTACGCCTTGCCCCAGCGTCGCGACGATAGGGTTCAGATCGATGACATTTAGGACGTCGCCGACCATCTGGACCACATTGCCGAGACGCGCCTCTAGTAGCACCTTGGCTTTGACATCCTGGATGCTCAATCGCACCCGGTTGATGCTCGCGTCTACCCCTGCTGTGAAATGGAGGAGATTGAGCACTTTCGCATCGAGGTTGATCTTGGCAGTGATATTATCAACCTCGATATCGATCTCGCCAACCGATACAGTTGCGTTGAGGAACACGTCAGGTGTCACTGGCAGGTCTACACCCGGAGTACTGGCGGTCTCATAGTTGGTTGATTCGGGATCTCCGCGTTTATGTAGCTCGTATCCAAAGTATCCATATCCGTCCCCTCCCTGGGCCACAATTGTCGAAGTACCGAAAAGAAGGAGGCTAACGAGAACTTTGGCGACAAATAACCTCATTTTGGGCGATGAGAAACGAGTGACGAAGTAGCAGGAAATCATGGATGAACGAAAGATGGGAGAGGGAGAGGGGAGAGGGAGGAGGAGGACGCAAAAGCACCTTGAGAGCGACCTCCGGCCATTCTGGGAAACTTCACCATATAACGCCAAAGAGATACGATCGAATAAAACTCGCCAATCATTCGTGCAAAGCTATGCTGGGGAGATTGCTCCGGTGCGTGCTGGCATTGGCTAGTGGAAGATAAGAATTGGTGGATTGGAATATAGGTATGACCTCATCTGGGGAAATTGCATGTCGATTTCGGGCTTAATCAAGATTTTGATCTAGATTTCGCATGAACTTGCTAGGAGTCAGCCCCGTGCTGATTGGGCTGGTCGCCGCCGGTGTAACAGATATATGGGGAAATGCAAGGGTAGGGCTCTCACGAACATGGAGGCGAGGGAGGTCAGCCCAGGCCTTCACCTACTTTTCCTATAGCTATCGGATTAAGAACTCAATGAGAACGACGGTGTTACCCGTGTCATTGGACCAACATCTTGACCATGGCCAGATCGCCATGTGAAGTTATGCCATATAAAGTAAGGGGCGGCCAACAAGCCGAGTCTAGTCGCTTCGCTGCTTTGTTCGCGTAGGTTTTGTTAGAGGGATGTCCTTCTCCTAAAACCATCCGGTAGGAGGTCTGTTCAACTCAGAAGACAACACACCTCGTCCACTCGTTTCCTTTGCTAGAATGCGCTCCCACTCGGTTGCTTCGTGGCTCTGCGGCTTCTTGTTGTTGGCCTTGGGCCAAGCCCAATCAATCCCATCAACCCCAGAAAGTAGTCAAACAATTTCGTCAACAGAGTCAACAGCCTCTCAGAGCTCTCCAGCGACCTCATCTACAGGTGACCCCGGAACCTCGTCACCAGGGACAACAACAACAACACGCGCAAGCCCGGGCGATAGCACCACGACAAGCTCAGGATCCAGCTCTTCGAGCACGACCCCTCCAGATGTCTATCTCAATGTGCCGGAGCTCCACGTGGGAAAGATCGAGCTCGATGTTGACGATCTCAACGCGGAGTTAACGCTCGCCGCCCAGATCGCATCACTCGTCGAGATCAACGCCGGCGTACAAGTCGGCATCTCGAAGGTGAACATCACAATCGCCGAAGTCGATGCCGAACTGGAACTCATCGTGCGCCTGGGGAATCTCGTGGAAATCGTCAACCGCACCCTGACGACCCTCAATCTCAACCCGCTCCTCATCAACGTGATCAGCGAGGTAACGGACCTCGTAGACGCGGTAGTAGGCGCCGTCGACGGACTCCTAGGGTCCATCGTGAACGGCGATTCGACCATCAACTTCATCATCGACAACCTGGGGAACATCGTGCAGGAGGTGGCGGGCGGCGCGGGCCAAGCGCTAAGCAGTATCGTGGGCAACTACGAGCAGAACATGACGTACACGGGCGCACAAGAGATTCTGGATGGCGGATTCATCCAAAAGACTTACTCGTATTCTCCATTGAATGCACTTGTTAATATTGTGTTTAATAGCCTGGGCCAGGTCGTGCAGGCGGTGGTGGTGAAGAGGGATGGGTCTGGCGGCGGCACCTCGACTACGTCTGCGACGGCCGCAAGGCGCACGGTTGCGGCGCGGAAATAAGAGAAATATTGTAATTTCATATGATAAATAATCTAAGTATGAAATATCGTTGATCAAAAGATATCGTACTTCAATTCCATGATGATGACACGAAATTCTGTGATTCACTATTGCACGGTAGCGAAACAATGTAGACAAGAAAGAATTGGCGCCGGGTTACACCTGAGCCAGGTACCTCAATAGATGACGAGTTATTCGGATCGAAATTACTTCGTATCACAGACCCTGCCGCGGTGTAGGCCCTCTCCCCTTTTTCAGAGTCTTCTCCAGCAAGTGACTATATAACAAGGGCAGAGATTTAGGCTTGGAACTTGATTCTATTCACAACATAATGGTCAACTAGGGCTGTATGAGTCCTTGACCAACCAATTCCTTCTTAGCCTTAGTCGCTTAACTCGACTCTATATACAACTAGTCTACCAGCCGGGCCACCTAGGTTAGGTCTCGTTAGCTTATTTCATAAAGCGAAGTCTATATAACCTCACTTTCCAATATTGCCAGCATGTCTTTGAAGATCATGAACAGCCTGCAATGGCCTTTCGTACGGCCGAAACGCAAGGCGAATTGCATGTTCAGCTCGTACGCGTGTACCAACTGGATGTTAATAAAAGCTCCTCGGACTCTTAGGTCTGGAGACAAATATGCCAAGTGTTGTGCTCAAGTACTTATAAGCTTCGAACTTCTTATTTGAAAAAAATTATTAATACCCATGGTTACTGATTCTACCGGTGTCATCTATGAGACACTGTCCAGCCAGTGATTATCATAGCTTCAAGGGAAGGAATGGATCACTAGATCACAATAACTCGTTTTATGTCATTGTAGTGAGTACAGTTAAGGAACAATTGGTGACTCTAGGAGTAGCAGGGGCAGACAATAGTTGAGTCTAAGATCTCAGTCTTTATGAATCCTGAGAGGTAGCTTCAGTGTGAGATTAGAGAGTCCCGTATTCTACGACACAACCACACAAGAAAATAGATTTAATAGAGTAGACTATATACAGCTGGAGTGTTATATGATTTTAAGTACAGAGGCTACAATCTTCTCAAACAGGGCCTTATCATTCTATTCATCTGCTCAAAGGCCGTTTCCACGCTGGCGATGTCGGGGAACGCTCAGAGTGCTGCTACTCCAGAGCCTCCGCTAGATTTTCCGTCATCCGCGTCCATTCTTTCACGGACTTGACCACTCGATCCAACAATTTGACAACATGATGGTGAAGTCCCACGTCGGCATGGTGTTTGTACTACACCCGCAGACCCCTGAGGTCATTAGGCATGACTAGCTCCAGCAGCGTCCTAATAACAAGACAGCGCTGCCCCCTCTAGGAAATGCTTGATGTTGAATTTCTGTAAGCTAAGGGTCAACCCTGCCTTGTTGCACTGGGGCGGTAACTAAGAATCTGAAGGCGTGACTACAACGTGCGAGTTGATAATGGAGGAAAAGATATGTTTATGTTTCCGAAGCTCATTGTACATGATATATATAAGATCATCGATAAGATATATAAAGTCATCAAGGAGAATTATATTTCATGCGGTAGTGGTGTGAGTCCATTTGTGTGAAGCGTTAGATCGAGGTTGTTTATGTTACACGTGTAACCTCTGTACCGGCTGAAGTATGCAGTTCGCCTTGCACTTCGGCCGTACGAAGGACCATTGCAGGCTGTTCATGACCTTTCAAGACATGCAGGCAATATTGGGCAATATTGGAAAGTGAGGTTATACAGACTTCGCTTCTTGAAACAGACCCTAAAGACCCAGGCGGTCTGGGCTAGCAGATCATTTATATATAGAGTCATCTCAAGCCACCAACAGCCGAGAAGGAGTTAGTTGGTCAAGGACTACTGCAGCCCTAGTAGATCATTGTAATCAGAATCCTCAGTTCTAAGCCCAGTTATCTGCCCTTGTTATAGTTTACGGCTGAATCTGACATCTCGAAGCATTGCAGCCACCACATCCCCAAACAATTTCTATGTAGCTAGTTCATGCCAGTACTAAGCGCTGGTTTTTAGGAGTTGAGAGAACTCCCTTTTCCTGACTGCACATGTGGATATTCCCGTAGACAGAGGGAGCGCAAGAGGTTTAAGGTACTTATGTTCTCTTCTCAGCGATTAAATATATACGGGGAGAAATAGTATTGTAAGGAGCTGATACCCTGCCATCTTGTTATTTTATATAGCGAATGATAAGCATGACATTTGCTAGGTAGTTGACAAGAATGTTAGAAGATGAGAATATAAATCTGGCATTTGACAAGCTCCTAGTGTCGTGAAGTATTTGTTCCGATGCCCTATGTGACTTATAAAAGTTACTCGTAGCTAATAATATATAATTTCTAATTGGACAAACTTCTCTTATATAATATAGTGTACTTCGAGATTATGTGAAGCTCCTGATAGCTCAGTTGGTAGAGCGATGGACTGTAATTGAAATTATACGTAAATCCACAGGTCGCGTGTTCGACTCACGCTCGGGAGACTTGCATTTCCTTTTTCTTCTTTGTTCCTCTTATAATCAGTAATTAAATATCTTACTTACTAATTAACTAACATATGGTGACTGATGTCAATTTTTGCTGTAATGAAACTGATTGGAATGATGGTTGACTTAAGTTTCGAGGTGGATGATAGGGAATAAATAATTAGGCAGCATAGAGTAATTATGTTGGCTGGCCTCTAGCTAACAGCTCTTCGCGTTTGGCCATTTTAGGCAGTCAGCACCATACACCTCTTTTTATCACCCTCATCACCCAGATGAGGACTGTTTTCTTGTCATGTTTTAATAATTCCCCTCTACGACGACTGATATCTTCAACTAAACAAATGCCTATCGAGCTACCAGTCCTCACTGTTATTGACGCAACCGCCTGGTCGAGCTGGCTCGCTCGCAGCGCCACTACTTCCAAAGGCGTGTGGTTGACACTAGCAAAAAAGGGGAATACGACCCCTACGTCGCTCACCTACGCGCAAGCTCTAGACGAGGCGTTATGTCAGGGTTGGATTGATGGCCAGGCCCGAGGCGGGGATGAGCGCACCTACTCACAGCGCTTCACCCCACGAACAGCCAAGAGCTTGTGGTCCCGCCGTAACGTCGACAATGTCGCGCGTCTCAAGAAAGAAGGCAGGATAACAGCCGTCGGGTACGCCGCCATCAACGCCGCAAAGGCAGATGGGCGCTGGGAAGCCGCGTACGCCGGACAATCGACGGCCGAACCCCCGCCCGAGTTCCTCGCCGCCGTCGCCGCCGTGCCCGCGGCCCAGGCCACATGGGATGCGCTGAGTCGGTCCAACCGCTTCGCTATCTACTTCCGGCTCAACGCGCTGAAGACCCAGGCTGGCAAGGAGAAGCGCATGGCGGCGTTTGTCGAGATGCTTGCGCGTGGCGAGACGTTATTACCTCAGAAACAGAAGCCTCCTGTATCGAAACAAGCGAGCAGGGCGCCGTCGAGAAAGAAAGCGGGTTCTAAAGAAGTTGGGGAGAAGCCGATGGTTGCGACTCGGACACGAACATCACCTGGTGATAGTGGCATAGTGCGGAGATCAGCGCGTCTTCAAGGGAATGCGGCACCGTCTTCATGACGGTCATTTCTAATCTTGAGCGATCTTGATTAGGTATGTGAGCTTTAACTGGTTTCAAGATTTGGTTTTGTATCCGTTGGGTGCTTCAAAAGATGCCCAACAAAACATGTATTAAAAGGCATCAAAAAGACAGGCGAGATACCCTTCCATGATTTCTCCATGTCATTTACAGGAAGCGATGTATTTTGATTGATATAGCACGTCGATGTACATAACACAATGATATATGATATATATCGAGAAGCATTAGGTAATCAAGTAATCTATATACATACATCCCTTACGAAGTACTTACATACATAGTAAAGTACTTAGGCCCGATCTCTCCCGCAACCGTCAACGGTCTTAGCGCTGCAGCTTGGAGCGTTCCAGTGATGCGCGCTGCCCGGCCCCGGCGCTCTCTTGGACCAGGGGTTCGCTATGGACGTACCTGACTGAGCCTGGGGTTACCCGGCCAGGTACACCAAGCTCTGATGTGTCCCGGTGCGTTGTATGCAAGAAGTACTGTTTTCTGCAATTCTAAGCGCTCGCAGCGCTATTTGGATGGGTCGATGAACATAGTCGGTACTTGGAACATGGAGGGCGGGTACTTTCTCTTTTCATTGTTAGTGCTGCTGCAGCAGTGGCCGGCCGGCCGAAAGTGCACAAATGGGCCGGCTCGATTGATGATTGATTGATTGATCAATGATTTCTGCTACCTTTTCATCGTCATCCACATCCTCCCGTGACAATCCACCTTCGACAATCCACATCTACATCCACATCCACATCCCTCCATCTCTGGGATTGGACTGGACTGGACTGGACTAGACTGGCCTGCCTGACCTGGCTTTGCTTCATCTGACCTGGCCCACGACAGACAACAACGGCCAACACAACAAAACCACCACCACTACCAGCATCAAAGTGGCGCAGCGTCGCCTCACCTTTTACCTTTTTACCTTTACCTTTACCTTACCTTGCCTACCTCACCTCACCTCTTGACCATCTTTCTTTTTTTGTTGTTGCTGCTTGTGCCGCGGCCCGTCTGCAGCCTCGCCTTTTTTTTCAGCCCTTTTTTAGCTTCAACCGTCACGTCACGTTGAATCAAGTCAATTCCTCTCTCCTTCACTATCTCCTTCACTATCTACCTATTCAGTCGTCGATAGAGGCTTTGGCACAGCCAGCCGCATTTGGCATTTGGTTACCGAAACTACATACATACATACCTACATACCTACATCCCGCGACGTCGACTACGCCTCCATCTCTGAACCATTTGACGAGATAATACCCACTACTCACTTGTAGCCCGTCGCATATATACGGCTACCATACTTGTGGAGTCGCTAGACTGGTCCATCTGATACCTATACCAAGTCCATAATCCCAACCATCTCTGCGACGGCGCAATCTGTTGCCATCGCCGTCTCCCTCACTTTTTCGTAACGTAATCTAGTAAGTTCGCACATACCTTCACCCACTGCCTTGCCCGCCCTCTTGTTTCGACAACACCAACTCAACCGCAACCTCAATTTCACCTGTTGCTCGGGAGGTCGCCATACTTCCTACCGCATATCGCCCATGTCTGATGCCTCCAAACACACAGATACAAATCTTGATCCCATTTCTATTGCTCGCCTCTCTGTGCGACATTCCACTTCTGTACAACATTTCACCGAAACCTCGCATCTCCCTTGTCTCCAACTGCCGTATCACGTCTCCAACCTGAAGAACAAACACTGCCAGCATCGCCGTCTCTGCATCTTTGCGTCCCTCCTTCCCTTCGTCTGAGCATCTCATCATCTAACTTGGCAACTACTTCAGTACGGAAAGGAGGCTGTGGCTTGTTCCCTCTCCCGCCCACTTGATCGTTCACACGGCATAGCCGCACGCCTCTTCTGCCAGGCCACACTACGATCGATCCACAACTAGCCTCTTTTTCGTCCATAACTAGCTGCACCGTGAACTACCCCACGACCGACCGCTATGCTCTAGCTGTCGGCGCTGAAGATTACATCAGAACACTACACATCCAGTCGCAAACCCCTCTCATGAATTCATAATAGAGGCGAGCCCTGCCTTCAGCCATCATGACGCAACCACGTATGTTGTTCTTCTTCTTGACTACGTGCCATTTGCTGCCCAGGACGCTTGGCAATGCGTGGTGCCCGGAGCACAACATTCATCTAATCCCATGTGATCTATAGTTACTGCAGAAGAGGAAGTCCGCTACACTGAGATCATCGATGGGATCCTAGCTACAGCTGACCTCGAGACCGTCACTCGCAAAAAGATTCGACTTGGACTTCAAGCTGAGTTAGGAGGCAGGGACTTGGATGCGCAAAAGGTGAATGCCACAATATTTTATTTAGACCTTTTCCGGCCTGATACTGCACCTCCGCATATTGGCCGTGTAATCAGCTCAAACTGCAAAGCAACCCTCACACATCCTTGCTTATAACCCCCCAAAATTCTCAACGTTACTAATATCTACTGTCGGAACACAGGATGCCATCAAAGCGCTCATTGAACAGCGTTTTGATGCGATATCGGCTGCTGCCGCTCCGGCCGACACGGTAGTCCATGACTCGAATCATCCACCCTCTAATGGTTACACGAATGGCGATGACTACGTTACCAAAGACGAGTCTGACGTGAATGGTGGCGAAATCAAGGTTTCGACACAACCGCCAAAGAAGAAGCCACGTAAAGAGCAGAGCACAGATACCGAAGACGCTGATGCTAAGTTAGCTGCTTTGCTCCAAGCACAGGAGAACCAGCGAACACGGACCACGCGTGGCGGGGGGGCTAAAGCCGCACCGAAGAAAAAGAAGGCAGCCCCCAAGAAGAAGAGTGAGAAGAGAGTCCGGTCAGAAGACGATAGTGACGTGAATGGCAGTGACGGTTCTAGCCCCAAGAAGCGTAAGGCCGGGGGAGGATTCCAGAAACCTTTCAATCTCAGTTATCCTCTAGCAGAACTATGTGGTGAACCTCAGGTCAGTCGATGCTAATCCCCTAACACTTTCCCCGTGATGCAGGCCATACTGTGCATTGCCGATTCATTTCTTTGTTCCTTTGTTTCTATATCATGACTAACTTTGAAGCAGCTATCTCGCCCCCAAGTTGTCAAGAAGCTATGGGCACACATAAAAGAGCACCAGCTCCAAGACCCCAACGACAAGCGCCAGATTCTATGCGATGAGAAAATGCAAGCGGTCTTCAAGGTTGCCAAGGTTGACATGTTTCAGATGAACAAGCTCGTTGGCAACCACTTATACCCCGTTGAAGAGGCGGCCTAGCCTAAGACGATCTATCCCATGGGTACAGAGAGTCTCTTGCACTATGAATGTGCGATGGCGTGAACGTCACTGTACCTACCTCTGGGCCATGTAATAGGCGGTGGCAGCCTTGACTTGGCTTGGTGTTTGGTTCCGCCCAACGTAAGCTGCCCCCTACACACCTATACACGGTGGCGACGGTCATCGGAGAATCAAATTTGACGGGTTACTTAATGAGTCTGCAAAGCATGGCGTTTTCATAGGCAGGCTGGTGATACATCCTGCGTAGTTGGCGTAGATCTATCTAATCCAGCAGGTATGGTATGGTATGGTACGGGATGGGAGGATACGGTATGGTAGGGTAGGGTAGGGTAGGGTAGGGTATAGGTTATTCAAAATCTATTATGAATTGACGAATGTTGAAATAGCCAAATGGCTGAGTACTTGCTCGGACTATCTATTAGTATCTTGAATTAAAGGAATGCTCATAGCTTTGGACTGCCTCTCGCTGATTGCGAAAATGTTCATGTGTAGTTACTATGTAGGTCTGACGAGTGAGTCAGCAAGCCTTGGCTATCAGCCAACCCGGGTTAAAGCTTAAAAGTCAAGCTTTCATGACTAATACTTAAAATACACAAATCGAACAAAGTTTCTAGATTTAGGTTTCCTGGTTGGTACTTATGATTGAGTTAGAAGCGCGTCCACTTGTGAAGTTTTCAGATGTTTAACAAGTATTGAAAGAGGTGCTCGAAGTCAATCCTGCAATTCCAACATTGGGGATACGTGGGCACCCACCCGATACTTACATATTATAAATATCATCAAAGTAGATGCGAGTGAGATTGCACATGGGTGGCTATGTGCGACTATTGGGATTTGCCCCGCGGGCGCACTCCACGGGTGGAACCTCTCTTCCGGGTGGGGTGGTGCTAAGCAGCCACAGAGCAAACGATGAAGGTGGCTTGGCCAGCCGGTGTGTGTCATTCAGACCCATACAAGCCTACTTACATAGTACAGGTATCCTCAACATGGACATGGATTACCGGTAGGTAATGATACATTGTCATATCTCGACCACCATTGTTCAACCTTGGTCATCCGGTGTCGCCGTGTCAGCTGCTTGAGCGGCTTGCCCTGAGTTGTGGCGGCTGCCTAGGTATCTACAGCTTGAGTAGTTAGCTGTCTGACTACCGAAGCTAGACAAATCTTTCTCGAAGCTCGGCTGCTCTGATTGTTAATACCAGCAACACTAATTTGCTTGCTTATAATAGCCGGCTCCGTACTTCGTCAGGTGTCTATGCCTATACAGACAAATACTACACGTCTCTGGAGACCTCTCGACTGCCGATTCAAGCGTCAAGAGCTATCTCACCCTATCATTGACGTCTTCAACGAGTATCCCCACGGCTCAGCCAAGCAGAGTCTTGCCCGTTGTTGCCTCTAACGTCAACGTCATTATTTCTGAATATTCCTTAGCGCAACACGACTTTTCCAGCGAAAAGCGATGGCATCAGCAACAGAAACTTCCGCTCCTGCCGAGACTTCTGCCCAGAGTCGTGGACGGGGTGCGGCCAACGCAAGAGGAAGAGGAAGGGGAGGAGGAGGTCGTGGCCGCGGCCGCGGTCGGGGCAATGCCAATGCATCAAACGGACGGGGAGGCGAGAGATCTCAAGGTCAGAGGGGGGGTGGCAATGCTGGTCGCGACGGAAGAGGAAGAAGCAATACATCCACTTCAGGCCCAGCGTCTGGACCGTTACCCGAGAACAGCCTTCCAGCAACTCAAGTCCAGCCCACGATTGGCGGTAACAACGACGAAGGGGAGGAGGATGTAGAAGCAGAGGTCTGCTTCATATGCGCAAGCCCAGTCATACACCAATCGGTGGCGCCTTGTAATCATAGGACATGTCACATCTGCGCATTGCGTATGAGGGCCCTATATAAGAATAAGGAATGCGCGCATTGTCGAGTAAGTGTTCCAGTCTAGGTTGGCTCGTCTATGAGTCGGTTTTGAGACTAATGGTTGGATTGTTGTCTAGACAGTTGCATCATTTGTCATATTTACCGATGACGCTGTAAAGCGATACGAAGACTACTCCGATCGTGACGTGACCAGCACTGACGATAACATCGGCATTCGGTACACAAACGAAGAAATAGTCGGAGATACCGTTTTACTTCTACGATATAACTGCCCCGATACATCGTGCGACTTTGCGGGCCTAGGTTGGCCCGATCTACATCGCCATGTTCGCAGCACACACAATAAGAAGATGTGCGATCTGTGTACGAGGAACAAGAAGGTCTTCACACACGAGCACGAACTCTTCGCCGACAAAGAACACGAGAAACATATGCGCCATGGCGACGACCAACCGGGTGCCGTGGATCAGACTGGATTCAAGGGCCACCCACTTTGCGCCTTTTGCGGATCACGGTTCTATGATAGCGACAAGCTTTATGAACATTGCCGCAACAAGCACGAGCGCTGTTTCCTATGTGATCGTGAAGATCCGAGACAGCCACATTATTACAGAGACTACAATTCCTTGGAGGAGCATTTCAAGACTGGTCATTACCTCTGTCCAGACCGCGAATGCCTGGAGAAAAAGTTTGTTGTTTTTGGATCCGAGATGGACCTGAAAGCCCATCAATTGAGCGAACATGGCAGCACTCTGTCTAAAGATGTGAGGCGCGAGGCTCGTCTGGTTGATTTATCCGGATTTGACGTTCGTGAGAGATACCAGCAACAACAGCCAAGGAGAGGTGGTGGATCTGGTAGAGGTAGAGAAGGCCGTGGAAGAGGGCGAGATCCAAATGCCGAGCCACTCCCGCCGAGCTCGGCCCAACCTCTTCGTCGAGATGAAATTTCCCTCCAGCGTCAAATGGCGATACAATCGTCACAATCTGTGTCCAACCGTACCTTTGGCGGCCAGCTTTCATCATCCTCCACAGCAGGCCCTTCTTCAGCTGCTTCGACTCAGGCGAGTCCTCGAAACACCGATACATCAAATGCTAGACCTACCGCACCTGCTGCGGAATTGGCGGGCCTGAGTTTGACAGATCCAAACCTGTCTCCCGAGGACCGCGCTCGCCTAATGCGCCATTCGGCCGTCATCGAGCGAGCCTCGAATCTCCTGCACAACGACAAAGCCAGGATAGACAAATTCCGCACCCACATATCATCCTTCCGACAGGACAAACTCGCCGCCCCGGCCTTCATAGACGCCCTCTTCTCCCTCTTCGCCGACATCTCGTCGTCGGCCCTGGGGACACTCGTCCGAGAGGTGGCGGATCTCTTCGAGGACAAGGCGAAAGGTGATAGATTGCGCAAGTCCTGGAACGACTGGCGAGCTATCAACGAGGATTATCCGACACTTCCCACACTCGGCGGCATGCGCGGCGCGACGACGGCGAGTAGTGGGTGGGCGGCTGCTGCGTCTGCTAGTTCGGGACCTGCGGTGTCGAGTGCGCCTGCGAATCAAAGACAACATACGACTCGTGTCCTGAAATTGAAGAATTCCACGCAGCAGTCCCGAAGGTCGAGTGTCGAGCATCCGTCTGTGTTGTTCTCGGGTGGACAACAACAGCAGCAGCAGCAGCAGCAGGCTATCAGTCGACAGGCGCCAGCAAATGCTGCTTTCCCTTCATTACCGACTCCTGCGGGTTCCTCTTCCTCTTCTCGGCCTCCTTCTGGTGGTGCTGCTTTATGGGGCGCTTCACCTTCAATATCTACACCGAGGAGTTCGACACCAGCTCAAAGAGTTAATAACACTCGATCCACTGGTAATGGTGGTAGTGGGAATGCAGAAGCTTTCCCGGCCTTGCCTGCTGCGCCCAAGCCCACGACTACGATCTTTGGATATGGTACCGGGAGAGGTGTTAGGAGGGATTTCATGGGACAAGGTAGGGATACCGGGTTTAGTTGGGGGTCGAGTGCGGCGGCTGGGGGAGAGGGGGGAGAGGGTGAGGGAGAGGAAGGAGGGGATGAGGTTGGGGGGAAGGGAAAGGGGAAGAAAGGGCGGAAAAAAGTGTTGGTGCAATGGGGATGATGATGGGTATGTGTGTGTGTGGAAGAGAGAAAGAGAGAGAGAGAGAGAGATGAGAAGGAAGAGAAATTGCTGTGCATGTTAAGTTTACGTATGATGTGTGTATGGTTACTTCCAACAAAAGCAAAGGAATGGGAAGGGAAGGGAAGCGTGGTGTGCATGTCATGTTGGAATACCTGTCGTATCGTATCAAATAGATGGATGCATCGTGTAGCTACTTCATATGTAGCTATACTCTGTAGTGGCCTACTTTTATAGAGAGGAGCTACTTCAACTACTAAGTATGTCGTATGTCATGCTTTGAAGGTGAAGCGAAGCGAGGCTGTTGGTTTTGTTTATCTATATAAGTACCTACCTAAGTAGGCGGAATTCTAGTGGTTTTGTTTGATGGGGCAGTCGAGTAGTAAAATGGTAAAATGGGGAAGTAGTAAAGTAGTCAAGCGGTCATTTACTGCAACGCTTATATATATATATATAGCTACTGGTACATGTACACATACAATAGTTCGTTGGATAAGGATGTTGGGTAGGGACGTTATCATGGACTACCCTCCTAAATTACGTCGTTACCTATTTATCTTCATTATGTAGGTATACTTCTGCCTCACCTTGAAGCAAGAGTTTTGCCTACCTACTGTTTGAGAGGTAGGCGGGCAGATTACTCATCTAGATAGCTACTGCGTACATATATATATATATATAATATCTGAGACTTACGAAAGAGTCAACTTCGACCACTCTGATTTTTGGGAAATTACGAGGTGATATGGCTAGCCAAGTGCAATGATTGAGATAGGACTCGGGGAGATAGATAGTGAGGAGAGAGTCGCCTTCCCTCCTTCCGTCCTACCTAGGTGCAAAAGATCTATAAAATAGATTATGTACTACGTAGATCATTTCAACATCTAGAGTTACCTAGCTAGGAAAGAATAAGTGCCTGTTTTTGTTGCTTTGTAGCGCGTCCATAGCAATTGGCAGCGTACTACGTATTACGTCCAGACCCGTCCCACCCGTCCGTACAACAAGGGCATTATGATACCTATTATTGTGTGTTCGTATGCTGCGACTACCGAGAAGGGAACATCCGTCCGTGGCCACGCGGCTATAATATGGTGTGCCAGAGAGACAGTTACGCGGACAGATTTTAGCTTAGGCTAAAAGGAGCAGGGATAGGTTCTTTTTTTGTTCTTGGGTGTTCCCACAAGTTAGGTTATTAGTTGGGCGATGGCAGACTGCCTACCTAACCTACTCGCTACCTATTCTTATAGCTTCCGAATGCTGAAGTGTTATTCGCCTATGTCGTGCGCATAGAAATACCTATAAATAGGTTATCGATCACTTTTTTTCTTCTCTTTTCTTTGTAACTATCGTGACGGCGCTGAAGAGTAGAATTCGTCGGCAAGGCGGGAAACATCACGTGATTGGTTTCGCCAAGCCATTAAGCAAGTCATGTAAGAAGTGCAGAAGTGCTCGGATGGAATGGATGGAATGGAATGGATGGGCTGAGGACACCTTTGCCGATCATTCCATCCCCTTACTTACATGCTGCGAGATGCTGTTAGTACGCTACCTATCACCAGATCCCTACTAGCGGATCCCCCTCCCCCAAGCCCTAAGTAAGACAGTCTAACTACAGGCGGATTAACAGGTCTGACAGGCCTAGCTAGGTACCTAGCCCGCCTAGCCCGCCTAGCCCATCGTCCCACCACTCTGCCACCACTTCTGCTCCCGAGCCCTTCCCGTCTTCCTGTGCGCAACGAAACCGAACCAACTGGACCAACCAGCCAACACGAGCATGGCCACACCAAGTCCTACCTAAGCACAGATACCACCATGTATGTCTGAAGACGCCAGGCACCCCATATTACCATTATTATTATTATAATCCGTCTCACTTACTTACTAGAGCTCTCAACTCTCATCTCCTCCATCATCACCACCCATCAATCATTATCATCATCATCATCATCATCATCATCATCCCCCCTTGCTTCCCTCGATAGTGTGTATGCGTATCGGACCGTCTCCTCCCTTGTGTCCGCCTTGTTGTGAGACACATCTCGTCTCCAACTGTTGTTTCGGCCTTCTCACTTCCTCCACCGCTGCCGCTTACATCCATCGTATACGAACATCATTCGCCACCGAAGCGCACCACCTTATTCACCGAGAGACATCATGGTACTAGAATAAATACACCCAGCGCAATAACAGACAAACTATACCTTGAACTCGCTACGGCAATATCTTATTTCAAGCGTCTTAAACAGAAAAGAAGAAGAATACAACAGACGAAAAAGGAAAAGACATCCTACCACCACGTAAACGCCGCTCGCGAGTCGGCTATCTATATGTTCCTAACCCGAAAACGACTGTCGATCGTGACCTTATTCTCTCACCCAATCAACTTGTGATTTTGAACATCGCCATATTCGTCCGCCACCCCCCCATCGACAGGCAATAGTGACCATTCTGTCGGGTCTCTGTTGTTTGCTCAGAGGAATCCTTATTCCTTGTCACCAAAATTTGATGAGTTGACCTCGTCTAACACACCCCGCGACTGGACTGCTCTCTTATCTCTTGCATGTTGCCTAACCTCTTCCCACCACGATTCCGCAGCATTGGATACTTCGGTTTTTTTCTCTGCTTCATTTTTTTGGGCCTGATTCGACCGTTTCGCCAGCAGCTACTCGTTCCACTATTCAACTTTGGACAACATGACGGTTGCTGGTTCGTAGTACGGCTCGCCAAAATAAATATCGCGTAATCATTGTCTGCGACTCTGCAAGCTGCGCCGTCCATCATGTTGCTCCGGCCTTCTGGAGAGGGACGGTCCGCCGTACCGCAGCGGGCAGTGTTTCTTGCCCTAGCCGTGCTCCTCACAACATGGCTTCAGCTTGTCGATGCTCAGCAGCAGCAGCAACAAGTACCTCAACACAGGTCCGTGGCGCAACCACCACACCTTGTTAACATCGTCAAGGATGGCACTTTCGAAGTTGACACGTCCACGCCTAAGCAGCGAGGTCTTCCTCGGCTTCGACAAGAGTTACCCTCGGTCGATCAGAACCGAGCCGCGCCCAAGATCTCTTCGACGAGACCTAAGAATCACGTACGGAGTCCTGGAAGCGGGAGCTCCATGTCTACTACTAAGCAAAACCCCAATGACATCCCATATATCAACGATGCGAGCGCCCTCGCGACTTTGGCTCCGGGTAATCCCGTACGAGCACCAAATTCTTCACGTCATAAGCCCAGCATCTTGGCTGGTTCTGGGCTATCCTCGCTGCAGTCTGCGCGGAGTCTGGAGAACTGGGAAGTCCAAGACTACATCCTTTTGGCGACCATCGATGGACATCTTTATGCTGCGGATCGCGAATCGGGCGACGAGCGCTGGCACCTACAGGTCGAACAGCCCGTCGTGGAAACCATCCACTACCGCCCAAATACTTCATCTCCGCATGGCAAACGCGACCCAGATCGTCACCCACTAGATGATTACGTCTGGGCCATCGAACCCACTAACGACGGCGCCGTCTATGTTTGGGCGTCTTCGAACTATGGTACAGGTCTTATGAGTACTGGCTACACCATGAAACAACTCGTGGATGAAATGGGTCATTACGCATCCTCGGATCCTCCAGTAGTATATACTGGTCACAAGAAAAATACACTCATCACTGTCGACGCCGCTACAGGCAGGGTGCTGAAGTGGTTCGGACAAGCTGGTTCGCAAGTAGATCAGAGTCCCACATGTTTCCCTCCGAACAGTCGATTCCCAGACAGCGACACCGAGGAATGCACCAATGGTGGCAGTATCACTCTTAGCCGTACAGAGTACATCGTAGAGATCCATCATCGAGATAACGGGAGGGATATCGCGACCCTTAGATACGCCGAGTGGGGTCCCAATAGTTTTGACAATGACCTTCGTCGACAGTATCATGCACCGCCAGATAACCGATATTTCACCAGTCAGCACGACGGTCGGGTATATGCCATCGCCCATCCCGCTAGTACTACCTCGTTTGCTCTTGAATTTCCCGTTCCAGTTGCTCGCGTCTTTGATATCGCAAAACCCCTAGACGCACCCCGCGGCAGTAACCCTGAACTTGTGTTACTACCACAACCCATATATCCTGTTCGTAACGAGGACTCGGCATGGGCCCGAAGTCATAGCGTCTTCCTGAATCAGACCGAATATGGCGGTTGGTACGCCATGTCGGGCCGCTTTTATCCTCTTGTTGTTGACGCCCCAAACGCGTCGATTAATCATAGAAAGTCGAGTGAAGCTCTGTTTGATGATGCGTATCTCTCTGCGGCTCTAGTTGGCGTTCATACCCTCGGTGACGGGATTAATTTGCCCGATTGGACATCAAGCATGCCGCCTACTCTGCCTTCGGAATCCTACAAAGAAACTGAAGTACAAGATGATGCACCAAGAGCTCCTGTTTCAACAATAGTAAATGAATCAGTACCTCGTATGCGCATGTTCAGTACGGCAATATCAATCCCGCAACATGCCGTACAATGGACTCATGATTTACTCACAAACCCCCTTGGCTTAATACTCTCTATCATTGCCTATGTTTATCTCTATAATCTCCTACGGGGTCCTCTCTATTCGTTATGGAAGAGGTTCTGGTACAAGTGGAGGCCGGCTGAACCCAACAAATTGAATGACAACTCCAACATTGAAATCGAAGTTGAACCGACCTTACCCATCCCAGATGCGGAAAAGGCTCATCTAGTAGAACCCATACATGGTAAACCAGATGTCAACCCAGGATCACAGCATGCTGCTGCTCCTCCTCCTATAGAATCAGAGGCTATATTGGTGGCTTCTGTTGATCCGGAGCAGGAAACGCAACCAGCTGAACAAGAATCACCGGAAAAGAAAAAGAAGGCTCATCGAGGCCGGAGGGGAGGTGTTAAGCACAGGAAAGGGGCCAAGAAACAGCGCGACGGCGCAGACGAGTCTCCTGATAACTCCCCAGAAGAAATCGGTAGTCTTCCAGGCATAGAGAACGTTGCCACTCCGCCTAAGCCGTTACCAAATACGTTGACGGCCTCAATCGAACGTCAAGAATCCACCGGGCCTATCATCAATATTGGAGGAATCGAAGTCAATCAGGAAATGCAACTCGGCATGGGAAGCAATGGCACAATTGTTTTTGCAGGCAAATTCCATGGTCGTGATGTAGCGGTCAAGCGCATGTTGACACAGTTCTGGGATATTGCCACACAGGAGACACAGTTACTACTGGAAAGTGATCAACATCAAAATGGTAAGCCATTCTTTGCCAATCGGGTTATCGCCTGACGTACTTAGTTACTCACACGTAATTCTAGTTATCCGATACTATGCCATGTCGAAGAACGAGAGTTTTCTCTACATTGCATTAGAGCTTTGCCAAGCATCTTTGTCTGATGTAATGGAGCGACCGGCGGCTTTTCCTCAACTTGCGCGAGCTGGAGAGATGGACCTACCACGGGTTCTTCTACAGATAGCAAACGGCCTCAGTTTCCTCCATGACTTGCGTATCGTCCATCGTGACCTCAAACCACAGAATATTTTGGTCACGATGGATCGTGATGGCCGATCACGACTTCTTGTGTCAGATTTTGGCTTGTGCAAGAAACTTGAAGGTGGGCAGTCTTCTTTTGGGGCTACGACGGCGCATGCAGCTGGCACTTCAGGGTGGCGGGCTCCCGAGCTTCTTGTCGACGATGACCCCCGCGAAGGGTCCAGTATGTCCATGTCCAGCGTGCATAGCGATTCTAGTAGCCAACTTGTCAGTGCCGATGTCATGCCCAACCGACGAGCGACTCGTGCTATTGACATATTCTCTCTGGGACTGGTCTTCTTCTACGTGCTTACTAAAGGTAGTCACCCTTTCGACCGTGGCGGCCGGTTCATGAGGGAGGTCAACATCCGGAATGGACAGTTCGATCTGAAGCCGCTGGACGTGCTCGGTGATGTGGCATACGAGGCCAAGGCGCTCATCAGAGCTATGCTTCAGGCGGACCCACGGGCTCGACCGACAGCTAGGGATGTCATGGCCCATCCCTTTTTCTGGACTCCCAAGGAGCAACTTGCATTCCTCTGCGACGTGTCGGATCATTTCGAGCTCGAGCCTCGCGATCCGCCGTCGGAGGCGTTGGCAACGCTGGAGAGCTACGCGCACCAGATATGCCGCGGTGATTTCCTCAAGGCGTTGCCCAGGGAATTTGTCGACAGCCTAGGCAAGCAGCGCAAGTACACGGGGACCAAGTTCCTCGACCTGCTGCGTGCGCTGCGCAACAAGCGCTCCCATTACGGTGACCTAAGCGATTCGCTCAAGAAGATGGTCGGCCCTGTCCCTGAGGGATATCTCGGGTTCTGGACGCGACGGTTCCCGAATCTGTTGATTATGTGCTGCTCGATTATCTACACGCTTCATTTGCAGAATCTCGATACCTTTCAGGAGTATTTTAAGCCTAGGCGTCCGATGTAGTGAGTAAGCACGTGGTCTGGCTGGGTTGGGGGATTGTCGAGGTAAAGGCGAGGAGGGGAAAGGCGGAGGACGGGGTGCATTGCATGTTAGGGGAGATGGATATTGAAATCGATTAGGTTATCGGGGTATCATGTATATGCGGCAGAGTTGGGGTTAGGTAGCGATGTTTTGTGGGAGTCATGGTTTATTTATTATATTGGTTGGTGGATGAATAGCGTATTGAGATGAATACAGATGTTGTCTTTTTTCGAAGGTTTATTTCTTTCTGGGTCTATGGACTATACTCGACCGGTGATTTACTGGGCTGTTGATTGATCGTTCACGATGATGGCCTGCCGTGTTAGCGTTGGCGCACCTCACTCAACGTACTTGAGATGTGATGTGATTTGATTTGATATGATACCATAGGAGATAGCTTGTTACATAGGGAACGTGTTCTTAAGTTTTTTCATAAGGTAATGGATTATTATCATATCGATGAATAAGTAGTGTATTTAACGAGATATTAAATGTTTTTTTTGTCGAGACTTTATACTCCCTCCTTCTCCCTTAGGTTCGGCTGTTGGTTGATCATTCATGATGATGATGTATCAGTAGGTATATAGGTATCCTGATGGGTGGTGGCGCACCCTAGACTAGACTAGCTGATGTGACCGTATCTATATCTACTTACTTGAAGTCGCACGGGTCACAGTTGGTGAATGGCATTCATTTACTATGTGGTACTTATCCAAAGGTAGGTAGGTGCTCTGTATATATGCCTCCCTGTCTACATAGGTACTTGAGGGTAGGTTGTCCGGATAACGAGATGTTGTACCTATCGTGTCATATGATAAGTAATTAAGTACTTCTTCACTTGACTTAGTTACCAAGACTTTGCATGTGTTTATGATGCTGGCGGTTTGATAGAGTGAGGGAGCATCTACTTATGTTTTTGTGTGAATCCCCTCCCCTCCGCTGTGTCCATCGTTTGATGTCAAGGCAGGTACTACCTACCTACATGTAGGTTAGGTACCTAGGTAGAGTACCTACCTAAGGTATTTGACGGCGAGAAATCGCTCTTGCCTTGCCTGCAAACACGGCATCGATTTCGGCATAGATGTAGGTACATGTTTACATCACATTCTCCTCGCATTCTCTCTCTTCTCTTACTGATTGTCTGTCTGTCTGTCTACTTATCTAAGATCCTTTCGAGCGTGGGACATATACACACTATCTCACACTCCTTTTCTCTCAATTTTTTCTCTCGTTTGGAATTTCAATCGGTCTTGTACTTGTTGTTTGCTGCCTGTTTTCACGGCACCTTGACTCGCCTCGCCTCGCCTCCACCTCGAACGCATCTCCAATTTCTTCCATCATCGATGTAACTTTCTTCTCACCCACGCACTTACTACTTCAATACCTATCATTTGCATCGCATCAGTATCTGTCGGCTACCTACATACCTTTTCCGTATCTGTTTCATTTCTGTTTCGGAGGACATAAGGCGAAATTTGTAACTGGATCGATGCGCAGATTCGGTATGCGAGAAGCCGAGAGATGACATGGCATTGTGCATGTATACGATCTTTGCCGACAACGACTTTGATATAACATCCAGACCCGGCTTTCCGTTCTACGCACTTCGGCTTTTGCGCTGAGCAATCATGATGCGTACAAAAGATACACGGAAAGCACGCGGCCGATCACGAGGGGATGTGAATGAGATGCCTGGTGAAAGTCGAGGGTATACCGAGAAGCGCATCGCTGCGCCGGGAGATGCTGCGAGGGATCAGGTTATTGTCATCGAGTCTGATGATAATAGTGAAGGCGATGATGATGAGGGGAGCCTAGAGTCTGTGTTGCCTGCTTTGCCTCGTTCATCTAGTCGTTCAGCGGCTGAGGCTGAGAGGCGAATATGGCGCTCGTCGACTACTGTATGGGTGAATCTCATTTCCCACGTAACGTCTTTTTTTATTTTATTTTATGCTTTTGGTGTTTAACGCGATTTACATATTGTATTGCCTCGTCCTGCTTTCTTTAACTTCTCTTTCATTCCTTCAATCTCATTCTCATTTTTCGTTCTCTATTGCCGAGGATATGAGGTGGGAGACATGACCGGTGCCTACTAACTCAATATGTATGCGTAGGAACCACCTAAGACCAAACACCGACCTTCTGTGTCGAGAGACCTTGTTGATGGGAAGCCTGCGACAATGATGACGATGAAGAAGGGTGGTGGGCATATATATGACCCAAGCGGACTGGCTGGCGAGAATGTAGCTACGGCGTCTAATTTCGCATCGTCTAAGCTTTCAAATGGCACTTCTTCGACAATGAACGGCATGGGCTCCTCTCCTCATCAAAGTGCATCGTCAGCAAAGGGTCCGAGTCTAGCAAGCCGTCACACACTCAACTTTCCATCAACTCCTACGTCATCGAGAGGTTCTGGTCATGCAGGTTCACAAAAGGTCAGCACCGCGAATCGCAGCGGTACCTTGACCAGAAGTTCTCCCTCTATACCTTCTTCTCTACCCCTCCCAGCTGTGAAGGGACGAATCTATTCCACGCCTCAGGCCCGCAAGCAGCGGAATATCGAAAACGGATTGAAGAAGCTGGAGTCATTTGGTTTTGTATCTGCCTCCTCGCTCCTTACTGAAACTAATGCTGCAAATTGCCGAAATGTTGCGCCTACACATATGTCGAAATCACAATCAACGTCCAAATTCAAGCCACATTCCATATCCAGTTCTATAAAGCAAGAATATTCTAGCCATGTAAGGCCCTTAGGAGTACATAGTGAAAACCAACAGTCGTTACTACAGACTACACGGAATACTGCTGGTGCCATCACACCTGTACCCAAACTCAAGGCGGAGTCTATGTCCACGCCCACATATCTAGCGACGACACAGTCACGAATTGGCAGTCTCCTGCCATCTCCACGAACCCCAGATAACTCCAAAGCCGGGAAGCAAACCGCCTCTAACTTGTCCTCTTCCATCGGCACCCGTGGAGATCCATACTCGATCTCATCCGACAGCGACAGCGATGAAGGCTACGATCATGATACTGTTGCCATGAGCCATGATCAAGGGAGCAGAAACCATGATTCACACAATCTTACCTCTCTGAAGAGTCTGGGCAGTTTTTCCGAGATAAACCGGAACGATGCCCACGAGACGGCAAGCGACGTCGAAGCCGTCCTAGAGCAATATCCCACCTGGCTTGATAGTCCTAGTCCAGCTAAGCACCGGTCTCGGGCAATGCCTTCTACTGCTACTGCTACTACTAAGAACGTTACTGCTACCATTGCCAAGACGGCTCCGCCTACATGGCCAAGCAAGAGATTGTGGAATACCGACGGAAAGAAGAGCAACGACAACCGCCGTGTCCGGTTTATCTGCGGATATGATGATGACGCGTTTAGTCCTTCGCCTCTGCCTCCTGCCAAACGTCGCGCTGTATTGGAGGAGTCGAGACATCCGCGGGTCGCTGAAAGATTCGCTTCTCTTGTTGTACAGCTTCATAATGCTCCGTCTAATTCTGAGATAGAAGTGCCTTCTATATTTTCAGGCGTAGAATCCAGGCACAAGGATGAACCTTTGGTCGGACATATACTCCCGTCGTCAGATCATAATTTGAGTCAAATTGAGGTTGAGGTTAACGATAGTCCGTTGGTCATAACTGTATCTTCTGATTCAGAATCAGAATCAGATTCGTATGGCACTATTAATCGACAAGGGGATCAGAAAGGTCTGATCAAACAGGAAGAAGGCACACGCTTGATACAAGAGAGAGAGAAGGGAGAGGGGAAGAAGATAGGAAAGAAGGCAATAAACGTCAAGGTGGAGGAAGACGCCAAGAACAAGGAGAAAATAGTAGAAACAAGAAAGAGTGATGGAAGTAAGGGAAACAAAAAGGAAAAAGAGAGGGGGAAGGCGAAGAAGAAACGCATAAAGACCAGAGAGAGACAGAAGATACGGCACCGTCTCCGCCATCAGGGGACTGCGGATCATGTGGCAAAGTGTCGGCATCGGAATCGTTCTGGAGGGGAACGTGAGCGAGCGGATTCCATGACAAGACTGAACTGAACTGGATGTCTAGACAGACATCTGCTTGTCGGATAGACAGACTGTAGACTGAACACCTAGATACATGTCCCAAGGAAAGTAGGTGACAAGGATACCAGCTCGACACAGCAGGAAGGAGATAGGGTATGTGTGTTTCTGTGTCTTTTTGTATGTATGTTCGTCCATCTCTCTCTCTCTCTCTCTCTCTCTTGGTGTATATTGGGGTAGATGTACAGTTGCACTTGCATGGATGGTATCGCGGACCGACAGACAGACTTGAGTTTCTCGAAATAATTAATACCCAGTTATTGATAATAATAATAATCAAAAATAATATAGAAAGCAGTACAAGAGGGGAATGTATAGATGCATGGATGCGTGATTGGAGGGGTCGTGTGTCATATTACCTCCCTTCCTGTCCGCTTCCTTACCTATGTACCTATCTCCTAATGATCCACACACCCTCTTATTCTAAACTTGAGAACCTTAAGAGAGTGGGTGAGCGAGCGAGAAGATGCGTAGGTTAAGTGCGTGAGCAAGCAAATGAGTAAACGGCAATAGTACACATCACAGAAGTGGTAAATACCCGAGTAAGTGAATTGACGATATTAACGTTATTATTGACATTGATGCTCGGGACTAATCCGCAGTGCAGTGTACATACGCATATTCATCATCCTATTCCGCACACCCTTATATTCTAACATTTTATTCTAGATATTATTTTCTAAATCTTGGGACCTGTAGAGGATATGTGAGTAAGTGAGCGCGCGAGTAGATGTTTGAGTTAGTGAAGTAAACGAGTAGATATCATACATGCATCTGTTTATTCACACCCATTGTAAGCAAGTCTTATGAATTAAGTAAGGTAGGTCAGGGAGAAAACATGTGTTAAGATTAATTCATTTTCAACTTCAACCTTACAGCTTCACATAAAATAAATAAAGCACATCGTATCAATTTTTAGCATTTTCTGGTTCAAATTATTCATTCATTCATTTTATTCATTTCATTCCATCTCCTGCCCATCTGTTCGTCCATCTTTTCTATCTGTCTAATTGATAGATCTAATGTGTATGCATGTATGGTGTAGGTAGGATAGGTGAGTAGGTATACCTGACCTGCTTTTCCCCCTTCCTTTTCTTAGTCTAGTTGTTGTAAACCCAAGTTCGCGCATGGAAAGATTTGATATCATTTCAGGTGCCGTACGGTTGTTGTTGGTGTAGTCATGTGCCCTGTTGTCTGAACCCCGGGTTTCCCCGAATCATGTTCTCCAACTTTCTGCACCACACACGACCAACCAACCACTTGCTTTTCCATTCCCGAAAGCAGACGTCCCACGTTTTTTTTTTTTTCAACTTCTATTTCTCTGTCAGATTGAGCCAGATATATCCAAAGATCCCTCTCAAAAGCAAAAATTTGGGAGCGGGATGGATGACTCGGATAACTGCGATATTCCGCGATATCCGAGTTTTGGGGCGGCCCCGTCAAGTGATGACTAGACGAGTGCTTTTTTTTCTATCAGAATGGATTGCTTATTAGGCTGGAGGGCTCATCTTAAGTGGCTTGGTACCCAGGCCGTTTGTGTTACGGAAGAACAAAACACCCTTGCCCTCGCCTACGGCTCCTTCGCTAGGCTCGACCCAGTGGCACCACCGCGCACTACGCCACATAGCCTGAATAAAGCCCAAAGAACCTCCCCTTGTGTCAGAGCGGTAGTGGCGACCCATGACCTTCTTGATGGCCTCGCTGGCCTCGTCGGCGTTGTAGAAGGGAATGGTAGAGACGTAGTGGTGCAGAACGTGGGTCTCGATAATGCCGTGGAGAAGCTGGCGACCGATGAAGCCAAACTCGCGGTCGATCGTGGCGGCGGCACCACGGACATAGTTCCATGATTCACCGGTGTAGTGGGGGAGAGACGGGTCCGTGTGCTGAAGGAATGTGATGGCAACTAGAATGAGAGGTTAGCTTGCCATCCCAGCAAGATACAAACAGATTACGATTAACACTTACCCAACCAGTGGTTGACCCAGAGGTAAGGAATGAAGTACCACACGAGAAGGTTAGACCAGCCAAAGTTGTTGCCCAGGTAGACAAGAACAGAGATGGTGATTGCGAGACCGAGATCGCTCAAAAGGATCAACTTGGCATCCTTGGCCTCGTACAGAGGGCTGCTCGGGTTGAAGTGGTTGACGCCGTTCAAGAAGCCGTTCTTCTTGCCCTTCCCTCGACCCTCGGGTTGGCGCTCGTGGTTGTCGTGGCCGGTGACGTTGGTCAGGAGGTAGTTGGGCCAGCCAATCAATTGTTGACCGAGAAGCATGATGAAGGTGACGATTGGGGTCTCCTCGCCCAGCTCGGATAACTCGTGAGCCAGCTTGCCGAGACGAGAGGCCTTCTCCTCGCGAGTCTTGGGTACGAAGACCATGTCGCGTTCCATGTTGCCGGTAGCCTTGTGGTGCTTGCCGTGCGAGATCTTCCAGCTGAAATAAGGCACAAGAAGCGACGAGTGCAAAATCCAGCCGACAGTGTCATTGAGAACCTTGGAAGGGCTGAAAGCCTGGTGGCCGCACTCGTGAGCCAGAACCCACATACCGGTGCCGAACAGACCCTGGACGAAGGTGTAGAAGGCCCAGAGCAAGGCGCGCACGGGTGTCGAGGGGATGTTCTCGGGGGTCACGTAGTTGTGGAAGAGGTAGAAGGTGGTACCCAGACTCACAATGTCGCGGGCGACGTAGGAGAGACTTGTGGCGGCGGATCGCTCGTAGCAGTGCTTGGGGATGGCATCACGAATGTCCTTGATGGTGTAGTCGGGGACTTCGAACTCGTTGCCGTAGGTGTCGATGAGCTTGCCGTAGGGGGACTTCTTGGTGGTGGTGGTGGCAGCAGCGTCTTCCGAGGCTAGGGACGACAGCGAGGTGGACGAGGCCGAAGGTCTGGGAGAGTCGAGGGGTGAGGCGACGGCGGACACATCGCTGTCTACCGTGGAGGCGGTATTCGAGGTGGCGGTACGGCGAACGGCGGGAGACTGGCGGGCCCGGCCCGTGGTCTTTGCGGCGGCCATGCTGATAAGCTAACTCTCTACCTCTCTGTCTCTTTCTGTCTCTTTCTGTCTCTCTCTCTCTCTATGAATGTGTCTTTCTCCCTATCTCTGGATACGGGGTAACGAGAGACTGCAGTTGTAGAGGCAGTGGGGTTGGTTGGCTTTGAGAGGGGGAGGGAGGGGGGGGAGTAAAGTAGGAAGAGGAGGGTTGGGTTGGGGGAGAAGATGAGGGCTAATATTGCTTTTTCTTTTTCTACTCTTTTCCCTTTTCCTCCTTGAAGGTGGACGGGAAGCCCGTTGTGCAGGATTAGCGTGGGCAGAGACTGTACAAGAGAGGACCTCGGGAGGTACCTAGGGGTGTTGAGAGATTGGTCTAGACTGACTAGGTACGCTAGACAGGAACAGACAAGGGAAGAGGAGAGGAGAGGAGAGGAGAGGAGAGCAGAGCAGAGCAGAGCAGAGCAGAAGCAAGGCTGGATAGATGCAGACAATCTGAATAGGGATACTTAGATAGGTATTGCCAGGTTGGGAATACTTTTAGGGAGGCGACAGATGGACTGACTCTAGACTGATTGAATAGTCTGTGATGGACCGTGATGAACAGACAGGCCGGGCAGACGGACGGACATCGAAGTGGGAATGGGGACGGGATGCGATGTACATGTACGCATGTATGCACATGTATCTGCTCTGGAGGTAGGTACTTGGAATTACATACAGTAGTAGGGATGCATATACTTTGGCGGTGAGCTGAGTCAACCCTAAAAAAAAAGTGTGTACCTCGCCTAATGCCCTATATACATGTATTCTGCGTAGTAGTAGCATCTTGAAAACACTGGCATACATACATATGATGAGATACCTGAGATTGTTGGGGAGAATTCAGAAGCCAAGCAAGGAATTCTGTTGCTACACAAGGTACCTAGATAAAGGTAAAGTAGGGTCTGGTACCTTGCTCTGATCCGACCTCGCCTGCGACGGTACAATACTACCTACCTAGGTATTGTATGTATTGTATACTAGGTACTCCCTGCCGATCCTTTTCTTTCTTTCAGGGTCTGTCTCCAACACAGGGAATCATACCTTAAGGGCCTCAAGTTCTGGTATCCGAAAGGCAAGCTTGGAGGAATCTACTGTAGTGTAGCGTCAGATCCGCTGATCGACCAGGGCAGAGACCAACCAGCAGCCACTACACACACAAAGGCACACACACATACACGGACAGACACGGGGAGAGAGAGAGAGACGGGGAGAGACGGGGATTATTTTTTTTGGCGTGCGACTAGCTGAGCATCAAGCTGGGACTCAATTGACCAATCATATAGACTCTGTTACCACGTCCCGCCAATCACGATATTCCCCTCGGCAGTGGAAATGCACATGGCCGACTCGACTCGTTCACATGCTTGGACCTCGCTGCCGGTTCTCTGTCAGTTCTCTTACCTGGTCAGACCTGGTCCATTCCTATTTTATCTGGGGGTTTTTTTATCCTTGCCGTGACTATGTTTGTTTACGGGGGTTTCCTTCTATCCATTCTCATATCATACTACCACTTAGATGAAACAATGTACTTATATTCACCGCCACACTCAATTATATGAGGATATCCCATCCGACATTCGAATTTGTACATAGTAGTGTTCTGAGTGCTGGCAAGTGCAAGTACAAGCTTCAGTAGGAGTCTCCGGTTCGGTAGGGATCAAGGCTAGACCGCCTCCATCATCATTACATGAGCTGACAATGTACAGTCGACAGCTACCTAGCCAACCAAGAACATGTATAGGTATCTCAGCAGATGGTCACTGGCGATTAGCTGAGCTGACTAGAGCTGGTTCACTACCTACTTATGTACTTAAGTACGATACCTATGTCAAACAACACACATGTACATCTAAGTAAGTGGCTTGCGTTGAATTGTCACTCACTCGCTGAGTCCGCCAATGATGGATCCGTCACCAGAGCTCTCTCTTTTAGCTCGGCTCGAATCGCCTTCTGCTATTCTGGCTCTGTCGATCCGTGTTCCTCCTCTCTCCTCATAGTCTTCGCCAGTCCTCATTCTGTCCTCACCTGCATATATTCACTTACTGTAGGTAGAGCAGTATACTTAATCGAGCGGTCGGAGCGCAACCTTGGCCGCACTTGTGGTGGGGTGGAGGGGTAGGATCCGGTCCCTAGCAGGGGAAATACCCGCTTTACACTAGCTGCGTGGGTAATGTAACCGGGATCCCGGTCCTTGGCAAAAACCCACCTATTTTCGATTTTTTGATTTTTTTTTTTTTCTGTTGGGGAAGACGGGATTTCTTGTTGAGGCCGAGGTGGCTACACAAAGTATACTAATACCACCCTAGTCAAGCATGTGCCTCTCTTCTCTCCCGAGCCGTCGGTACTCAGCGAGGACTTGTATGTCCTATGATAATGCCCTTATCAATAGATGAAGTCAATGTACATTCGAAGTACTGACCTCTCTACTTGGATGGTTGTTTCAGCCAGTTTCTGGGTAACACCAACAAATTGTCCCATCCACCCCACGCCATGACCATCCATGCCCATGCCCGCTTGGTTGGTTCGCAAGGCTGGCTGGCATGTTGCGGGGCAAAGTACCACACCTCATCCTCATCCTCATCCTCATGGCGTCGAAGCCAGCCAAGACACAGAAAGACACATACATACCTACTTACAGGTGTTCGCAATCGTTCGTTGTCGTTCGAGGTGACATCTTGCGAAGCTACTAGGTAGGTAGTCTACTGTTCATGTACATGTAAGTAAGTCATGGTAGCACAACGGTAGTGTAGTGTAGATACCTAAGTAAGGACCTGCTAAGTAAGTAATTCTAGGCGTACGCACATGTCCGGAAAACGATGCGTGACTCGCCGGGAGGATTCCCGAGGCATGTCCCTAGGTAACCTAATCAGCTACTTAAGTAAATCCGTTGCACGTGAAATCTTCCCAAAAACACATCGACATATATTACAATACAATGCCTACAAGTAACCGGGGTCGTCTTGTCTTCCCAATAGCCGTTAGATTTTAGAATACCTAGGTATGCTGGTAGAACACGGGTAGTGAAGTGTACTTAAAATGAAACCATCATAGAACTTCGTGGAGGATGATATGTGCATAGGTATGTATGTGCTTAGCTTTCCCGTCAATTCCCTCGAGTTTTTCTCTCTTTAAGTATATGTATTGTACGGTACGAACTCACTATTCGTGCGCGAAAACGATTCTGCTGTTCAAAATGGAAATTGATGTGACTGGACATTTCTCGTCTAGTATACGTGAACCTTCTTCCTATCTATCTCAGATGTTCATACCCGGGTCATAATTATTCATGCTGCATGCCGGGTTGGGGGAGTCACAGGGTACGTGGTATACCTGCCTATCTATGAGATAGACACGCCCTGATAGGAAGATGGCAAAATGAATGTACACGAGAGGAAAAATTGAGAGACATCTGAATTTGCCGAGTTCATCTTCTGCACGTAGGTATCGGGTTTAAAGGATTAGTTCACCTCTCCCTTCCTCATGATGTCCGGATAGAACCAATCGCTCTCTATTGCACGCTATATAGTAGCTCTCTTAGGTCCTACTTGACGAGAGTTCAACTAGGCGAGGCGGCGGCTCGACATTGGCGTGCGTGTGTCGAGCTGAGAAATATCCTTTCCATCGCCAGCGAAAACTAATTAACCTAACCTGCCCCGGAGAGGAAGAGGCGGCCGCTTTAATTCTGCATTCTATTCTATTACTCTTCTATTCCATTCATTTATTTCCTTCGGTCTCCTGGAGCCGCCAACAGGCACGTTCTCAGCAGATCTAGGCCCGGGAGCGTTGGTTCGCCTTTTCTGCCGTCGTCACTGATACTTCTCTCTCCTAGTCTGCTTCTCCCTTCCATGCTCCCAATCGACTTGTGTCGCTGCTGCTGCTGTTGTTGTCGTTGTCTGCTAATAGCTCGTGGTGCTGTCCTGCTCCGAAGTCTCTTGTAGAACATCGGTGGCTGGATCTCCTTGTGCACCACGCGCCGCTGGAGGACTTTATACACTGGAAACGTCGCTTTCCTGATCGGAGGAGGAGCCGCGCGGCTGGGCACGCTCTTCGCTGCGAGCGGCTTGGCTAGCTTGCGTGCTTGTTTCCGGTTCTCGTCTGCGAGGATCTTGGGGGTTCTTCTCCCGCGGGACAGGGATGGGGATGGCGCTTTTCCAATGTTGTGATGCGGATAGGTGCCCTTGGCTATCGTATCCTCGTTGGTGGCTGTCTTGTCGCTATGTTCTTTTTCTCTCTTTGCGCTCTTTCGCTGCTTGCTCTTTCTCTTTTGTCGCTTCTTTTTCGAGACTGGTTGGGTAGTGGTGCTTGTGTTGCTGTTGGGAAGGTCCAGCGTCTCTTCACCTGCGCTGTCTGCATTTGTGTTTCCGTCCGCACCGCGTTCGTCCGTGTCCAGCAGGAGGGCTTCTACTTGATCTAGACACTCCTCCTCGGGGGCCGGTGTCATGAATGCTGTCGACAACATCAGGTCGGAGAATGGTCGGACATAGGGCGCAGGACCAATCACCAGTCCTGCCTTTTTTTTGTCGAGAGTACGCGAACTCTCTTTCCTTCCGACATGTACTTCGTCTTGTCGAATTACGTGTTGAAAACGCGATTTCCCTGCTGTACCTTGTGATCCTGATGGCGTTGGATGTTGAGACTCACTGCGCCGCTTATTGTCGGTGCCGGAGTTGCTGTCCCTCGTCCCTGTTCGAGCTTGGTTGCTCGTTCTCGCCTGTTGTTTGCGAATCACTGGCTGCCGTGTCTCAGTCTGCGTCGAAGGTTCAATAGTTTTTTCCACACTGACGGTCATCTCAGAAAGATTGTTATCCATGACACCGTCGTCGTCGTCATTCTCAATCGATGGAAGAACATGGAAGGAAGCGCTAGCAGCTTCCACATTATCCCCGTTATTCCTGTATTCATTCTCTGCCAACACGTCACAACTAGTCTCAGACTCATACCATCCGTCAGAGTCGGAGTCGTAAGGATAAGCCGTCATACTTCTTGCCCTCGCGACCTTCTGGATCTGTCTCTCGCAAAGCTTCAAGTATAACGGGGAGAATATCAAGGGTGCTATGTCCTCCGGCAACTCGTCGCGAGCTAGATGGTGCCGAAATATTTGTATCAGCTTCTTCGAACCTATTGCTTCTGTGACGGAACTGAGAAATCTTCCAGCGTTCTTGTTCATTTCTGCAGCCCTTAAGATCGGCACAAGGTTTCTCTCGAACGAATTCTTGATCGAAGATGTGGCGTTCCCTCTCCTCATTCCAACTGATGACGATGGCGTTGACAAGCGCGACTTTTTGCCTTGTTGCCCTTTCCTCCATTGTCGTCTCACCCATGACTTGACTTGCTGCCATGATTGAAAACGTTTGTCTCCTTTTACTACAGCCGATATTCTTCTCATCACTACCTCTTTGTCAGCTGTTGCAACACTAGGGATCATCCCATGTAGAACAAAAAGAGATTAAACTGCAAGGCGCATCGACTGTCGATATAGTAATTGATTGTGGCCTGTCTTTCAACAATGGCTTGAACAAGAGGACTATTCTGATAACACTTACTATCCTTACAGTTCTGGTCCTCTTCGTTTTGGCTCTCAGCCATACATCTGTAGAACAAGGACTTGTTTTTAATGAGGACGTTGATAAGCTTCATGGTATGCTGTATGTTGACACTGTGAGAAGCTGGTGCCTTTTTGGGTACACTTGGTATGTTGCGGGATTCTCCTATCATGTGTAGCCCCTGCAATGTCAGATACGGTGAGAATACTTCTCATACTCTAGAAACCTGGTGACTTACCACAATACCTTTAGAGTGGAAAGAGAGCTTGTTTAGTGCTGAAGATGTGATCGTTCTCTTACGTTTCCTGGTTGACCTCGATGGGTCTACTGGGGAAGTGATTCTGGGGTCTAAAGGTTCATGAGTTTGCTGCGAGGAGAGTGAGTTTTGGAGTGGTCCTGTTAAGGGCGATGATGGAGGTGAGACTCCCCGAATTGCTAGGTATGAGGATGTATATGGTGTCGAAGCCATCATAGTGGAAGGAGGCATAGCTTTGAAGAACTAATGAAAGCGTTGTTTATCAAATATCTCTTTGGGGATAGCTAGGTTCTGGTGAACGTCTCGATAGCTAGCCGTCGGTAGATGCTTCTTTTCACTCAAGTCTCGTTCCCGAGCTACTTCGCATTGGTTTGAGTTAATGGTACGAGAGAGATGAATAATGGATTATATGATACAAGTTGATCGAGATTCATTCCAATATCCTGAGTTGGCCAGTACTGGAGAATAAATCACTCGCTTACAAAAGCGTGACAGGGCTAATAAAGGGTGCGCGCCCGACTTACAAGGCACAATGGACTTGTTCTAGTCATTTGCTTCACTCGACAAGGTTGACCTGACCTACCCGGTAGTGCTGACCCAATAGTTAGATTACCCCCTGCCGGTTAGACCTACCCGGGAAGAGGTTCCGCCAGAAAAGCAAACTCCATAGGACGTGCCAACCTAGCGATCGTGTTAACTCAAGGTTTGTTTAATTCATGCACACGTAATCTACATGATGTATCATATCGTAATCCCAGGGTTATAGATTATAGACGGTTAAGCACCTGTTCGTAAAACTGGCTGTCTGGAGAATCTGCGTTCTCCCGGTTGGTTCCGTGAGCTATTCGCAATTTTTACACAGTGTACCTACGAGGACAGTACTTTTACAGTATGATTTATCTCCGGATTTCTCTCATACGGTGCAGAAATTTCACTTTTCTGTTTGAATTTCCATGACCCAACGGCGAGAGGATCAACTACAGAGCTAGGTACGTACACGAACTAAACACTGCCATGGGGATTGATCAGGTAGTGCGGGAGGCAGTGATGAGTTTCAGAAGTGGAAAGCGGTGATACTTGCGATCCACAAGCTGAAAAGTGTATAAAACTTTCATCCGGGTGTCAAGGCTGTATCGTACCTAACCTAGACCTGTAGATAATCTAACGGGATCACGTGTACTAGTCTTAACAAAGAGAGTAGAGGGTATCTTTCAATTGGTGGTATCGAATGCTCTCAAAATGGTGTCTACGTGCCTCATACACTAGATAGACTCTGAGCCCGATCGTAAACTCGCCTCATGGCGGTGGAGCTTCGGCACACATGTAACCTTCAGTTCTAACTTGCTATTCACACACACAATGCATCGAATACAATTAATACAATAAAAGCGGTCAGGTTTTGAAGACAAGAAAGTTTCAGACTGCTCCTAGAACAATCGCTTCCTGCATTGCTCCTCTTTCAGCTGTCGTTCCAGGCGATGGATTTTCTGTTGTTGATACTTCTCAAGCGACGTGGTGCCTCTGAAATGGGACTTAGATCTTCTTGCTGATGAGTACGATGATCTGTCTTGTGCCCTGTGACTACCCCTCTGCCCGATTCTCTTATTGGTGACTTGCATCATACGCCTTGGACCGGTAAGGCAGTTTCTTGGTATGTTCGGTCTCGTGATATTTCTCTTCGTCGTTTGCGTGTTGGGATTAGTTGTGAAAATATGGGGGTTGAGAAATCCTTTGTTTCGTGTTTCCCGATCGGCCAACCTAGGTTCTGCTATTGCTATTGGTGCTACTGCTGCTGTCCCCCCCTTGTTAACTTCGTTCATACGCAACGCACTCATAAAGTTGTGATATTCCTTCAAATTCTGAGGTATCTTCGTTAGAATTCCCTTCTCAACAACTTCTTCTGTAACTTGATTGTCGATCAAAGACTGAGCGTGCTCCAGACCCAACCGTTGCTGCTGTCTGCGACGCAGAGACATGAGGCGGCAATCGTCAATTGCTGAAAAGAGGCGCTGTAATACATCGTCTTGGCGTGGGTGTTGCTGCTTCATAGAGGTTATGTACGACGTACTGCGGAGAATGCAGGCAACGGCTCTCGCTGTTTCCGCCTCGTTAATACGGTAACCCAGGCCCTTGCGATTGAAACTTTTCGCAATACGTCCCCAAAACACTTTGTCTATGTCTGTATCCTGGTCAAGTGATCGCAGCCAGTGCTTCTCGGCAGCTAGAAAGCACTTAAGGAAGATGATGGAGGCATCGGGGGAATTGACTATAGTCGTCACTGCCTTCGAGGGCCCTAGACTGATTGGGGAGATCATGAACGAGTTGCTATTAAGGTGTTCGACCTCGACGGGATTGAGATTTCTGGCTTGAATGTTGTGTTGCATGATCTAGCTTGAAATGAGTATCTATGGGCTAGGCGATATGTTTCACGAGAGCAGACTTACCGGCCATTCTGTATGTGAGGCGAATTGTGCGCGGGGTTGTCTATGAGCGGTCGGCGCCTGAGAGTGAATTGGCAACGATGAAGATGTGTCAGGTGAGTCCTCTATCTTGAAAGGATTAGACTCGCTACCAGCCAATGGTGTGCTGGGTCTCTCGGCTTGATATTTGGTAAAGTCAAAGTGAGTAATCTGAACGTGTGCCGGCTGGATGCTTCCGTCCGACTTTCGTGCGGGCGAAGATGACACAATATTCACTGAGCTATTCTCGTTGTGGCGCTTTCTCTTGGACAGAGGCAGTCTCCTGGACAGACGGGGTGGGCTAGAAGTCGATGATGCGTCAGATTCTGAGGACGAATCTTCGGAAGAGCTTTCCGAGAGCGAGTGTACTGGCGAATAATTTCTCAGCCCTGCTTCCAAGTCCTTCTTCCCTCGCTGCCGCTTGGATTCCTGAGCTAGGGTTTGGTCACGAGAAAATGGACGTTTGCGGGTTTGCTGTTGAGGAGGGGGCGATGCCGGCTGGAGCCGTTTCCGACGGGATCGAGTATCGTGGGTCATTTTTCTGGTCACGAGGATCTTCTTTTGGAGGAATGTTGAATCCAGTAGACAGTAATATGTCGAAGATGCCAGCTGTATGGATAGAAGGGGAAAATATGTAGATTCAAGTGTGTGGGTGACTAGCAGCGAGATCAAGCAGCAGTTCTTGACGTAAAGTGTGCCAGAAAATGGTAGGTATTGAGCCCTCCAGATCAACGCGACCTTGGTGGCGCGCTTCTGCTACCTATCAGGCTCGCGATCTTATGGCTCTTTGCATCTCCTTGCCCCCTTTGGCGAGATTATTAATGCGGGGAGAAGGTAGAAGTTCCAGGTTTGCAAGTAGGTACGTGTATGGCGTCCGTTTTGCATAGATATCAATCGAATCACCGTGTAGGTACCTCTAGAGCTTGTAGATACCTAATGCTTTTACCGTGGCAATGTGTTGAATACTTACCAAGTAGTGCATTGTTGAGGGGAAAAGAAACAAACAGCCCGTAGTCGTCAGGAAGCAATCCCCTACCACGTCATTCCGGGTAGGGTGTTTGGGCCATTTGGCAATGGAAGAAAGCATTTTTGAAGCAATCGAGTCCATGTACGCCACTCATCTTGACCTAGACCGGGCCGCGGCTCTTGACATACCTCCTTCTGTCTGCTCAACGCACCGTTTGCTCGATACAAGAAGCTGACATATGGAGATGTGACAGATCACACTGGGCTACTACCAGATACTACCTACGTATGGCCACCACTCCAGGCCTAGTAGCCCTGTGGAACTTGGACAAGAAGGCCAGCCCTGGATATCACAGCTTTGCGCTTGAATCATGTTGCAGCTTCGCTTCATATGTGCGTCCTTATCGAAACAACAATGGAGTCTCTGGGAGTCCTTCTGATCGGCTCACGTGTATAAATGGCTAACTTGCTTACCAGAAATCATGTTGAGAGATGCTTTCCTGCATGTTAGGCGCGCGGGCTTGTGACAAACGACAAGCGCGGTTGGCTAGAAGCAACCTACTGGTGATACCTTGTCTGCCATGCCCGCCGTGTCCCCGTATATCACTGGGCATATCACTGTATCACCAAGCCACCTTGCCATCACTTCATCAGTAACACATGGCGGAGAAAAGAGGTCCCTGTAGGCATACTCTCGTATCTGGTCCTGTTTATCAGACAACAGCCAGGCCTGGGCTAAAGACACGTCCAAGAGTATGGTACCTAGGCAATGCCCGGTCGTCGTGTTTTGGAGCATCCTGAATGTCATCAAAGCACTTGCCACAAGGAGCGGTGGCTGTTCTCTCGCTAATCTGGCTGCTTGATCTCTTCTGTACGTACGGTATTGGTATTCACTCGACACTGTGTCCACCTCCACGACTTGGCGGCTAAGAATAGAATGCGAATACTACCGGTAGGTCGTTTTCTAAGCAATCATACCTACTGTTGTGAGTGAAAAATAGTATAGCAAGACAATCGAATGAATGACCGGTGGTTTACCTCCCGGTTCACCCGTTTTTAGTGTATTCGTACGGGTTTCATGGCCAGCGCGTTCTGTAGCTTTTGCGTGACGAAGAATTTTCGGCCTTTTCGGATTTTGCAAACGGTTTGATGGACCCCGCTGACGGCTCCAAAGAAGCCCCAAAGAAGCCCCAGAGAATCTCCAAAAGAACACAGCAGAGTGCGTTAGATATACCTACTGTACCCCATATACCCCAAGTACGTACGAAGTAGGCGAGTAGGAGTAGGTAGGCTTGGTAGGTAGGTAGGGGTCGAAGGGGGGGCGTGTGCTTACCCGCCCCCATCAGCTCAGCTCGTGGAATGAGGATGTTCAAGACGGTCTCCCCTAGCCTCTCTGGCTTGCTCTGGCAGACTCTGGGTGCTCCAATGGTGAATGGCGGTCGTCCAAGGTGGTAGTAGTCATGTCTCGCTCAAGTTCGTATAGGTAGGCTGAAACTAGGTAGCATACGATCACCACAACAGCCAATTCCATCGCTGTCTCTCTATCGTAGCTGCCTGGAGAAATCCTCCTCTCTTCTCTCGTCTCTTCCTCTCCTTCTCTGCTCACTTCTCATTTCTTTTTGTTTCTTGTTCTCCGTCACGACTTAATCTTGAAATCCTCGCATTTGCTGCATACATCTATCTCGACCACTACAAAGGCTGTCACACCCTGAATAACTAAGGAAGCGCAGCTGCTCAAAAGATATACCTGGAATTGTCGCGACAAATCCTCTCTACGTTTTAACAAATCCTTTTTTTTTAATATTATTATACAATTTTAACTAGAGAGGAGCACGAAAGAGAAGGGAAAAAGGCGGCGGCGGTGGTGGTGGACGGAAGATGTCCTCACTGCAGAGGTCATGGATACCTTAGCTATCGTGTTCGTCATCCCTGAACCTCAACACACCCCACCACATCCCACACATACGCACACACACGCACACACACAAAAGCATGCGACACACCCACCAGCTGACACAGATTGTCCGACAGCGCCTTTATCGTGGGTACTGTGAACCTCCAAGCCCGGTATTACAACAGCGCGGCTTTTGGTATGTCTGTCTCTCGTCTGTCTCTCGTCTGTCTTCCGGTTCTTCGTCCGACTTTGCCAAGTTCGAACCCGTGCCCACCTCTCCTCTCCACTCCGCCGCTGGAACCGTGGAACCGCTTGAACCAGGCCGGCGCGGCGTAGCACTGTCCTTCTTCCTTAGCGTCGCCTAACCCGAAACAAGACTGATTTGTGCTATTCTATCTTCCCAGATCGTCCACTCCACTTCTCCGTCGTGACCCTGGTCGTTGCTGGCCTCGTGTCTCTTGTCTTCGCCAAGAGCCTGCGTCTCCGGCATCCCGAGACCCGCCCAAGACGTCATGTTCTTAACCTTCCCGCCCTCACCACGAACCTGGCATCGCGCGACAATCTGAAGAGCTGCCTGCGCTCTATTTCCCGTCCCAATAGCTTCGCCTTCCTGGTCGCCCTGATCGTTGCCCGGACATTGTTGAATTGGAGGGCCGTTCGGACAATTCAATGCTCGTGGGACGGTCTTTACGTACGTACTTGTTTGTCTGCTTTCCTACTCTGCCCGTCCCCCGAAACTTCAATGCTCCTGCGACAGCATGACATTGGAACGCCTCGAGTCCACTCTCCTATTTGTCAATGCAATGTGCTAAAGAAATTTCTATCGCAAGGCGCTTCTCCCATTTTTCCTATCCATATGCGAACACCTAACTCCCATACGACCCGTTGACCTCCCGAGACATGGTACTGCCTCCGACTCTCACGATGGCATACAATCCCGCGCCCCGGTCGCTCGATATGCCGCCCTCGCTCTATTATGGGCTTTTGCCGTGACTCACCTGTCTTTCCTGGTCGAGATCCCAACGGGTGTAATATGCCCTCCTGGCTGGACCATTGAGAGCTTTGCACCTCTCGCACAACTGACTGCTGTGTTCGTCGATGCCGTAATCATATCCCAGGTTGCCAGACTACGTCAAACCAACCAAGAAGAGGCCGGCGACGCCTGGCAGTCCCTCGGTGCTCTCGCTTGGACGTCGGCTGCTTTTATCTCTTTTTTCGCTGCGTGGTCATGTCTCGACCCAGTCAACCATGCCACAAATGTGGCCCTCACGCCACTGGAAATTCGGGATATCGTCATCGATAGTGCCTTTATGGCCTTGACGATGGCATTTGGAGTTTACCTGCTCGGCAGTTTTCATGCTCACATGGTTGCGCTCATGGCCACTGGCACAACAGTCTTCGTACTTGTCTTGTATACAGCATCCGACAGCAACTTGAATGCTATATGGTCTGACTGGTTTATCACATCCGTCGTCGTTTTTGTAGGCTTCGGTGCTATGCTACACTTCCGCAGAGCTAGCATGTCCCTTCACTGGGAACATGCATCCACACTGGGCCGGTATTGTACCTACGCATTAGCGGCATTTCTTCTCGTCCTCTTTTATGCGTCCTCCCGCAAGCATGGCAACCCCATCGTCTCGCCCAAGCACGCCATGATAGTCGGACGGACGGAATCAGATCACTGGTTCGCCAATGCTGCGAAGAGCACATCTTTCGAATCCGCTACCAAGGAGTATCGCCACCGGTACGGAATACCACCGCCCCCTAATTTCGACAAGTGGTATGAATTTGCAGCGACAGTCAAATCTCCCGTTATTGATGCTTTTGATCAAATTGATTCGGATCTGCTTCCGTTTTGGGCCATCTCGCCAGCCCTACTACGTCAGAGGGCGACGTATTTGCTCGAGCACCCCAGCTTGTCCATGGGCGGTTTGATCGTCCAGAATGGCGAGATATCGATTTCGCCTCATATTCATGGCACACATAGATGGATGATGGACGTAGTTGAAGAGATGGTCAAACCGTTCAGTAAGTGGCTGCCTGATATGCAGCTTGCATTTAATCTCGACGATGAATGCCGTGTGCCTGTTCCGGCGGTCGATTACTCGAACTTTAGGGGCGAGGCGCAGATTTCACGCTCTAGGGCTCAGTCAAATCGAAATTTTATCTCGTTCAGCAAGACTCAGAGCCCCCCATGGGATGAATCTTTCCTTGGCGCAGGCGACTCCATTTGGCAGCAACAGGCCGAGTCATTCCACGTCTTGTCGAAGAAACCCATATTATCCGAACTTGTGGCGCCCACCTGTCCTGCCGATGCGCCTGTAAACCAGGTCCGCTGGTGGAATCGGAAAATGCACTGTGAAGAATGCGCTTCGCCTCACATGTCACACGGCTTCGTTCGCAATTGGACACTTGCTGCTGACATATGCCACCAGCCTGATCTTGCCCACTTGCACGGGTTCTTGACCTCGCCTTCAGCCATGGCCGCCTCTCAAACCCTCTTTCCTGTATTCAGTCAGGCTAAAGTCCACGGCTTTGCTGATATAGTCTACCCAAGCCCGTGGGGCTTTCACGATAAGGCCCCCTACGAAGAAGAACGGGACATCCCCTGGGATCAGAAACTCAATAGTATCTTCTGGCGCGGTGCCTCTTCCGATGGGTTCGCGGTATATGGATCTTGGCAAATGTTCCTGAGAGCTAGATTTGTGTGGCTAGCTTCGGCCATCCGAGACAACATGGCTGGACAACACAACAAGCATCGCTTTTTCAGGAGACAGCAATCAAGTTCCTCGGCTGATCCGGCCTTGACGACTTCAGGTCCAACTTCACAAACTAGCCAGCATGGGAACATGGGAAATGAGCAGATCCAAGTCAACGTGTCGTACGTAGGCGATTTCGGGCGCTGCGAGGGCCGCGACTGCGGCATCGAACACGCCACCTTCTACGGCTCCTCGTCAGCGAAATCGCCCCCGGCCGTCGACTTCCAAGAAAACTGGCACCACCGCCACCTCATCGATCTAGATGGAGCCGGGTTCAGCGGGCGGTTCCTACCGTTCCTCCGATCGGCCTCTCTGCCGTACCGCGCTGCCCTATTCCGCACGTGGTGGGAAGAACGTATCCATCCCTGGAAACACTATGTCCCGCTCGACCTGAGATTACGGGATTTATGGCCTGCCATGCAATATTTCGGGGCAAGTGATGAAGGCAAGCGGGATGCGAGGGATATTGCTGAGGCGGGACAGCAGTGGGCGAAAATAGCGCTACGAAAGGAGGATATGCAGGTCTATATGTTTAGACTCTTGCTTGAGTGGGGGCGATTGGTTGATGATGAGCGGGAGAGGCTTGGGTTTGTAGTCAGCGAGGGGAAAAAGGGAGTGGGTAATTGATGGGATGGTATATTTTCTTTGGTATGGGCTGGATCAATGGATAGGTGCGGAAAGGAAAGGGTCTGTGAATGAAAGCAGGGTAATGGAGTATGGCGCTGTGGGCTGGCTGGCTGTTCGGGTTTTGAGTTTCTTTATGTGCGATATTTGTGGCTACCAAGGTGCTTACTCACTTACTCCGGTCAGGCATGGAATCGAGTGTATTTGTATTGTTACCATGTATTTTTATGATCAATGGGGATGAGTCAGAGAGAGAAGCAAGACGCTGAGGAAGCAAGAGGCTTAGATAAGCTTATTTGACGACGAAATTCATGATGATCATATGAATGGTTTAAAGGGTTAAAGTTGATATGTTTTTGTTGAGATAGGTATCTCCTGTGATATTATCCTGTGACTCTCATCATTCATTCATTATCATTCATCAAATTACATTACATTGCCTAGGTAGGTATGTATGATTTGTAGGGGGAGCAAGATAGATAAGTAGGTAGGTAGGTACCTTACCGCCCCGGGGGGGGGGGGGGGGGGGTATTCGTAAGGGTTACTGCAAGGGTTACGGCATTTCAAAAGGCTTACAGCTGAAGACACTTGTAGGGCATTTACCAAATGGTAACCATATCGAAATGGAAACCATTACGGCGAATTTATTCTATTACCGTATAATAATTATATATAAAAATAAAACATTACCCATTCGTAATATTTACCATTAGCAGATATACTTACCGTAATTATGTCCAGCCCTTTAAAATAGCCCATATTACCCCTACAACCCCTACAGACCTAGCCATACAGACCTAGCCCCACCTACAGCCAATCCAATCATCACCACCTTCAAGGATAATCGCTGCAAGGATCAATCCAATCCAATCCAATCTACTCCTACCACCACCACCACCACCACCACCACCTGAAGGCTAAGAAACCTATCGCAATCGCTTCGCAGTTCAGAACTTTAACGGAAGATTTCTTTACCTTCGTTAAATAACGTACTATAAAGTAGACTACAGTTATACTATACTATAGTAATTATTTCTAAATTTGGACATGGTATTACGCTTTAACATGGTTTCCAAATTGAAAGGAATATAGAAATTTGAAAGGTATACTGAATTAGTATGGAATTCGTATATAAAAGCCTTGTAGCCATAATAACCAATTGGTAACAGCGTATTCCACCTGTCACACTTGCAGAAAGGCATACTGACCCAGTAACCCTTGCAGTAACCCTTGCAGTAACCCTTACGTATACCCCCCCGGCCGGCTAGGTATTTCACTACCTACATGCAACTTGGATGGACACCCAGATGGATAACTACCTGTCCGGATAGCGCAGTCAACCCGGCAGCAGCACAACGGTAAGGCCAAATGAAGTGGGAATGGGTAGGTAGATATGATTAGATCCTGTTTTGAGCCGTGTGGAGTGTGACTCGAAAGTAGGCTTCTTCTTTTTTTCTTTTTCTTTTTCTCTCAATATTATGAGCAGTCGCATGTCAAGACTGAAGGAAATTAATGTGGCAACAAGAGTACATAGGTTATGGGAGGTTAGGTTAGGTACAGTACAGTACATAAGACATTCAGTTGCAGTATCCCATAGCTGGCTGGCCGGGTCTAGTGTATAATGATATTTTTTATCCCGAGGGGTTGTTTGAAAGGGTTGTGAAATGAAATGTAGGGCATGTCCTGTTTGGAAATAAAAGGAAGGTAGGGCTAGCACAGCGTGGATGAGGATGAAGGGGAAGAGAAAAGAAGTGCACTTTGATATTTGCGTTTCGATATCGTCATTTCTGTGTTATATGTACGTATATCATGAAGTTGGACCGGATTGTCCCATCTACCTATCTCTCTTAGGTATTTGTCTGCTGGCAAACCTGACTGGCTATCTTGGTATCTACATGTAGCATTCATTCTAGGAGGAATACATCCCGAGTAGAGTAGAGTAGATGGGCGGGTATATAGTTAGAAGAGATGAGATCGCCATTGTTCGTCATTCTGGGTCCCTTGCTACTAGGATGGGTTGTTCAGGTATTTTGCATTATTAGGCTTTGTCTATAGTACAGCTACCTTATTGCCGTCTATCATTTTTCTTTTCGCGCCCACATTCTGCGCCCCAACTTGATTAGATGGACGGACAGATTAGTGACGTTCCCGTCTTCGAGGTGCCGCGCGTATGATATTGTCAACTCTCAAAAGTAACTGTGCAAAGTGTTAATTATTATTCAGTGTAGAATTGGTCGATGAAACTTGTCAAGGGGGCGGGGGAGATCGGGGGATTGATGCAGATACGTACCTCAGCAGCTTCACTCGCCGATGAGACGACAGCTTTTTTCAACTTGTAACTCTCGATGACTCCGAGATCCCGCATGTCCGCGACTCCACCGCCCGGAGTCATAAGGTCAAGGCCGTAGGTTGACATGCCATCGTAAATAGCCTTGCGCAACCGTGCGACGAGATCGCTCGAGTCCAGACCCGCGTTGTCGGCGAGTATGGTGGGAAGCTGTCGCAGCGCGGTGGCGAAGGACGACACGGCGATCTGTTTCTTGCCCTCCACCCGCGTGGCGGCACCTTCGACGGCCTTGGCCATGAGCATCTCTGCGCACCCACCACCTAGAGTAGTCCGAGGCTCCTTGACGGTCTGAGAGAGCACGGCTAAGGCGTCATGCAACGATCGCTCGGCCTCGTCTAGTAGCTGATCCGTAGCACCTCGGAGAACAATGGTACAGGCCTGGCCAGCGGCGACGCCCGAGAAGCGGATCAGCGTATCCTCGCCTATAATGACTTCCTCTATCAGGTCACAGTGACCCAGTTTCACCTGTTCGGGGTGGTCGAATGTCGACGCAATCTCACCGCCGGTTACAAGTGCCAAACGTTCAATGCCGTCAAAGTCGGCGTGCTCGATAGACATTATACCGGCATCGGTAAACAGCTGCTCGGGCCAGTTGTAGATGAGCTGACGGTTGATGAAACAGTTGATACCGTGGGCCTTGATCTTCTCGACTTTGGCCTTCATCTTCTCCTTCTCGGCCTTTTCGAGCTCAGCCAGCTTACTCGTTGAGCTGACCTGAAACCGTGCGCCGAATATCTTGACCTTGTCGGTATCCATAGAGGTATTCGCTACCAGGATTTTGGCCTTTTCGAGGCGTTTGGGCTGGTTGACACCGATCTTCTTGTCAAGGATGAAGCCCTCGTCGAGGTATGAATCGCTGAGCTTGCCGCCGGCCTTCTTGATGATCTGGATGTGGCTGAGGTCGGAAGAGCCCTTGAGCCTCAACACGGCCTCCACAGCTAGCTGAGCAAAGAGATCCCGGTCTTGCGCCAGGACCTTGGAGCTCAAGGTGGTGCGAGCGATGGCGAGCAAGTCCTTTTTGAAAGCCTCCGGGTTCTTGCTGTGGTTGACGGCCGAGTTTTCGAGGGCCTGTAACGCAGCCTGGCTCGCTATCCTGTAACCTTCTATGATAGTCTGAGGGTGTATTTTCTTGTCGACGAGCTTTTCGGCCTCGCGCAGGAGTTCGGCGGCCAGGACAGCGACAGAGGTGGTACCATCTCCTACCTCATCGTCCTGCACCTTGGAGATGTTGACGAGAACCTTGGCAGCGGCGTTGTCGAGAGCGATCGATTTGAGGATAGTAGCACCGTCGTTTGTTACCATCATTTCCTGGGTCGAGCTGGACAGCAGCTTGTAGGTCAGCTACGAAGGCACGGCATCGATATGGAGCTGGAGAGTACGGAGCAGAGGGTTTATATAGGTATATTTATATGGTATGTGACATACGCAGACTGTAATATCTTGTCCATGCCCTTAGGACCCAGGGTACTCTTCACCAAATCACCAACAGCAATGGCGCCAACGAAGGCAGAGAGACGGGCATTCTCGCCCTTCTCCTCTATCGTGCCATCCTCGAAGATTTGGGTAGGGCTGAAGGACGCCTAGTTATTTTTTAAAGGGCTTGGTCAGCAATGGTCCTTATATATGGTCGTAATGGGGAAGCAGAGGACGTCTCATATCTCACCATGTTTTGGTTCTCAGCTCCTCAGTTGCTGGCTAAGTGCTGTTGTTGTTGTAGTTGGTATGGCTCTGAATGAGGTCCAAAGTAAATTTCCATGCCAAGGCTGCGTACAGCGGTGATAACAAGCTCTGGTGCCTTGCCCGCCTCCCCAAGGTGGGTGACCTAACCTGCCCTGTAAACCATCTTTTAGAGCCTTAAGTAGGTATAGAGGTACAGACCAGTGGAGGTGGGGGTGGGGCGCGAGCGCCTAAGTACCTACCTAAGGACCTGCAGCTTGTGAAGCTGACCTACCTAACCTTCTGTATTGCATACGGTAGGTACCTAGATGGGTACCTGTAAAGTATGTGACGGGAAAACTGCGTTCCGCACAAGCCAACCAGCTCTAGCCGATAAGGGGCTTGTCGATAGTAGATAGAGGGGCAGGAGGGCGGTACCTGGGTACTTCTCCGGGACCTGAGACGGGCACTGGCGCCCGGCCGCTGAACACCCCGCACCAAACGCACAAATCTGCCACAGCAATTTTTTGCTGCTGGCCGTGTTTGGGTAGGCGACCCAGTAAAAAATAACAAAAAACCAGCAACTGTGAAGCTCCATCCATCCCACCATCCCACCCAATCACGCCCGCCATCTTTGGTGTATCTGGTTCTGCATCTGCCTCTTCGGACCATTATCTCTCCTCTGTGGCTCTATAGTCGAGGTTTTGAGGCTCATCTCGTGGCCCGCCTTGCTTACCCGTGCTGCCTAGGCTTTCTCATTGATTGATCGACCGGTTTTGACCAAACAAACCCTCGACACAACCCTCCAGCCACTCTATCTTGAACCACTTCGGCGCCGAAACAAGTTCAGTATTATAACAAGCCCTCGGGCGCTCACGCCTTTCCAACTATACTGCTTGCCCAGCATGGCGCCCTCCTTCGATCACTTGCGCGACGCTGATGTCGACGAGGATGACTACGATGAGGATGAGATTGATATCTCCGATCTACGAGAGAAATACGAAGTCCAACTAGAGCAGGGCTATGATACCTTTATTGTCGTCGATGGCCTTCCCGAAGTCACCGAGGAGCAGAAGCCAAAGCTCGTCAAGTTCCTGTTAAAGAAGCTGACATCAGTCGGCAAGACCAAGGAGGACCTCATCTATATGCCCATGGGTGAGAATGGCAAGTCGCTCAGGTGCGTATATACATTGAAGCGCCGGATATGTAGAAATACCTTTCTGCGATGGGCTGCTGTGTTTCCCTGCGACTGACAATCCCTCCTCAGATTTGCTTTTGTAGAATTTTCATCGCCTGCTGAGGCTGCTGCCGCCGTTCGGCAGCTAGATATGGTACCTCTCGACAAGAAGCATACGCTAAGAGTCAACAAGATGACCGACATTGATCGGTACGGCCGAGAGGGGCGGGTGGACGAGCAATACACCCCCCCCAAGATCGAAGAATTTACTGAAAAGGAGCATTTGCGCTCCTTTTTGGCCGATCCTAGCGGTCGGGGTCGCGATCAAATCGCCATGTACAGGGGTGACTCCGTTGGCATTTTCTGGAACAGCGAGAAGGATAACCCAGAGACTATTGTTGACCGTCAACACTGGACTGAGAGCTTCATACAATGGTCTCCCCTCGGTAGCTACCTAGTATCTGTTCACCAACAGGGTGTTCAGCTCTGGGGTGGTGCTTCGTGGTCGCGTCAAAAGCGGTTTGCTCACCCCTTTGTCAACATGCTGGACTTCTCGCCCGGCGAGAAATACATAGTCACCTGGTCCAACAGGCCAATCTCTATTCCCGACGAAGGTCACCCTCAACTATCCCTGGACGAAGATGGCAAGAACTATGTTATTTGGGATGTGGACACCGCCAAACCTCTCAGATCCTTTTCCAACCTAGATATCCCCGCCGCTGCCGACGGTGCCAAGCCCCCGCCTAAATTCTGGCCAGCATTCAAATGGTCCGCTGATGAGAAGTACGTGGCTCGACTCACTCAGGGCCAATCTATCTCTGTCTATGAGCTACCTCGGATGAACCTATTAGATAAGACGACCATCAAGATAGACGGTGTCATGGATTTCGAGTGGGCGCCTGCGACACCCCGTAGGGAAGGCGTCAAGCAGTACGAGCAGCTGTTCTGCTACTGGACTCCTGAAATAGGCAGTAACCCAGCCAAGGTCGGATTGATGAGTATACCATCTAAACAGATCGTTCGTACGCTCAATCTCTTCAGCGTCACGGATGCCAAGCTTCACTGGCAATCCGACGCTACTTACCTCTCCGTCAAGGTTGATCGGCATTCCAAGTCGAAGAAATCACAGGCGACGACTCTCGAGATTTTCAGAATCAAAGAAAAGGGAGTGCCCGTTGAAGTGGTCGATACCATCAAAGACACAGTCATCAACTTTGCTTGGGAACCCAAGGGCGATCGGTTCGTCATCATCACAACGTCCGAACCTGCAGGGCCCACAGCGGTACCACCTAAGACTTCAGTCTCCTTCTTCTGCCCGGAGAAGGCTAAGGGTCAGACCGTGGGCAACTTCAAGCACCTGCGGACATTAGACAAGAAGAATAGCAACGCCATTTACTGGTCACCGCGGGGCAGGTTTGTCGTTGTCGCCACAGTGGCTAACGCGCAGAACTCGGATCTCGAGTTCTACGATCTCGACTTCGAAGGCGAAAAGCCTGAGAGTGACAAGGATTTGACCGCCAATCTGCAATTGATGAACACGGCTGATCACTACGGTCTCACCGATATCCAATGGGATCCTGCGGGCCGTTATGTCGCGTCATGGGCGTCAGCATGGAAGCACGCTGTGAGTTGACCTTGCCTTTTCATGGTTCATATTCAAGTTGATTATACACAGTCTCTCTTTTCCTTCCTGTATACTAACGGTACATTTTACAGATGGAAAACGGATATCACATCTATGACTTCCGAGGTGAACAACTACGAGAGGAGCCCGTGGAGAAGTTCCGGCAATTCGCTTGGCGACCCCGACCCCCTACGCTCCTGTCCAAGGAGGAACAGAAGCAGATCCGCAAGAACCTGCGCGAGTACTCGAAGCAATTCGAGCAAGAGGATGCCGAGCGTGGCGCGTCTGCCGACTTGGCGGTGGTCGAGGCGAGGAGGCGCCTGCTCGACGAATGGCTTGCATGGCGTGCTTCGGTGGACGCCGAGGTCGAGGAAGAGAGACTCGACCGCGGCCTCCCCGTCAATCCCGTGGAAGGTCTCATCCCGCAGGCGGATAGCGAGGAAGAGCAGCAGGTTATCGAAGAGATTGTGGAGGAGGTCATTGAGGAAACGGAAGAAATTGTGTCCTAGTATGGAACTCTACAGAAGACGAGAAGAAGGGAGAGCGGCGTTTTGTGTATGGCATATCAACTACTATAAACGACTAACTAGTATGGCAGCGGATGGTCTAACCACGGCATTCAAGACACATAGTGCGGGCATGCATTTCCATCTGAAACTAATTTGACGACGCAAGTGTCTCTTTTTCCGAGCCCCCATTGTGAAACCGGTGATGAGGGTGATACCTACCTGCCTATAACTGAAAACCTAGATACCATTTTCAAGATATCTATGCTGGAGGCCTGAAGGACGTGAGGATTCGCGGATCAGACGGCTAGTTAAGTAGTAGTCCCGTCCTATGTACCCAGGTACTCTATCTAGATATGTAGGGCTGGACATTCGTATGCCTACTTAGATATGTAGGTTCTGAAGATATCTATGTAAGTAGTAATAACTGTATGTTGTCAAGAAGAACCTCATTTTTCAGGTCTCTTATTCTTTGATCTTTTTATTATAGGATCGTTTCTAGAAGGATATACATGGTTTCTTGCATTCATATGTGTTGTGTGAAACCCTTTGGAGCTCCCCCTTTCAAGGCTACTCTCCTGTTAACGCAGGGTACCATTTACTATGTACTTACATGGGACGTGATGCTCTGTCGAGACTAATCCAGTAAGGCATCTATTTACTCATATGAACAAATTCATACCTCGGCAAGATGGCAAGATGCAGGGAAGTAGGACTTGTGCTACTTACTTCGTAGTAGACGCAGTTACTTCAAGTGTTGGTCATAGGTAAATTCCATACCATACCTACTCAAGAGCGAGGTCAGACAGAGACAGTAGGTAGGTGCCCACAGGCGCTATATTAAGCGCGGACTAAGAGCGAGGATTAAGGGCTAGACTAACTCACCTTGGAGGCTTTCCTACCCGGAATTCCCTGTAATTCCCTGGAATTACCAGTAAGAAGCAGGGGCTAGCTCTCAACTACCGCTCTTTTGGTGGTTACCGTCTATCGGTGTGTTGTATCTTCGCATCATCATGCGTTTTCCCAAGCAGGATTCCTTCCATGGATCGGCCCTGGCGTCTTGCCGTGATTCGCCCAGCCCGACCAGCTAATGGGCATCTAGTGTAAGTAGCTAATCCAATCTCGCTGACCATCGGTGATGGTTTCCTTTCCTCAGGCAGACTCCGGCTCCTTTGCTAAAGTTCCTTTCCTCTTGCTAGTCCGATCGAATCTATCTATCCTGACTTTTTGTTTCGTCATCGCCCTCCTTCGCTTGCCTTGTCTTCCTCATCGGTCATATTAGACCTGGTGGAAGTGTTCGCTCATTTACCATTCTTGCTTCGACTCATTCGTTTTTCCAACCCTTTTTTCTCTTCTTCCATCCGACTCATCATATACAACACACAGTCGCATGTACTACTACTGCTAGACTACTACCTAATAGGATTCATGCTGCGTGCCCCTGCGTCCGTTCGCTCACTCCCTCACTCACTCCCTCACTCACTGAATCAATCGCTCGCCCGCTCGCTCACCGGCTGCTCTCCCCTTACAAGTACCGAGATTACGGCATCATAGTGTAGAAACCGTGTATAACCAATCGCCTAATTCGACTCGAGCCCCGTGTAGCCCGACCCGAAGTTCATCCTTTCGCTAGACTGCACGTTTCATTCCCGCTTCGCCGCCTTCAAAGCCCCCTTTAACGCGCGCTTGAAACAAACCCCGACGCTTGCCGCCCTCGACCTAAATCCACAGGAACAGCAGCAGCAGCAGCAGTAATCAGTAATACGGTATATACGATACCTACTTGACCACAGCAATTGACTGCATCTTAATCCTAATTATCCCGTCCGTCTATCGTCGAGACGGGCAGAATCAATCACCTGTCCTTGCATCGGTCCCTCATTTGGTCCTCTTCCCGTTGCTTGATCAACTCCGGGGGCCAAGATTTCACCCAAAGCCCTCCAACCCGGGTTTCACACCGCCTGTAACCTGCATCCTCCATCGCCAGCCTCTATCCGGCTTTCACGGGCCCTGCCAAGCTCAGCCAGGCTTGCCAGGATCTTGAGACAACTACCATCTTAAACCCCGGTCACCAGTGCCTTGTCTTATTTCTAGTACATTGCTAGCTCGAAGCTTGAGAATCTCGTCCCGTCTCGATTGGGAAACGTTAAATCCACCAAGGAGCCACGCCATTCATTCTATTTCCGTCGAAACGTACCTCTTCCTGCCCCTTGCGTGTCTGGACTCGTCTCTGGGGGAGGAAAGGGACGAAACAACTTTGATTATTGGATGTTTGGTTGTTTGCTCGCCTTTGCCGAGAATACCACGGCAACAGGCCAGCCTTAAATATCGACAGTGCAAAGCGCCTCTCTCTCGCCCAATCATTGCTAGTCGAGCATTCCATCACCACAATTATTACACCAAGTCGTCCCGTGCCGGACACGGCTAACGCCAACTAGATCATGATCTACAGCGGCACCACCGACGAGCTCGCCATCTCTCGGCCTGGTTCCCCGCCTGGTATGTCTTCATCGAGGTCATCCAAGGCATCGTCTCTCCATTCTTTCACCTCGGAAATCGGCGATGATGTAGGCGCTGGCGTCGGCCACTTCGAGGAGATCGGCCTCGAAGATGATGCCACCTCAAACGACCCACGCCATTATCATGACTCCCACTCTCGATCCAGTCCCAACCCAAATCCCTACATGTCCACATTCACCTCCGATCTACGGGCTGCTTCGGCGAAACATGTCGGCTCCAATGTCCATGTACAGACTCGTGAGCTCGCCCACCCGCGAATGCAACGCGACATAATCTCTCGCCCAAAGACGAGACCCGTAGCACCAGCTCTAGCTACCCAGTTCCGTGATACGAGCACACAGAGTCTCACTTTGAACGTCACACATCGACCTCGAATGCCCCATCGGGCTCTATCAGCTCGCTCCGCCTCCACGATAAGCACCGCCCGGCGTCATCGGAGCCCTAGCCCCAATGTGCCATCACACTCGCTCCCTCCACGCGACCCTAGTGGCGCTCCGAGACCGCGTAGGAGCAGTTGGCAATCGAACCGGGAAACTAAATCAATATCTGATGCGGAAAGGGCCTTTGATGACGACGATGGTGACGACGACATCCCTGACGGTTTCATTCTTGACAACGTACCGCTATCTCCACGGCCCCCGAGCGAGAGGTCCAGTAGTCGACCCGTTTCGGCATCCACATCACCCGATAGACAGCCCAAGGAACGTGTGCGTAGTGTTGGGAATGGTACACCACCAGTCGCCGTCGATTCGGGATCCTTAAAATCCCCATCGTGGAGGTCTGAGCATTCTAGTGATTCACAGAGATCCACGCCTCTCTCTCCGATAAAAGGTCGGGCGAAAAGCTGGACTGCCGCGATTTCCGGTTTGAACGCTGAAGCCAAAGCACTTACCGAGAAGCTTGAGGAACACGCCGATGAATTGGAGAGGCAAGGCGTGCTACCATCGACCATTCGACCAGTACCAAAGCCCCGAGTCAAGTCAGCCCTTGCTGAACTACCCCCTCTTCGAAGGAGTAATATCATGATTGATCCGTTGCCGATATCCAAAGAAAAGGAGGCCGTGCTGTCCCGGACGAGACCATCGTGGTTACCACCCAAGGATCCCGCCGAGGAGAAGAAACATTTGAAAGAATACCAGAAAATGATGGCAAGCAGCATCGAAGCTGATAAGAAAAGAGAAGCCGCCCGTCGAGACAAGGAAAAGAATGAAGCCAGGACTACTAGTGATCGAATGCACATTTGGGAGGAAGATATACTGAAGAGGTGGGATGTTGCTATCCAGGAAGAACGGACAAAGGCCTTGTGGTGGAAAGGAATCCCTCCTCGAAGTCGTGGTGCGGTCTGGTCTCGCGCCATTGGGAACGCGCTGGGACTGACACCCACTTCATTTCAGGCTGCCTTGTCCAGAGCTTCTGAAGTCGAGGGGCGAGCGGAGAAGGGAAATAGCACAGTAGATGACGAACAAAAAATGGCTTGGTTTGCAAAGATGCGAGCAGATGTCGAAGAGAGAACTTGGACAGACCTTAAGATCTTTCAAGCTGGTGCTCCCTTGCACCAAAGCGTAATCGATGTGCTCCGCGCGTATGCCATGTACAGGAGTGATATCGGTTACGTTACCGGGTGTCACGTAAGTTCTTTTTGCCTCTTTATTCCCCCCTTACCTGCTCGACGTTCTCAACTACCCCCAGGCTCCAGTTGTATTGACATTCTGCAGACTATTGCCGCGCTTTTGCTTCTCAACCTCGACTCGCCCGCTACCACGTTCATCGCTTTAGCGAACGTTCTCAATCGATCACTTCCGTTGTCTTTCCAGTCGCACGACCATGGAGCTCAATCATCAGTGTACCAGCTCGTCCATCGGACACTGGCCGCGAAATCACCGCAGCTTTATAAACACCTCTTCAACGATATTAGCCAGGAATTTTCGGATGCATGCCTGAATGAGACGTTTACGACGCTGTTCACGAAACATCTGAGCCTCGATGATTGTACGAGATTATGGGACGTCTACATCTTCGAGGGAGATGGCGTGTTGATAAGTGCTGCCGTGGCGTTGCTCTTGGAATGCGAGATGACAATTCTAAGTACGCGGTCTGTGGAAGAGTGTGCGAACGTCCTTCAGGCGCATGCGAAGCGGATACCGCCAGCAGCCCAAGACGAGGATGTGTTCATTAGGCGTGTGCGGGATATGAGGTCATGATGAGACTGGACTGGACCAAAATTAGTGAACGACACGAACCTTATGAATCTCGATGAACGACTTTTAAAACAGGGAAGGATACTCAACTACTACTGCTAGTAAAGGAGTACGAGGGAAATGGTGCTGTAGAGGACGCTCGAAAGCACATCAGCACATTGATCGGCTCTTTACTTAGAGTTGGAAGAGAGCCTTATTCTAATGTATACTACTTATTTAAAGCCTACATTTCAAGAATATATATTCCGAGCTTAAGCTAAGCTAAGCTAAGTTACTTATCTTATTTGGGGAAGACGAGCTTGGTTAGCAAGCAGGCCTGGTATACGATGTCCGATATATTATTGTTATATGTAAGTATGTTAGCTAGCTAGCTGAGTTCTTAGTTGCTTGCTCGTGGCGTTAAGGAACGGCTCTTATAAAGGATTTTGTGACTGAATGTGATGATATATGTCTAATCGTACTGGGGTATGTAGTGTAGTGTATTATTGTAGTGGGATTGTTGTGCATGTTGAAATCTATTGGCCGGATGAGTAATGGTTTGTATGATGGCCTGTGTATTAAGAAGCTAGATTATAGATCCAAGATAATTTGTCCCTAGCAATTGCTTCACCACGTTAAAATAACGAGATTTGCGTGATGCGCTCTGGGTTTATTGAGGGATGTTTTACCCCGAATGTTCAACTGTGCGTGAGCGCTTGTGTGTGTGTGTTGGGGTAAGGTGTAAAGGAGGTAAAAGGGGAGGGGGGAGACAGACAGAGAGAGAGTAAATTGCAGCAGTTCGTCAAGAGTTACACGTGTGATCCCCAGAGTTTATGTTACTATGCGGTCTCTACTATAAGGTGAAGGAAGGTCTTATATATAGTTTCCAGTTCTGACCCAGTTCAGTAATATGCGATGATTGTGTGGACAGATAGGGTACAGCAAGCAGTATTCATCGTATCACACTCTATAAGCGGAATAGCGTCTCTTTGATTTTTGTTTTGCTTTTCCCAGCAGCACGGCTACATAGTTGAAGATAGATTCAGGGCCGATGAAGGCTCAGCTGGTGCTTTTGTGGTGAGCACTGGGTGCTTTTTGATTGATGAAGCATACAGGAAGAGAACTATAATTAGGGAAAAGGGGCTTACTAGTGAATTTGGAGCTTCAAGGGGTATTTTTGCAATACTTTTTCAAATAATACAGGAGTTATACTAACCAACTAAATAGCATCTTTAAATGATACAAATTGAACCAATGCTTAAAAGGTAATCCAATACTGTCTTGTAAGTTCTACCTCGACCAAGGTATCACTACATGTGCAAACACCTAGGCGGTGTGTAAGTGTTGAAGGAAAATGGAAAAGGTTGTCGAACGGAGATGTTCGTTTTGCCTGAGGAGCCCTGGTTGCTCGCGAAACTCGAATATTGTCCATATGACCTATGAATGTTTACGCATTGAAGAATGCCTTCACAATTCTCAGAGCTCTGCTGTTCGGGTCCAAATCCAGATAATACCTCCAAGTACTTAGACCGACATGCACTGCGTTACAATAGGGGCTTGCAACTATGGGTGCCTCACGATCAGTGTGAGTTAGGAGGTATACGCCGACGCTGGCAGCAATACCCGTAAAGAAGGCCCCAAAGATACTAGCAGTCGCAGGACCAGCGATAGGTCCGATATCAACCCTTTTGAACAGCTCAGACCAGCTATAAGCTCCTCCAATATAATACCGCCAAGTGGCCAAGACGAAGGGCTGTATCGCAACTAGAGAAAGGATCACGAATAGAGCAACACTGCCTTGGCTTATCATGTGTTCCAGAAAATCCCAGTAGAAAGGCATGTTACCCAGAAGGGGCGCATCGGAGCACAGTCTCTGGGCCGAGCACTGCGCCGTGCCCGTCACCATGCTCTCAACACAGTCGTAGCCCTGGTATATACCCAACGTCTCGAGAGTGTACCTCCGACCGACAGCCAGTACGTGGATTGTGGCAGCCCATTGAGCCACGGTGAGAAGAGCGAGGACCCACGACAACACTCTTTTGAGGACTGGGGACCTGTCGAGCACACACGAATACGGATGGTAATGGATGATAGAGGCTAAGAGCCACGTTGCGGCCCACGCATATATCGACAACGTGGTGTTTGGGATCGGATTCTGGACGAACTCGATGTAGTCCACCCACCACCAAATGATTTCGCCTCCCGCGGTGGAAAGGAGCAGTACCCAATCGATAAGGCCGATCTCCCTAATACCACCCTTACATCCACGATCATCGGATCTGTACAAAGCCCAGTTCCGCTTCAAGAAGGCGAAGAGATATTTCAGCGTGAGGATGTTGACGTTGGTCCATATCCCGAAGGTCGTCAAGCCGATGACGCCGGGCCGCGCAGTGGATGGTATAACTGTGTATCCGTTGAAACAGCTCGCTGCCGTGCACCAGTCGAAATAAGTCCCGTTTACACCCCGCCACGCCGTGCTGATGGGGATGTATCCACGGCGAAGATAGTCTTGGTCAAGCGGGTATGATGTATGGCTGATTATATCCATGATGGCAGTGCAGTTCGCCGCGTCCGGAACCAACGAGGAGCATTCTTCAAACCGACTGTTTTTGTACAATGGGAATTCAGGGGCTTGAGACGAGAAGTTTGTGGTGTCTGTCGCGATGAACTTGATGATTAGAAAGATGTTCGCGGCTATACCGCCGAGAGACACGAGGAATGCCGCTGCGAAGAAGACGACGACGAAGACCCAGATACATGAGCCCCATCTCCGGTTGGGAAACCGGGGGTATTCGCATTCGGAACCGTAGTAGACGGGTCGATATGAGCCCATCTTGATACCGAAGCGTGCTTCTAGACGGATATGATGTGTTTGAATTGGAGGATTTGCTGGCTGTGGTTGTTTGTATATGTCTGAAAGATGATAGAACTTATCTTCGATGTTCAACAATTATCTCATGAGCAATACACCTGCGAGCAAGATAGGCTTTTATAAAGCAGCGGAGCAATAACATGTTTGCCATATGCATCTGAGTAGATGTAATGCGAAGGCTTATAAAATTCTAAAAGACGCGCTTCAAATAAATCGGTAATGTTGCAGATGGAACCATGGCGGTGTTGTTACAGGACGTAGTGCTCTTCGTGGCCTTCTTCGAAGTTCTACAATGGCATAGTGACACCGCCACAATGCTACCTTTGGTTACAATACTCCTGCATCAATGTCATCTGCATGTTTGACGGCCCGCGACGCTTCTCAGGGGGTATGTTGGTCATATCTAGTTGAGCAGCATGTCGATATTCTATGTCATCAGCGAATGAAATGAGAGTTATTTTTCTTGGCATTTGATTGTTCTGTTCTCCGTGGCTTGAGGTTGCGATCTATACAATATAAATAGTACTGAAATCTGCACTCTAGGTTCAAGTGCAGGGGTTGTAGGGCAAGGTATTGGTAAGCGCCGAGCTGAGACACTTGATGATACAATGTGAATTGGGACCGCCATTATGGTGTACGCCGAAAGCGAACGTTATGAACTGTTCCTGTATGCCAAGATAGTCGCTCGGTCCCGAGAGGCATGTGTATGTGTGTGCGGAATGTCTTGTCGTTAGAAAAGCTTGATTGAATGACATTACAGCACGCGTGTCGGCCAAACCGTCTGACAAAAACGTCGTGGGCGCTATCCAAATTCTCTTTGAGATGTTTGGCTTAGAGATATCCATCAGGGTGCGTATGAATCACAGTTATGATTGGAAGATGAATCTAGCTACGAGCTCAGCACAGCATCCCTAGCAAAAGTGGAATGTATTCGGGTCTAAAACTTTTCGTCGCATACTTTCGCTGAGTGGTGTTCTGACATTTTCGATTCGAGTACTTTCATATTCTGGGCGTTGATTGTTTATTACAAACAGCCTAGATATAATCTTACAGTAGGTCATCATTAGATAAGTAGGTATGTATCCAACGCCGACTTATTCATAGTATACAAAAGTTTGCTCAGAAAGGTCCTGCTGCGCCAAAATCAGTTCCTGTCCCGGCAACCCATAAGTCCTGATAATTGCTCGTTGCCCAGATCTTAGGATTCCCCGGGTTGGGTCTCGCGTGCTGCCTAGTCGTGCGCAGGAATTTCATCTTGTCGATGGAGATGGGCCCCCCTTTCACAAAGACATTCCTGAGCCACTTGATGCCATCGTCATCCATACCATACCTGGCTTCGAACTGGGGGCGTGCAGCATTCCACCACCGTTCGGCTTCGGCCTCAATGCTACCCAAGTGGTCGTCAATCCAGTAGCAGTACAGGTCACGCAGGCCGGCCGCAGGTTGCCCGGTGGCTCGCTGGGGCCTGCCCGGTTCGTCTGCCTCACTTCCCCATGTGTAAAGCTCGTCGAATTCGTGTAGTCTTTGCTCCATGAACTGCGAGGACGCCACAAACTTCGGCCAAATCCAGCTACTACGCATGTATGAGAAGACAGCTGCCGTGTGGCGATGTTTCTGCCTAGTTTTGAGGTTAGTATCGTCATTGGTCGAGGCTGGCATGTTGCCGTGAAAGAAGACCTCTTTGCGCCCGTTAATGCCGGCCCAGGTGAGTGCAAGTCCGCCTGGGTTGTGGTCACCACCCAGACCGTGCGTCATCTCGAAAAAGAGCGAGTTCTCAGTCCATTGACTATGTCTAAGTGCTGACCTCTGCCCACCGAGGCCACCAATGACGATATCGTTCACCCAGTCTTCTCCCGCGTTGGTGTAACCGGCGGGCATCGTACCATGGATCAACCACATCCAAAAAATTCCAAGAAGCTGAACTTCATAAATATGCTCGGCTGTGCACAGGTTTTAGTCTCTGAGCAAAAACGTGACCAGAAGAATAGTGACAACTTACTAACGTACTTAGACGGGTCTGTCTCGTCTATGTCAAGCTTCTCAATGGTTAACCCACATGTTTTGTCGCTACCCCTGAAGCCAAACCATTTATTGACTCCAGGTTGCTTGTGGGCAAGTCCACAGCGCTTATACGTGCCGCATGGAAGACCTATTGGCGGTCCCCCATGATAGGGCCATGACACCTCCTTGATTGTGCGTTTCTCGAGCCAGTGAGCCTCTCCCTCGGATTCAGCGATAGACAATGTCTTGTTGCCTAGAAACAGGAATTCGTTCTCTGAGTCGCGCTTATTCGATAAAGTCGCCTCGCATCTTTCACCTTTGGCTTCGGGGTCAAACCAACATGCTTCAGCCCGCTTGGTAAGTCCGGCTTCATCCTCGTCCTCGCATAGTGGACAGCTTGGGATCTCGCCAACATCAATTTCACCAGGACAGGCGAGGCCATCTATACGCGAAACGAGTGGGCCATATGACTTTGCTCTCTTATCTATGACATTATGCGGGCTTGAGCCGTCCTCAATTAGAGCGAGATCGGGCCCAGATCGAGCAGAGATTGGTATCGTGGCATTCGAATCAAGGAACTGTAACTTGGCATCTCGCTTTGTGAATAAATCTATACAAGATTGTTCGTTTTTGGTAGGGTAAATTTGCACATCGTCTACTCTGGTGATGGGGAACGGGGACTGGGGAAGTGCCCACTTGAAGGCATCCGGAGCATCAAGAGTCGCGTATAGGTCGGCACCAGCGTCAACCCCATAGCAGAAGGACGACTCGCTGCCAACTTTCAGCTCGGCGTGGAAGGTGACATGTCCATCGGCTACGAGATTGACGGCACAGCTGTCTAACTTAATGAAATCCTCGTTGAAATCAATGCCGAAGGTGATGGTCGGCTTAATGTGGGCGGTGAGATGACCGTCGAGGGATAATCCATAGTCAAACTTGGGATCAAGAACACTCTGAGTACCGTCTTTCTTTGGACTCTTGGAAGCCTCGGGGTCCCACTCGTCATTCGCAACAGGGTATGTTTGGCGTACGTCCCACTCAGCCAGTTTGACGCGACTTTCAAAGTTCACACCCAAGGTTGCTTGGCCTTCAAGTCTTCCGAAGAGTTTGAAATTGGGGCCGATGGTGACAATTCCGGGAACCGAGAATGCAGCACCGAATTTATCGGCCGAGAACATGAGAACATCTCCCGTATCAAAGAAGGCCGTAACGGCTGCGTCGATGATGAATTTAGCATTGGCCTCCCCTTTGGTTCGGAAGTATAGGTAGGAGTTGCTAAGATCTATAGGACTTCCCAGCGTGGCGATAAGGGTGAAGCCGTAGTTGACATCAATATCGATGTGTGTCTCAGCACGAACATCCAGCTTGGCGGCAAAATTTGGACAACTCAATCTCTGATCTATGATTTTGAGAATGAAGTCTTCGCTGTATGTATGACTGACATCGAGTCCACCTTGTACGCCATTGATGAGTCCCTTTAGCCAATCGACGATGTCGCTTCCGAACCATCTCTTGTGTAGCTCCTCCTGAGAAAGACCTCCAAAGTGGACGTCGTCGCGCCATTCTTCTTCTAGCCAACGGCGGTGGCTGCCTCCGAATTCTTCCAGGCTGCGTTTTCTGGATTTCTTGTGCGAGGCAGCTTTGTCGACAACGCGTTCCCAATATTTTTGCTCGTTGCTGAAATCAATCCTCATCTGGGTGTTGCCGAGGTCGCGGGGCACTCGCCTAAAGTCATAGTCAAATGTCAAATCGTAAATGGTGTTGACCACCTCAACACCACGTTTGACTAAATGATCAGGCAGCTTCGTATTCACGCTGGGTTTCATCTCTTTGACTACGGCATACTTCCCGGGACCGCAGCCCTCTGGCATCTCGACTATGGTTCCGGGGGCGCCGTGGCCAAGATGGATCTTGTTGCAGTTGGACGTTTCACTCAGGTCCGTACACATCATTCTCACTGTGTGCTCTCCCTCCGTAATGGCATCAAAGCAATCAAAGACCTCCCAATGTGAGCCATCACGCTTGTCCAAGGACACCTGTAACTCGTCTGGACTGGTAAGGACGACGAACCCAAAAGGCGCGTTCTTCGGATCCTCCGTGAATGGGATATTGTTGGTTCCACCATACGTTGGATCTACTTTGAGGGAGAAGTCGGTATCGGCTTCTTCCTCGGGTGGCGGGTTTTTGAAAAGGTAGTCAAGCGGAACGGGTAAGAACGGAGATTTCCCGTCGGGCGGATCGCAGCAGAATGTTCTCTTGCGGTCCTTAGAGCCGCAGTTTTCACCTTCGCCCTCATAGTCTGTGCTGAGAGCTACTTGCCAGCCCGTTTCGCAATGGTTATCGAAGCAATTGCCCGGCTTTCCATGCCAGGCACAGTTTTTCCAGCTCTCTTCCTTGCTGCAACAGAACTTCTTCTTCTTCTTCTTGCTGCAACCGCCGTATTTCCATGTCAGCTCGTTCTCGGTGTCAGCATCGCAGCTCCCGTCACAATCTGTCCAACGACAATCAGGAACCTGACCTTCGGCTTCACAGCAATAGAACTTGCGTCCATCCAGGCACTTCCCATAGTCGCCATACAGAGAGGACTGAAGGGCTACCTCGCCGGGATGACATTGGCCGTTACACCATGGGTACCCTCCCCTATAGTGACTAAAAGAGAGCAACGCAGTTAGTACAAAGGCATCAATCTGAGTTGGGATGTGGCGTTCAAAGCTCACCATTTGTCAGGGTCTGGCGCCGAAGCAAATGGACAGCACAGCGTGTGTACTTTATATTCTCCAGTCCAGAAGTTCTCGTCACTACACTGCGTAGTCTTGACTGGGATTTCACCAGTCTTACAACCAGTCGTCCCACAATCGGTAACACGACAATGGCCTTCACCGGCTTGTTCCCAAGTATTGGCCATCGACTCATCGGCTGCTATATTACCGAGTTTTTCGGGGTATATGACAGCTTCAAGAGCGTCAAGCTGTCTCGTGTCCAGGTCAATAGCCCAAATCAACAGACCGCCGAGGCCAACACCATTAGCGAACGAGATCTTTTGCTGGATCGTGTCGAAATCATCAAAAGATACCCACTACAAATAGAAAGAGTTAGTAATCTTGAGAGGAAGTCTAGAGGACTCAAAGTAAGTCACAACACGCATACCTGATCGCCACCCCATGTGATCCACTTCACGGCGTGTTCTTCATCATAGTAGGGTGTCAAGTTGTGTTCATCTATGATGTCCATAATCTCCGCATACGACAAGGTACCCGAGTTGTCAGTACATGGCCCAGGCGCAGCACCGCCTTTGAAACTACACCCAGGCTGGTAACATGAAGGATCCGAGAGCTGAAATGACCGACCATAGAAGCCTAGCCCCAAGTTCACCTTGCCGGCCTTCACCTCGTTACGCCATAATAGATTCAGGGCGTTCTCTATCTCAGTGAGATTGGTATGAGCCAAGACCTGGGCACCAATGGGATTGTTAGCATCCCAGATTCCGTGCAAGTCGTAAGCCATGAGGTTGACAAAGTCTGCGGCCTCGGAACTCCCCTTGATATCAAAATGCCGTAGATACCAATAACTAGTGGGTGCCGTAAAAGACACCTCGTATTTGCCTGAAAATGCGTCGCGCATTTCCTCGAGGAGCTTGGTGAAGTTCTCGCCGTCATTTTTGTGGCCGCCACGGTCTGACGCACCGGGGTATTCCCAATCAAGGTCTACACCGTCAAAGCCAAAGCGCTTCATGAACTTCGTAAGCTGGTCTATGAAGCGACTGCGCTTTTCCTTTGATGAGGACAAGTCACTAAAGACTGGTTGCCAGATGGTGCCGTTATCGTTGAACGTCCAACCACCCAGAGCGATGGTCACTTTGACTGCCGGGTTTCTCCTCTTGAGACTGGCAAATTCTTTCAAAGTGTCTTCACTGAGAGTTTGGTCTCCGCCATCTTGAATAGGGATGATATCGTACGTATCTGGGCGGATGTAACCGAACGAATAGAAAATGTGTGTCAAGCTGCCAACCGGGATGTCCTGCATGCTCATACCAATACATTTCTTCTTGTAGTTCCATGCCTCGTAGTAGCCGATGACGCGCTTCTGGACATTGCCTCCAGAAGCACCGCTACCAGGCTGGTCGCAGTTGCTTTGACAGCTGGTCTCGTCGTCATCAGTCTTCTCGCAGAATTCCTGCGTCGTGCCACAGAAACCGTGCTGGCTGCAGCATACATTGAGCGGGCATGTTTTCTTTGGAGGGTCTGAATAGCGACCGCATTCAGCATGAGCATCACAATTGCTCCAGCAATCATCGTTCGGAGACGTGCCGGTGGTACCGCAGTACTTCGGTCCGTAGCCACAGAAGCCACCTTTGCCGCAACAGGCACCGTTACTACACGGCTTGTTTTCGCCGCAGGCGTAGGGGTCTTCTGCCTGGCGGGCTGCGAGGCTTGATCCTAACATAGGATTGGGGGTTATCCCTGAGAACGCCAGGTATTCATCTGTCTGACAGATGCCATCGCTGGGTCGGATCTTCGCAACGACATCTTCCTGTCGACTGAATAAGGTAGGAATCGGGACACAGATAGGCTGTTGTCCGATATCACGAGCATCAGGCAGCTGCTTGTGCTCCAAATCTAAGGGGAAAGCAAGAGTCGTGATAGGTAGTAAAGTGTACAGGAGTAATAAGGAGCTTATGAACATCATCGTGGCAAGAAGTCACGACCCAGTTGTTCCCTGAACATGGAACAACTTGAGGCTCTGTGGCTACCGACTTCAGTTCTTGTAAGGAGCACTGTTGATCATAGAGACTGGCGTCGTGAGATAATTGTAGGTCGACGCCTTATACATCAGATCCAAGGGGACTTTCGTGTGAGATCACGAGCCTCGAGTCTATACAACGCCATCATCGCCAGCCAAGGGGTGATATCAGCAGTCCTACACCCTGCCGAGGATGCAAATTTCCACAACATCGTTCTAGACATTGCTTGAGGATGAGTGGTAAACTTGGCGAGCTATATTTGGAGGCATAGGAAACTACGCGACGACTCTTGATCATGCGCATATGGTAGCCGACACAATGAAAACTCGCGATGGTAACCTCACCAGAGCTTATGAATGCTGTTCAGCTGGCGACACTAACGCAATCTCACACGGCGTATCACGCATCCCCTGGGGCTAGTGTAGGCCACGAGGATCTAGCGGGATCGGAACTTCGCGACTGTCGATGATTGGTTTCCAACAGCGAGGATGAGCGGCGATGCGCGATGATACCACAAACAACCCTATATGTAGACAGGGGAAAGAGACAAGATCTACCGTCAATGCATTGGTGGCATGCAGGTACGGCGCAGATACGGCGTAAAGGCGGGGAAATGGGTCAGGGGGCGATATCGAGCAACACCGGGCCCTGTACTAGATGCTTAGATGGTCAGCCCTATAAGGCTGGGCACGTTCTGTTAGCGAGCGACCTGAACGACCCAAAACATACCAACACGCAAGTAAGCTGACTGATGGCGCGCTTGTGCTTAATGTGCTTGATGTGCTCAAGCGCCAAGCGCCAAGCTGTTGACCCGAGCACTTGTGAAATCCAAAACCATGGGTCACAGGGCTCTTGTGAGATTTTAATGAGCTAAGAGGCAATCGGGAGTGGCATGTGGTCGTATGAGCGGAAATTGGACAATGAAAAAGAAAGATAACGGGCTCAGCGCCAAGCGAATGGAATTAGAGTCAAAAGGACTCGGCCAATGGTGATGTCTAAGCATTGATGGTGCCGTTTGGATGCCTAGGGATCAAAAGTCCAGAGTCCGTCGTGTCCCAATGACATATTCAAGATGCCCGGCTGTCCCCTAGACTATCAATCAACTGGGACTTGTGTTCTCTCTGTGCGGTCTCTATTTTGTGTGACGTGATATACGTCTCGCCTTCGAGCTTCTATCGCGGCTATGTCTTCGAACTCGTTCAAAGCGGCCATCCTGCGACTGGTAGTTGCGGCTCACATACGAGATGCTCTTGGTTACCAGTTCATCAGACAAGATACCCTTCCATCTGAAAACCTATCTGACAAGTGTGTCGGTGCTCTCACAACCGACCTCACATCTTGCCCGCAGCAGGTCAGTGCCTTTTTCACAGGAGACTGGTTTGAGTCAGATTCACTGGAAGAAGCCTGCACTTCGGCGTGCGCAGTCGACCTAAGCCAGTATGTTGTCAAAGCTGGTAGTGCCTGTGGCCCAGAGGACACATACGAAATTTCCAGTGTGAATAAAGCTCCGGTCTCCTTTATACCAACCCTGTTGCAATACCATTTCAACAAGACATGCATCCAGGATGAGGGTCGCTGGTGCCATGTTGTTGCGCATGAGATGTCTATCGGAATGGCTGAGTCTACGCCTATGATGAGGACCAACATGAGCACCATTGTCAGTAAGTGCCAAGTTTGCTCTCCAGACATCTCAGCTAGCAAGACTAACGATGTAGGACGGCAATCTTCGCCCGACATGTGCGACAACTGTGTCATCAAGGCCTATCAATTCCAAGCGGGATCGCCCATCAATGGTGGTTACGCTCTTCAATCGAATTACAGCAGTTTGACTGAGAGCTGCTCCAAGACTAGCTTTCCTCTAGAAAGCTCGACCACGCTGTTTCCCGAGTGCGTACCTAGTACCCCTTATGTGAATGAGCACCATGGAGACTGAAACTACCCACTAGGCCTACGATTACCGATACACCTGCCGAGTGTACCGGTTCGACCTACAGCCTCAAGTCTGGCGACACATGCCAATCGGTGTCTCGATCTCAGGGCGTCAGTACAGCCTGGTTATTAGCCGACAACGGCCTTTCAGCTTTCTGTATAGATTTCCCACAAAGTGGCGATCTGTGTATTCAGAATAAATGCGAAACGTATACTGTTCGGGCCAATGATACTTGTGTGTCTATTGCCAAGGCTCATAGTATCAGTCAAGTTCAGCTATACACTTGTGAGATATAACCACGTCTTCACGCAGAGTATAGGGCTGAAAGGTGCTAACTCACGCTCATTCATTCCAGGGAACCCTGTTTTGGATACGCTGTGCAGGAGTATCGACAAGTCCGTTGGTGACTCGATCTGCGTCACCCCACCAGGCGACGACGAGTACAATCCAGCACCGGCACCAACTACTTCAACGCCCGCCCCAAGTGCCACAGCAGCGCCAGTGCCAGATGATATCGCCCAGGGCACTACGAAGAACTGCTCCAATTACTACCAGGTCCAACCAGATGAGTACTGTAATTTGCTCATCGTAAAGTTTAGCATTAGCCTCGAAGATTTCCTATTCCTCAACCAGGGCGTCAACGCGAACTGCACCAACTTGTTTGCCTTCGAGAGCTACTGTGTCGCACCTTTAGGCCCCATTAACCAGTATCCAGGCCACCCAGATTACATCCCTCCTGGGTCGACTATCTCAGACATGCCGTATAGTAACCTCCCCAAGGCCACCTTCACTGCACCCGCTATAACAGGTCTGCCGACGGCTGCTCCTCTTGCCAAGGGAACACGAACAGACTGTTTTATCTACATCAACGGGGAGGACTTGACTGTTGATATGTATTATTGGCCGAATCACTCGGCGTGTGAGGTTCTTGCCGGCGGATGGGGCATTAAGCTCGAGCAACTCGCGAATTGGTAAGAATGACACTCAAGTTCATGACTGCTTGTCTCAGCAATAAAAAGCTCACATATTGATTAGGAATCCTTCGCTCATGACTAACTCGAGTGACTGTGCCCCAGACGTCAATTTTCGATATTGTATGGCGGCATACGATTCTGCAACAATAACGGCAATTCCATTGCCGCAAGAGACAGAGGAATCTGGATATCCCATCAGAGTAGGTTATCTATCAATATACCCTGTATCCGGAAAGGTTGCGTGAGGACTTGCTGACAACCATCAAGGAGGGCGCCACAAAAGACTGTGTCGAGTACGAAGCCATAGTTGCACCAATGACATGCGAGACGTTCCTCAAGAGAAACCACATTACCATCGCCCAGTTCTACAAATGGTATGTAGGAACTCGTAACCATTTGTCGTATGCCTCGGTGTGTTCTGACATACTTCTACTCCAGGAATCCGGCAGTCGGTGAAGATTGCAGAAATCTCTGGCTAGGTAAGATAAGGCATCCCCTGCCCTCTGCCACATCGTCGATAGCTGATGTCCGGATTTCATGATCCAGATTACCGGTACTGCGTTAGCATCGACGAGGTACCGGCTGGGGGCGAGCCATCCACATCGGCAGAGCCGACATCAACCTCGTCGCCTTCGCCTACCTCGACGAACCCAGGACCGCCTGGGCCGACATTCCCGGGAAGCCCAGAAAACTGTAACAAGTGGCATGTTGTGGACAGTGAGTACCAAAGATTCCTAGCAACTCAGAATTCTAGACTCCAAATCTGGAACGTGCCCTCGGCGCATGTAGTCGCCGTTTTCGCTAACCTCGTGGTGTTCATCTACAGAGGGCGACGGCTGTGATACAGTACCGAAACAATACGGTATCACCCTGGAGCAGTTCTTGAAGTGGTAAGTCCTCAGCACCCACAAATTCGCGGCTCGTTCGAGAAGGGCGCAATACTGACATAGGGAGCGCAGGAACCCGGCCGTCATGGACGATTGCAGGACGAATTTCTGGCTTGGCAATGCCTATTGTGTTGGGGTATCATCCTGAGTTGAGTCACAGGTATCAATGACCTTGGCGAGCTGTAAACTTCGTTTGTAGGATAGCGCATGAGGCAGTTTATGCGAACACATTAACCGATTTGAATTGATACGATTCTTGCATTCCTAGTTTTGTTGACGGATGAACGGGTGGATTTTTGCTGCATCAGCAGGAGAAAAGTGAGCGCACCATGATGTGAGGGAACGGGTAGGTAGGTAGGTAGGCGAGTACCTAGGTACCGTAGCATAGGTACGTACCGGAGTAGAGCACTGTAGAGATATTTTTAGTGCCCCCAGTGGGGGGCCCTTAGGCCAGTGGTTTAGCGGGGCACTCAGGCCGACAGCTACCTATACTTGGCACCTGGGCGCAGGTAGGTACCTACTTAAGTACGGTACTTTAGATGAGATGCCCCCAATCCTATCCAACCACCGCACTCTTCCATTTATATTTCTTATATAATCCCTTCAAAGGGATGGGAATCATCTATCGAATAGTCAAGGTTAGAGGAACATATTATTTGTTTTCCAAAATCTAGAGGCCGAGCAACAGATTTCAGCATGGCGGGACCCACGCGAGGCGGATCAGGGTTGATGGGTCGGATTTATATGATCAAGACCCATGTCATCCCCTATGAAGACCACAAGAACTCTCGAGCACTGATGGTTTTTCAAGGCAGGGAAAGCTGTCCACTCCCGCCTCTCTACAGTGTCGCTATTTACTTCACTCACCCCAACGCGTCGCCTGAAACTGTAAGCCCTGAGGAGTTGCTAGATGCCATACAGCGCGACACCCCTCTCGAATCACGTCGCATTCGACTGGATCTATTCTTCTTACCCTCAGCTACAAGCACTGAGCAAGAACGATGTATTACACACTACCGAGCTGAGAAACTCGCTCGAGGAGACTACACGCGGCAAATCCCAGATCTTGAGAATCCAGAAGAAATAGTACGGAGCGGCGAAGGCTTGGGCCTGCCCGGATTCGTACCAAGTTACATGAATGATCCTAGCTGCGACTTTTATCATGGACTCCTCTACATATGTCGGGACCGAAATTGGCGCCAGGGTAGCCAGATGATGGATCAAGTCCTCTTTGACCCCATAGACCAGGAGCGATATGCCGAGCTGGTTGAGGGGTTGGACGAACCGGAGACTCTGGCTCCTTCCTATAGATGCCAGCAAATGATTCAGAGAAGCAAGGGGGATGATTCCCTTACACGGCTAGATTTGGTTGGTTTGAGTATTTTCGAAATAGCAAACCTAAAGATGGAGAATGTGACAACACCAGCGTGGGAGGAAGCTGTATCACGGGGTTGGAATTCTTGGTAAATAGACACAGGACGTAGTAATAGTTTTCATGAAGGCAATTGAAAAGGCTTAGGAACACGAAAAAAAGGAAACGTTCATAAATGAGGTTACTCTAGCCGCTTCAACTACTGTTATCGTGGTCTCTATATATTGCATTCTCCCATGATGATACGTCATACGTGAACTAGTTTCGCGACAGGTATTGACCCTCGGTAAATTCGCGTCCGTTACGGACCGTCTCGAAAGTTGTTGGAAATGGCTCTCCATCTGAACTACACCCCCGAAGAGCTCATTTCTTGTAAACGCGCATAATTTTGATGTCGTTACTTGATAGATCGGCTGTCGGAACGCTGTGAAGCAGATCTCAGTCTTCGCTTTATAGGCGGCGAATATGATTCCTCTTCACTATCCTCTTCACTATCCTCTTCACTATCATACTGAATCCCTGCTGCATAATGATTGGCAGGCACCTTCAATTCATCATTAGTTGTTTCAATCCGGATATAAATTTTTGATTAGCTCACCGTTGGTTGCGGTATTGGCACTCCGTGAAATGAGAAGTTTGCTACGTCTTCGTTCTGCTGTTGTTTTTGGGATTCGGCGTATTCATAGTGCTTCCTCTTGTTTCTAGCCGTCCGAGCCCGGGGCGGCGCTACTCGTTTGCGCTTCTCTGCCTTTATATCGTTCAGTTCGGATTGGTCCTCTGGCTGCTGTGGAGCGTGTATGAGCTCCTCCTCATTGAGCTTCCGGTACTTCCAGTCTAGCTTGTTGTGGTTACCTGCAAGAATGTGTGCGAACCAGAGGGCTAGGTTCACAGTCAATTCTTTATAATCATGATGGTAATTGTCACAGCCATTCGCCCATGGAATTGAAACAAATTCCATTAAACCATCTTCCTTCACCCTTTCGAGAAGCTGATCCAAACTTGAGGGATCATAATCGATAGACACTGAACGCCGTTAGAGACAAGAGTATGACAGAACATGCAGGGAATAGCCTTACTTCTATGGTTTCCTCGAGGCCTGATTCTGAAAATGAAGGCCTCTGATGTCGTAAGTATGCAACCGTACCGGCATCCATAGTCAATGCAGTAGGTATAGGCTTGACGGATTGGCGCAATGTTATTGTCAACGAGAAGCTCGATTTCTTGAAGCCATTCTCCTGTGTCCTTATGCGTGAATTTACCTTCACGCAACTTCTTGCTATTCCAGTTAGCAGCTGGCTTGTACTCCTTTGGGAATCTTTCTTGCGGCTTCTTTAGTAACACTTCCCCCAGTGACACAGAACCTCCATCTGGCTGTCTAGATCGTTTGGATCTCTCTCTAATGCTCTTTTGAGCCTTCTTGGCCTTTTCTGCCCGCAGACTGCTTGATAGGGTTTTCCCTGTCTTCTCCCGCCACAGACACGGATGCAAGACATCCTGGACGGCCCTGAGCGAGGCAAGCACAATTGTGTGGTTCCATTTATTGAACAGACTACGCGTGGCAGGTTCCCCTTTCCCTATTCTTAGATCAACTTCAGCGTCCAAATGCGGGTAATGTGGAAGATTGCGCCGCTTTTTCTGCACTTCTTCCATAAGCTTGCCTCCATATATGGTCTCTATTAATGTGTAGTCAAACTCATCCCACTGTTTGACTGCCTTGGGGCAGTAATAATCAAGTCGCGATCCGTTTCGTCCGCCCATTCCATCGACAGGCGTAATCAAGGGGTTTTTTGCCGTCAGGAATTCCAATACGGACTGCGCTCTTCTTCGATTCTCCATGGTAGAACCCGGTTGATGATTAGAGTAAAAGAGGGCGGTAATGGAGTTTTCGGGGGAACCTAGAGTACCCCTCACATGGACCAAGTCTTAAGCGATTTGTTTGCCTCCTACATGGCTGGCTGATAGGGTTTCTGCGCATTTCAAATCCCGAAGATATGCACGCCCTTACTTCGTGACACGTTCTGGGCAAATCAGGCACGTAGGCTTTGCTTATTTCACGAATCTATTGGTCTATGAACATACGTGGTGACATCAATTTAATGACACACTGATCTGTCAGATGACCTACTTTCGGAAGATAAGAATGTGCAATTCCTCCTCATATATGCAGTTTGGAGTTTCGCCTTACGATCTTCCACAGTCAATGGAGTCATAACTAGAATTTCTAGTTGTTACTACGCAGATCAAGCATGCCCAGACGCCGAGGCTTGACTTCTCGCGCTGACCCTCCCCCGCTTCCCCCTGGCGGGGGCCCACAGCTCAATCCATTCAATCGGGATCCCAGCGACACAATCAAATGGATCCGAAGACTTGATGTGGACCGTGAAGAAAACGACGGATACGTTTTTCACGTGGCAATTGGATCTAAAGAGTATGCCTTGAAAATTGTAAGTGAGAATTGAACAATAATAGAAGATTCCCTTCAGTAACACGTGTATTAGTTCAAATTTAGCCACCCCTTACTCAATCGTTTCTATCGGGACTTGTGCCTACAGAGCCCATTACCCTTGAAAGAGGGAATTTGGTATACAGATCCGTTTTATGCAGAATGTCGCGCTTACGGGAGGATACAAGAAGGATTTGAGTCACGTCTGGTCACAGAGCAGACGGCAGTGAAGTGCTACGGATACTTGCTGTTGGACGAGGATGACTCTCGCTGGTTGAAAAAAGAAGGCATTGATCTGGACCAACATCTGCTAGACCCTGAGCTGTGCGAAGCTCTTGGCGGAGATACTAGAGTTCGAGCAATCGTCAAGGAATTTGAAAAAAGCCCCTTCAAGATTCATGCTAGGAATATCAGAAGAGCTTGGAGAAGTGTATGCCTACTCAACAACTGTTTGGAGCTCTATAACATGGATATCAAGGCAGAAAATTTCATTGGCTATAGACTAGTGGACTTTGGTTCATCTTGGACCGAGCCACACAAACTTCTAGATTTCCTAGAAGGAAAGAGGGAGAATACGGCTAAAGCCTTTAGGTTGAAGGATACAGTCAACTTCAAGAATATGATTGAAGAAGAAAATATTCAGACGCGGCTCAAGGTCTTAGCAAAGTCGGAACATCAATTACGAAGCAAAGGAAAGCCAGAGTGGGCAGATCGTGAACTGCCTAAGCGACGGAGAATTGCTTCTACATGAGGTCGTTAATGTATTGTGGCTTTATTTTCCTGATTTCACATACACATTGTACCAGATGAACTCATTCTAGTTCATTTCTATACAAGTCTACACATCCGTGATATGGCCATTCAAACCACATCGCGCTTACCTGTAATATCAGTCCAATCTGTCTGGGTCTGGAGCATCTCCTGGATAGGCATCGCGCACTACTTAGCTAGACTGATTATGCCCCCATTGCCCTTCGGAGCAGGTTCTTTCTAGTCATCAGCCCCGGACTATACACCTTCTCAGATATCGGCCAGGCTGCTATTGATCAATGGCAATTCTCTCACATCATCGGGTTTCCTACCAATACCTGCCGCCGGGTACATTTTCCTGACTGTTGTTGCAAATCCCGAAGCAAAATCTGTCACGGAGGTGTGAAGTCAATGGAATGGAACTAGCATTACCTTTAGAAGCGATTATTTGAAGTCTTTTTAGATAATCTAAAGTCTAAGTTCTATCCTGTAAGTGTACCCTGGGAGATCTCTTTATTAACAGACGATCTCTGTTGGAATTATGTCTCAGGCATGTACAAGTCGGCGGTTGAGTACAGCGACCCAAACGCACCTGTCTATATTAACGGAGATACCTTCCTACACTACTGTACCTAGACTGTTCCTTAAGGCAATATACTATACCGTATACCACTCATAACCTAGTATTTCAACAATCTCCGTAATAAGGTTACACCGCTCCGTATCTACTTCTCGGTGATAAAATCGATAACTTGTACAATGCTTAAGGTTAACCTGAGCATAAGGGTTGGGTCTACCCTAATGTTGTCAATGAGAACTGACTTGGTTTTTGCGGCGGCGTTATTACACAAATGGAGGTTGTGCCTATCGTAGCACCATTTAGAGCCCCATCGACTAATGTACAGACCTCGGTCGCGAATCAAACGTTTTATAAAGCAGTCCGAGGCGCCGTAATGGAAAAGAGCTTGACCATAAATCAAGGTTTGCTTTGTGGGTTCAAATTATTAGGGCTTGATAACATATAATTATCAATTGTATTAACACAATGCATTAGAAGGTATATCGGATCCATAAATCGTTTCTACAAGGTACGCCAATGACTCACACAACTTCTAGCTAGGAAAGGATCGGTAACTTATCCCTAATAGCTTCAATGATTGTTATTTCCTTTTCCTTGACATATTTCCTCTCTTCATCCATTTTCTCCGCACTCACAATGGCCTCCATTTTGGAGAGCCCGTTGGACTTGAAGAAGATCCAAGGAGCAATATAGAGCAAGTCTCCTCGATTCTCAGACATATGATTTTCAAAAACCTCTCTCATCCGAGCTGTTCTTTTCAAGTAGGTATACTGCGCCGGGCTCAGGGTGCTCTGTGTGTTCTCGGAATGATAGTGCAGCCAGTCCAGAAGGGTCGCAGAGATAGCCGCAAGAATTGGAGTCGCGTATGATGTCCCTGAGCGGCATTCCGCCTTGCCCTGCCAGTTTAATTTAATTCCGAGTCCCAGTGTACCATAATTCGATTTTGCCTCGGTCGCGGGGTTGATGGAGTCCAACCCTCCCAATCCATCGAGTGCGTGGACACATATGACGCGGTCGTCTCTCGCGGGGTAGGTTCGCGGGTCGTTGAGCCCGTAGTTAGATGCCGAAGCAAAGATAATGGCCTTGTCTTTGCAGTCTACGATGGCAGTTTCCAGAGCGGCGATGTGCTCGCGTGATCCAAACGACATGCTAATGATGTCCACTTCTTCCTTGAGGGCCCAGTTGAAAGCATCGACGACTTTAGTTGTATCGCTGAAATTCATACCTTTAGAAACCTTGGCAATGTAGAGATCAGCATCTGGCGCGTATTTCAGCAGAAGATAGGCTAGCCACGTCCCATGGCCAACTTCATCAATGGCGTCGTCTTTGTGCGGCCAATAGCCTTTAATTGGGTTTGTTTCTGGAGAACCACAAAATCCCTGATTTTCTCTTATCTCCGCGACCTTGGAGAGTGTTTCATCTAACCACTTGTCCTCCTCGTCGATACCTGTATCTAGCACTGCAATTCTCATCCTCCTCCGCCCCCCTCGGCGGTCAATCATCTTAGGCATAATGAAGTGTTTCCTGAAGGTGGAAAAGTTATCAAAGAATATATTGGCGCGGGCTTCGGCTAAGCTAAACAGATGAGAATTAGTGACTGTTGCGACTACTTTCATCAAAACGCGCAAACGTACGCACTAGCTGTTGGTGGGATGAGGTCATCAAAACAAAATATACTGCCCGATATAGAGCCATCTCTGTGACATGCAATAGCTGGTAGCTGCACAGCACTTGTCGTTGGCCCAGGGATATCGAAAGGCCCATATCTGTGTTTCTTAATTGTAGACTGCGACTTTCTGTAGTTGATTTCAAGGGGCCGAACCACATTCTGGAATATACTCTTCCTCAAGCTATTGAAAGAAATCTCTGAACTAGCTGCTCGCCTTGACCTTGAAGTAGCTTTTGATCGAGGTTGAGGGAGGGTGCCGGATTTAGATGGGGGTTTAGTGAGCTCAATGCATCCTCTTATGGCCTCCGCGCATCCTTTATTACCCTGTGTCTCGATGTACTGTGCTCTGTTTAATAACTGGATCTCGAATGATTCACCTTGCCTCGGCACAAAGAGTGAACCCGTCTCAATTTCGACTAGAAGCTGAGCGAAAGATAGCAGATGGGACCGGTACCCGACTGTGGTAATTTTGAGCTCTTTGATGGGCTTGCTGCGAAAAAGGGAGGTGGCGATGTACGGAAAATGTATGTTGAAGATCTGTGACCCCGTCCTTGTCCGCTTGTGGAGGAAGTGGATAGAGTTGGCGGTCCATTCCTGGCGCATCCACAAGCTGTAGAATAGGTGAAGCAGACAAAGCCCGATGGAGAAGGCCAGCACAGCCTTATCCTCTTTTTCAAACAGGCAACGCTCCCCGGGGAAAAGTACACCGCGTTCGAGCAGTTCGGCAAGCGATATAGTTGGATACGCATCGGGAAACGGCGACCGGGAGATACGCGGCTCTTCAGGAGTTAGAAGGAGTTTCGTGGTAAACAAGATTCTTTTGACTTCGGGAGAGTGGCTGCTGATGGCAAAATCACAGAGAAAAAATTCCTCGTCCTCATCCACTGCACTAACAAACCATATTAGCACTATAACTGGGTTCTTGAATTCGAGACAGCCAGTTTAGCCATGATAAAACCGCTTACCTCGGAACGGTAATGAACTCCCCTTCCTTCCATTCTTCGGATGGAAGCAGGTTCGGACACTTAGATATGAACATGGAAAAGCTCACATAATTGTTCGCTTCTCGACGGTTAAGGCCGCGTCCGTCTAGTTGAAGCCTTACAAGATGGCCGTCTTCGTTTGCGTTTTCACCTAGTAGATAGAAGAGGTCCGAGGAAGAATTCCAAGGCTGACGGTAGTCCCAATGGCAAGTTGTCTCCTCAGTACGAATGCTAACCCGACTGGGCAGGTTGGCGGCCGAGTTAGCGTCGGAGAAGCTTTTGTAAAGCCACATAGTCCGCTTCTTTATTTCGTCAACCTGTTCGTGGGTATGACTGATGCGGATAAACTGCTGGCATAGTAGGGATAGATGTGTTTCTTTTCCGTGTTGTTGGAATCTGATAGCCAATGCTTCAAGCTTAGGATACTGGTATACTGGACTATGTTCGTTCTCGAAGCTGCTGGCTCGCGATAACGGAGATGGTGGATCGGGATTTACACCCCGCACTGTCGTAGAGAAGGACTTGTATGGCGAAAAGTAGGAAACTACGGAAGCAGAGAGGCCAGATATTGCCGAAATAATGGATCCATGCGTTGCGTCGGTCGCAGCGTCCTGGAACGCATCGTCACTGCTAGCCTCATCGTCAAGAACCTCCTCATGCACCAGTTCTTCAAATGCATCGAGCAGACTAGCTAGGTTTGTTTTGCATGATGTGAAGCGATCCCAGCGCAAAAGGCCTAATGGCCTTATCTTTTCTATTTCCTCCAAATAGAAACTAAGAATTCGAAGTTTTTCTTCGAAGGGGACATTGTGTTTGTCGAAGGTATCATTAGCCTCATCCAAACCCCCCATGCACATATTCTTGGGGTCGCTGATGAGTGTCCATGTCTCTCGAATGCCTATGGAAAAAACAGGAAGAACGTCAATGAAGACACGCCACTCGGTTATCAATCGATCAAGGATCTGAGAATTTTGAGAGATTTGAGTCATCTCGTTACCATACTTTTCCTTCTGAATTTTGCGCGTTATGTGGGAAGTGGCAGCATTTGAGCCGAGATTGAGAGGAGTGATAGGGCCTTGATCTCACTGAATGGCGGCATGGGAACGATAGATTGGCTCGCATATCCGCCGAGGGTGGCGTCAAGCGGGGGCAAGTTACCTTGTCAGAGTAGCACACTAGCGCTGACTATCTTCCTGGTGGCATGCTGAAAAAATATTGAGATGCCTCCCAGGCTCAGTCGCAGCTAGCTCAGGTAAATTCTTTTGAAGGAGCCGGCAGCAAAGTCGGAGAAGCTAGTGATCTGAGATTATGTGACTTCTCAAAAGACAATAACACTGCGTATAGGACGCAAACTGCGAGACCGTGGAAGGGCATATTACGCAAACCCCAAGCCTTGACCTATTACTTGGTTGGCGGCTGGTGCCAAGGGTGTTCAGCTACGTAAGGGATGAAGTGCTGCCTGCATGCATTATTACCCCGCTTGACCCTTCAGAGCCTGTCATTATGCTTGTGTGGAATTGACTCATAGTGATTGTTGCAATGGGCTTCCAGGAGAGCGAGAACGAAAATGAAAATAACGGCGGCTTGCTGCATGGGACTGAGCGCTGTAACGGTCTTTTTGAAGCTCTTTTGGCCAAATTTCCTAGCCGCCAAGGGAATGAATACGAGGTCACGCTGGATTCTCACCGGCGCTTTCAAGCCTGGATACCGCGGCTCCATGAAAGCCTCACATACATGGTTGGCGATAAGGGCGTTTTGATCCGGCAACTCATCAATTCAATTGAGGCCAACCTTCATTGTAGTGAGTTAACGTTTCATGCTAGGCCTCAATAGAAAGAAATGTATTAATCATTTCCACTAATTTTTTACCTTGAAGTTCTTGAGATAAGGAGCCACAAGACAGACCAAGGCACCCGGCACGGAGCAATGGAAGTACTTGCTAATGACATTCTGAGTACCGTCTCGAACTCAGTCGCTCGGCTCGAGGACTATACCACGGCGGTAGGGCGGGAGTTTGAACAAGATGGCTATAGCCAACGCCGCGCACCTCCGATCATCTACGACTCCCTAGTTATACGGGGGCTAATCCTCAGTCGATTTCCCAGGCTGAGCGAGTCGATTCTAAGGCTGTTAGAGAGGTCAGTAGTGGCAAGAAGGGAAGCTTTGTTATCCCTCAGAAATGTAAGATCAGCACCGGGCCGAGGATTCGAGGCCGTTGAGGATCAAGACTCATCTGAGACTGAGTCTCTGTCCTCGGTGCAATCCGAATCATGGATCAATTATCCATATCCTGCTCCACCCGAAGGGGATGGTGATGCACAAACAAAGCGCTGTGATTGGTGCTACAACGAGTTGGAGGTTTCTAAGTTGAAGAACATCGCATGGTGGCGGTAAGAGCAGTAACATATCCTGTTAAGGAATACCACCAAGATCACACATCTAACGCCGTTAAGGAAACATTTTCTAGGAGATCTACAGCCCTATGTCTGCCTTGCTGGCTGTGAGCACCCGCGAATGCTTTTTTCGAAGTTCGATGAGTGGCAAGACCACATGGACTTTTTTCACGATGAGGATTGGATCAAGAATCTACAGCAACTTGATCAATCGCGCTGTGATGCCACTACTTTCTCCTCCGGGGGGCAAGAATTTGATACCTCATATGAGCTACAAACGCATAAAAATGTTGTGCAGGGAGGAGAAGCATTTTGGACCCAAGAAGACTTCATACTGAACAGAAGTGTGGAAACTTCATCTATTGGACTTGCTACTTGTCCATTGTGTCATCAGCATATTTTAATAGATGGCTCTATCAGAGGTACCATCGACGAGGGCATACAGGGGCAATCCGTGTACTCGAAAACTGATCAATATCAGGAAAGTTTCGTTGCAGATAAACCCACGACTATACCAGTGCCAATCTCCCTCGAAGGCCCAACCTCCCAAGAACTAGAGATAAGAGAAATACTTGTTAGGCATATTGCTAATGATCTCAAAGACATAGCTTTCCTATCTCTGAAAGACATCGACGGTGAGACTCTACGTGGCGGGTCTTCCAATTCTATGGATGGCCAAAAGATCTCGAACAGAATATCAGCAGAAGATAACAGTAGCAAAATGTCACTGTCCGTCCGTACTTCAGGCTCACCTAAATTAGATATCGAAATCCTAAGCAATAAAAACGTATCTGTGAGATCGGAGAGCTTGATAGGGGCAAGAGAAGCCTCAAGGCTCGATAATACTGATCATGTTTCCTGGTCTAGGTTTTCTGGTAAGTCACTTCATCCGCGAAAAACTTTGAAGCGATATTGGATTGTTAAAGAAGAAAAAAGCCTTCAAATTGCCAAATCGGAGAAAGGAGGCCCACAGACCCGAGAATGAAGTTCTCGCGGCTATCGGAGGCCATCTGACGACTCAATCATCACTAGCAGAAGGTGTATTAGACCAACGTGATGAAGACTCAGTCTCTTCGGTTGCTACATCGTCCCACTTGAGAGATGAGATAAATGACTCCCTTGTTGAGAGTGCTTTTGACAGTGGCCGACGATTTCTCCCTGAAGGTAGCCTCGACAGACTAGTCACATCTGAAAACGTCTTGGGGGTGCTGACATACTTGGGGGCTAATACGGAAGAAATTCAATCTCTCGTTGACTTTGTCCTAACCAAGGCGAGAAAAATCTTTATTGTTATAGTAAACACTGATATGATCAATGTTAGTGACGCACTTGAGAGTTGTCGACGGTCGGGCGTCACAGACCGTCACCTACCCCTCCCGCGAGAACTCATCAACTGCGGAGGGATGAAAAATCATTCAACGAGGAAAGATTGCCAACATGAGGTGGAACTGGAGGTATTCCATGAGAAGCCATGGCGTCGTTCGGCTATCTCAGCTTTTTACCATGCGCAGTGGCAGTTTCTTGCACCCTCATTCACCCCTTACCATCGTGACATGACATTGGATGTCAGAGCTATCTTACCGTTTGTCCACGTTGGCCGGGACGCCCGAGTGGGGTTCTTTAGTGAGGTTTATGAAGTTGAGTTGCATCGTGACCATCATAATGGGATTATACCAGCCGAGGACGGACATGAACTTCGCGTCGCGCTAAAAGAGCTGCGAGCGGACTCTAATAATGATGACATCCGCGACACATTTGAGCATGAGATGAGATCTTTCGAAGCACTCCGTGAGTTTCAACACAAACACTTGATTACTACGATGGCCTCGATTGTCCGAGGAGAAAGGCGGTATTTCATATTCCCTTGGGCAGATGGAGAAGACTTGCGAGCATTCTGGATGACAACAGAGTTCTGGCCCCTGACACCGCATCTAATACTGGAAACCGTGCAACAACTGGGCGGTCTAGCTAGCGCCCTATATACACTGCATCAAGGCGGGTGGAGGCACGGAGATGTGAAGCCTGAGAATATCCTAAGATTCAAAGACCGGACTACCCTGGGGATCCTCAAGCTTGGTGATCTGGGGCTCGCCAAGACACACCACCAGTCAACGGCACTTCGACAGGCCCCAACCACGACAAGGGTTGGGACCATGCGCTACGAGCCACCCGAGACTGTCGTCTCCAATAACCAGCCGAGATCACGAAAATATGACATATGGTCGATGGGTTGTGTTACCATGGAATTCGTCATTTGGTTGCTATACGGGCCAACTGGACTAAACGAGTTTAGTCGGGCTCTCTCCAAAGATAATACCATTGGAGAGGCATTTTATTCAACGAGACAAGGCGATTACCATAGATTGCAGGCTGAGGTGCACCCTGTAGTCAGTCTCTGGATGGGCGAGATATCCAAGAATCCAGATTGGCCGCGAGATTCAGCAATTGCTGACCTCGTGAGACTCGTCGAGACTCATCTGCTTGTGGTCCGCACATCATCGGCGAAGCCTCCATTGTCCATGATAGAACAGTCAAATTCAGAACAATTGACCATAACAATAGGGATGGATTCCCAACCGGATATGTCGAACGTTCGAGCGGATGCCCATTTTTTACAAAAACGATTAGAGCTAATCCTACACAAATGTCAGACAGATCCCGAATACTTGTTTCCCAGATCAGCGAGAGCAGCTCTCTATCGCCGCCCTATACCAGGTCATAAAAATACTCAAACTAGACTGCGAACAGGTCAACATATAGACATTTTGAAACCAAGTGCTCTTCACGTGCTAGCTGTACCCGAGCGCTTGCCTCTACTGTCTCGAGCGGGCGCGGCGGAAGAGTACAGTAACACACAGGGAAATACCATTGAGGTAGGTCAATGTCACCTGTAAGTTTTGGCACGAGCCGATGAGTTGACTCTGGACATTTAGGATACTTGGGAATATATCACAGACAACGATTTTGCCAGTCGGTTCTTCCAGTCTTTCGCCACTCCAACCACCCCTGGGCGAAATGCAGACCGAGTCTGTGCTTACTGCACAGAAATTGATTTCTGCGTTCCCGAATTTTCTATGAGCTACACGACAAAGTACCTTCAAGAAACTGCCCCCTATTGTTGTCTCTGCTCTCTCTTGTATAATGCCCTTACCCGTAATGATCCGAGGCAGCTGGACCTTCGTGTGATTCATTTCAAACGCTATGACTCAATAATAAAAAGCCAGACAAGCGGCTCTCCTATTCTATCCATGGTTTCAGACCCCATAAACTCAATAGCGTCTCCGACAGCACGTCTAATACCAGCTGAGATTCAAATCGGACTCCCAAATCTACATGACTTTGATAGCGCAGCCCACCGTCACCTCCTCAGGCAGTGGCTGGCAAGTTGCGACTTCGAACACCAGTGTATCTCCGGAAATAAATCAAATCGTTATTTTCCAACCCGAATCCTATTTGTAGAGGGTGATGACGCCCCCACTGTACGTCTGATCGAAACCATAACAATGGTGGCCAAGCCTAAGTCATATATCACTCTCTCGTACGTCTGGGGTTCGCGCAATGCGAAATGGAGGCTTAATAGGAGTAACTACTCACAATTCCAGTACGGCACACCCACCAGCGAGCTGCCGCCTTCGTTTCGTGATGCTGCTCTGGTTGCTCTACAAATGGGCATCCCATATCTCTGGATCGACGCCCTTTGTGTTATCCACGACGGCGACCTCGACACAGCAGCAGATGTTATGGAAAGAGACCAGGCTTTCCGAGGGTCTCACTGCACCGTCTCGCTAAGCTCCGCTGTTAGCATCAATGATGGATTTCTGAAACCGCGAAGACATAGGGAGGCGGTAAAAATGAAAAGAGAGAACGGAGGTATCTATTATGTTTGCGAACTAATCGATGAATTTAGCAAAGATGTAGAAGAGTCGCCTCTGAGTTCGAGAGGCTGGGCCTTTCAGGAGCGCATTCTGTCGCGGCGGATGATATTCTTCACGGCTAATCAGACATATTGGCAATGCGGTGAAGGCATCCGCTGCGAGACTCTGACCAAGTTGGGAAAGTAAGTCTGCAAACCTGTGATCGTGCTTTTTCGACTCTACTGATTCTGCCATGTTAGCTGGAGGTCAGCCATCCTAGGCGACCCAGACTTTCCTGCAAGGTCCCTAAAGACTTTACACCCTGTTCAGACCTACCAACAGTTCTACGAACGGTACTCGTTGCTTAGATTCAGTTTCGCTACAGACAGGTTGCTTGCCTTCCAGGGCCTGGAGAAGCGAGTCTTGCTATCTTTAAAATCCGCGGGGGGTTACGGAGTTGTCGAGCGCTTCTTCCACCGCAGCCTCCTCTGGCGCCGGGGCCCCGAACAGACACTGGAGCGAATAGAGTTCCCTGAAGAGCAACATATTCCAAGCTGGTCTTGGCAAGCATACATTGGTGGTATAACTTATCTGGAAATGCCGCCTGACACTATCGCCTGGAACAAGAACTGTTACACCCCGCGCCATGACTTCAGCGAACTCATAGCTGAAGCGTGGGACTTTGACTTCCAGGCTGCGTCTTCTGACGAATCCAACAATTTAACGGTGGTTTGGGATCAGGGCGAGCATGGTAGGAGGGAAGACCTGAAGTGCATTACTGTCGGAAGTAGCAAGGCTAGTTCCGATGAAATTGGACCACGTAGTGCAAATTATCTCCTCATTGTTGCACCTAGTGGCGACCACAACATATTCGAGCGTCTCGGAGTCGGATATATGGACGGAATAGAGCCTGTATCAAGGGACAAGTTGATGATTCGAGTTCGCTAGAAGAGGACTGTAAAAAGGAATCGATAGGCAGCTCCCTAATCGATTGATTTCAGCGGACTTTGATGCGTTTCTTCTTCCATGAAGCTTAGTTAGATCTCGTCTTCCGTATTTACAGAAAATCTGAAACAGGAGTCCGTTGATATTCTCGCTCTTTTACCCTGCCTTTGACCTAGCTTTTCATTATCGGTGTTATATGGTAGTGGCTCACTATCTGCATAAGCTGCTTTGAATCTCGGCTGTGAAATCTGCTGATATTGTAATTACTCGTTGAATAGCTTAGTCAAACTGCCGGCTATTCAACTACAATATATAGTCCTTCAAACCGAGTTTAATCAACGCTGGCATCTTGCCATGATGAGTCATAGCACAAGCGCTGGGCCATTATAACCACGTATAGAGCTATCTTAGCCGGGCCAGATTGTCCCTTGCCTAGGATACAATGCGGGAATTTAAAAGCACCCTAGAGCATAGACAGCTAAGACAGAGGCCTCCATGGCTTTATGTTCCCACCGTGGTTGGTCGCGAGATAATCATTATGCGGGGTATTGGTATTGTTGGGCTGTATTGTCGCTTAGGGCATCTTGACGCCACATTTTCAGCTGCGTGCTGCGCCTTCATTATATTCCTAAGGCAATTCTCCTACAGCAGAACTTTTATTTCTTTTATCCTCGAGCCACACAAGCAGCAATCCTATCCCTCGTCTGTGTCTCGTCCATATTTTGCCCCAATCAGTTCGAGTCGAACCCAGCCGCCATGTTTAAAACTTACGTGGTGGCCCCAAACTTTTCCATCCCCCCAGCTCCTGAAGTCCAGGGCTCTGCAGCAATCCCCCCGCAGGGCCAGCTTCAGCTTGGGGATATACTAACTAGGCCCTTCGGGGCCAAGCCAATTGCCATCAATCGCTACGATCGCACCCCGATTGATAAGGACCATCTCGAGGCCGTGGATAGGAAAGGGGACGTTCAACAGAATTCCCAAAATCTCTTCAGCGGACGTCTCGGTATCTGGGCAAGCCTACTCGCTAACCTTGGGATCGGGCTAGATGTCGACCTCAGCATCCATGGTTTAAGCAATTCCGCGGACGTGATGAAGATCAAATCTCTGGAGACACACTCATTTGACGTTAGGGATGATTATATCAAGAAGGTGCTTGCGTCACGGTCGGTAGCGGACTACATCAACGAGTTCAAGTTGTCAGCCAAGGAAGCTAAACAGATCCCTTTATACATGGTGTCTGGCTTGAAAATCGCTAAGGGTGTTTCTTCAAAATTTACCGACTTGTTGAAAGCAGGAGCTAATATTGGTTCGTCCGAATCCGCGGGCAACGCGGACTCCAAGCTACTCGAGGTGCTCTGGAAGCGGTACCGACGAGTATCTTTCGAAACGTCAACGGATTTCGTTCTTGCCTTCCAGCTGATGCATATCAGATATGATATAGCCACAGAGAAGACGAAGCAGAACGTATCGCTTGAGAAGGTGACATTGGCGGACGGTACGCCGATTCCGACCGAAATCTCGGTCAATTACGCAGGAACGGACCAGGATTTCTCAGGGGCAAGAAAGTTGTCCCAAGAGATATTCGAGAGTAGGGATGGTACTGAGCTTCTCTTGATCCCCGATCTGGAGTAGGTGTCTCAGCATGGAGACTGGAATGCACAAACTATTCCCTACCTTTTAGATTGATTTATCGATGCACAATCGTTGTGGTGTGGAGTCAGTCATTCTGGGTTATTGCTATCTCGATGTAGTGTGTTCTAGTTATGTGTCTTAGCGTATCACGCAATCATTGATATCCGCAGAGATGACAACAAGAACTACGCGTTGATAAATAAGTATCGTTCATTAACGTTCACATGGCGGTCCTGGATCACTATCACGAGCCTGAGAGTAGCTGCATTTCTGGTCTTGAGGCAAACCCCATGTCACATAGCGGGCACAACTCTGGGGAATTGAAACACTTTTCTCGCACGGTTGGCGTGATTGATGTTTGGTCATTGTCAGGGGTTGATCGCGGAGTTGATTCCGCTGCCACAAGCAATTAAACCATGAAAGTGTATTAAGCAATGCATGTTGCAAAGATAAGCATATACTGCTGCAACGGGTTTATCTGCATGCAGCTGTGGGATCGACTCCGCCACCACCATCTTCATCATGCATCCAGCTGAGGCACATTTCCAGAGGCACAACCAGTACCCAACTACCCGAGTAAAAGTTGCAGCCGCGGCATTTGGACATGCTCCTGCAATCTTTTCCCTCCAAAATCTGGTGAGAGCTGCTGCTACTACTGCGGGAATTTGTATTAGCCCCTGAGAAGAATATCTTCTATTTCCGTCTAGCTAACGACGATAAGTTCTATTTGCCATGTCTTCAATATCACCGTTACCTCAACCGCGCCAGGGTTCTTCTAAGGGTCAATTCCGAAATGGTGTTTGGTTTTGTAAGTAGAATCTTACGTTGTGTTTGGATCACATTAGTACACAAAGCTCACATCTAATGCCTAGGCGATTGCAAGCCACCGCTTCCAGCTCGACTCCGGTTCGTAATTGATGATACATACAAAAATAAAGGCAAACAATTTTATGGATGCCCCGTCAATGAAAAAGAAGGGAACAGATGCACCATGTTCGTTCTAATCGATGAGGCAAAGAGGCGACAGTGGGAGTGTTTCAAGAGCAGCGGGCGCTCAGAGAAAAGGCAGACCACAATTCTTGAGAGTTTCTCACTGTCTAAGACAAAGCTACCCCAGTGCAAAGGAGCACCTGTGATGGAAGTCGTCGATCTAGAGACTCTCGATAACGAATCAAAGGCCTTAATGTCGGCGGCTACCTTGACTTCCAATCCAGTTTCACCGGTAGGAAACCAATTCGAACCATCATCATCAGTCGAGACCTCGACCCTGAAGGAAAACACTGAAAGCCCGCATTCTGAGCTAGGAGACATCTTCGGTGCAACAGCCATTGAGGGTGAAAGCGAGAGAGCGCTGGAAAGCTGCGCTGCCATTAACAGCACCTTAAAACGAAGTTCGCTGGCTAAGACAGCTATTGACGAATGACATGGGTCTACGAGCAAGCGTAAAGCTCAGGAGGAGGATTGCGAGAGACCAGGTAACCCATTGATTACGCCACCCATAGTACGCACCACGGACACGGCGAACGGATTACCGACACCATCGCGTACCAATATGATGCCCGTAGCAAGGCTCCTCTTTCAGCATGAGAGCAACCGTACAGATGCAACAAGCACCAAGCGAAAACGTGTAGGCTCAAACGAGCCTCAAGAGTCTGAGATTTTTGGACCTAACTTGTCCATACTGCTTTCAGCGCCTGCATCACCAAACACAAGCCCAGCCAACATGTGGAGCGAGATAATGGATCTCTTTAGAGATGTGGACATGACTACTGAGACTCGCGAGGCAGTTCAGAAAGCTCTTAGCATATTTGAGGACCGGTACGCAGCGCTGCAGGCTAGGGTCAGCAGTCTCGAGAACGGACAGAGACGTGCCAAGGGGGGCTTATAGTTTTATGCTCTGTCTGATTTCGTTAATAGCTAATATGAAGCTGACCGGAGGAAAATCATCTGCATATTCTGGGTTTGATTAGGGTTCGGCAGGCCTGACTTCGGTTAATTAGTGAAAGGGGTGATCATCATAAACAAGAAATGGCCATAAATTTGCAGCGTGAGCCTCGCGCATAGATTATCACACACAAAAGCTACGAAGCTGTCGACACATATAACCAGGCCTGTAAGAAAATCTTCACCACAACACACGAGACTTATACAATGAGTACTGTAAGCATTATGCGGCCGTACAAAGCATTAGGTCGGCGTAATAGCTTTCCTATGCGAAAGCTTGAATTACATTAAAGGCTAATACACGGCTCCTATTGGCGATTTATGCGTCATAGAAACTCATCACGCAATAGAGACAATTCTAAGGCCCTCAAAGTGCCAGAGAAGCCTTAGACTATCAGCCATTGGGAAATGACGACATTGATCAACTAGGTACCGTGATGGCTAGGGAAATATGAGCAATCTAGGCAATCGGCTCTGGATCATTGGCTTCTGTGTGCTGGGCGAAAGAGATACTTAGACAGCTACGTATCCAATCGACTCCCTAACCACCTGAGGCATAGCAGTCTAAAAAAGGTAGAAGTAGGTTAAGATAGTTCTTCTCTGATGATGGGTTGTATACATTGATTCGGGTGTAGCTAAACTAAACGAGTATTCAAGCGGACAGCAGAAATTAGGAGGATTTGAATAACACGTGCTTCAGTGGTTATGTAGCCGGATAATAGTGCTCTTGGCATAGATAGAAAGGGTCAACATCCCAAGCTATTATTACAAGCAGATGGTGTTATAAAAGATGAGGTCTACGAAAAGGTTTTGCAGGAATCTTTTTTGCAAGGTATAGAAGATGTTGGACGTAGGTGGAGCTATATAATAACCGTTAGACTGCTCGAACGTCTAACGGCGTCGTTTTTAACGTTCGAGAGAAAATGAGGAGGGCTCAGCTTAAACGTTTACACTTCACTCTGACTAGTTCCATAGACCTAGCGTATGATAGCATTAAAGGAGTATAATTTTGAATTAGATATGCCCTTCTGAAGTGATTATGATACATTACTGTGTGCAGGAACACGCATTAATCAACAAAGGCAAGCTTATATACACTCATCCCGTGTCACGGACTACGCGTTATTCTGCATGCCCCAAGGTACACGAAATCATCAGGCATTTCAACCAGGCAGCTCACTGAAGGTCTGATTGCCTCCAAGTTCCTGAACGTGACTCTGCCGATATTCACTTTGCGATTGGGTTGGTGTCGTTGCAGCCAATTTTATTTCGTCGTGCCCAAGCTCGCTGCGATGTTGAGGCTCTCCGTATGTAGTTGTCCCCCGCCTTCGTTTCTGCCTCCTGAAAGCAAGCCATGCAAGTACTACTACGATGATCACCGCGGCAGCTACTCCGACGCCAATACCAGCGGCGGCGCCACTCGATAGTCCCGCTGATATCGTGGGCTGTGGCGTCGAGGATGCCATGGTTGATGTCGGTGTCGAGGATGGCGTCGAAGCCGTCGTTGGAGGCATCGTTGATGTCGACGTTGCGATCGACTCGGATGTATAAGCGAATCCGCTCGCCGGCACCTTGAAGAAGACAGGTAGGTCTTCAGGAGCATCTAATCTGAATGTCTCGTCTGTCGGATCTGCGCAGTCAAGGTTGCCGCCATTTTCATCGGAGCGGCAGCAAGCCCATAGACCTCTATCAGGTATATACGTTACGTCAGGCCTCAGTTGACCGCCTATACATGCGCGCACGCCAGCCAGTTAGATACTATTCAATCACGATATGCAGGAACACGATCGGTTAGAAATGAGACGCAGGATCCTGTGAGTAAGTAACTCACCACATATCGATCTACAGGCCTCGTCTTGAAGAGTCTCATCTGTACAAGCAGCGGCGTAGTAGCCACTCCCGCCAGCTAGCGAGTGGGTATATGAGCAGATGCCGCCGCTAAGACAACTGTCTCCCCACGCGCAGCACTGCACCGCGGGATTAGTGCTATTCACCGGCCCACATGGGAAGTAATGGGGTTCGATATCGTCGCCATAAGATGTGAGCTTGCCGCCAACGTAATTGTAGCAGTGTGCTGACATGGTAGCCAAGGGCTAGTACAAAGAGAAATGCCGAACAGAGCGGAGGTATACCATGTTACGGGTTGGAGACATGAGACGTGATTCTTATATTCTTGCCAAGCTGCCGTTAGCCGCATGTGGCCCGACTCTCGCCCCATAGAACATGCACTGTTCAGAACTGTCGGTTAGATATAGTAGATCTAAGTTCGTTCCTGGCTGGTGCTGCGGCGCAGAATGCTGGTACTGTAACGTGGTTACATCACTTCTCACGCTGCGTGAGTCCTGTGGATGAGGATGTGGCGTGCGTTGTATCCAGGGGTCAAACGCTTACAGTGTCGCACTCGGATGCTAGCGATTGCTTCACCCAACTTGTCTGAGACAAGAGTTTCGTGCTTCACAAGAGTCAGCGATGAGTGAATACATATAAGTAAGTGTATATAATTCTTCAAGAACAATGATACGTTTGGCATGAAATATCAGAATACTGATTAAGTCATAATAAGCTTAGCTGGTGAAAAGTTCCAACTATTTATATCGCAGCCCCCACATAAGTTTGACTAGGGTAAGCAAATCTCGGTACGTGTGATTCGGACAATACCGGTACCTAGCTTTCTTCAGAGGCCCCAGTGGAGTCACTACTATTATACTACATATGTATTTACATTTATGCCCTAGAGACGCATCTCTCCGTGCATACCGGCAAGCATACCTCGGCCTACTAATATTGTTCATTGGTAGGAAAGTTTTCCAAGTCCCTTATCATTATTCAGTCAAACTGTGTGATTCAGTTCATTTGCATTCATTTTAGATGTTTGCTTCTGTATCAAAAGGCGACCCGGCAACACCAGGCGACGGGGAGCAGAACATATGCGACCGCCACGCCGCCACAGTGCGCGTCCACACCCTACCAAGTATTGCATATCGACTGCAGGGTCGGAAGATCCATTTGTTGAGAATCGCTAAAGGTGAGAGGCGAGGTTGATTCGAATATGTAAGCGCCGCTCGACTTCAGCTTTCATTCAAATTCACAGATAGTAGCTTCCATTGACCAATAGCCCCAACTCGATACGTGGAATACAAGGAAGGCAGATATCAAGATTTAATAGCCAATACTACCTATGCTGGTGTAATCACATATTCTCGCCCTTTGACAGTCTGAACAGGCCCAGCATATGGGATATCATCGACCAAAATGTCGATTCCGTCGGACACCCTGAGTGTCAAATCTGATCCACTGTTCGAGGTCACAGTGGCGGTCTTGAACTTACTATTCTCCCATTGAGCATCAACTACAAAACCTCCACGAGCGGTCAGTCCTTTTAACCAACCCGTGGGAATTGCGCGTGGGAGGGCAGGGAGAATGTGGATGCCAGCGTGGCTTTGCAAAAGCATTTCAGTAACACCGCTTGTAAAACCAAAGTTGCCATCAATCTGGAAAGTTGCGCCGTGATCAGTATTCCATAATCCCTCTGTCGCAAACTTTGCAAACCAGGCCTGGACCATTTTCCAGGCATCATCACCACGTAAGAGGCGAGCGTAGAGGTTCATTGCCCAGGTGCGGCTCCAGCCCGTACTACCACTTCCACTATTAATCCGTCGATCAACTAGAACGCCTGCAGCTTTCGACAGTGTCTTATTAAAAAGCGGCGTGAACTCGTAACCAGGGAATAGTGCGTATAATGGTGAGAAGTGGCGATGAGCTCTGTCTGGTTCCTCGTACTCGAACCGCCACTCCAAAATTTGGCCCTGAGATCCAATCTGAGGCGGCCTAATTAGTGGCAAGAACACCTTCGCGTTGGAAACATCTTTATCAGTGTCGGGTATTCCCAATGCCTCTGCTGCCTCAATTAGGGCGATAGTTACGGCGCGCATGAGTTGATCGTCCATGGCTATGTTGATATCCATGGGCTCGCTGCTTCCAGCTCTGGACATGCGACTAGGCACTTTGAAGGTGTTCTCTGGTGATAATGAGGGTCCAGTGACCTGCCAGCCTTCATACTCAAACGTGTAACAGTAATAGAATGTGGCAACGTCAATCAAGTAGGGGTAAACAGTCTTTTCCAGGAAGTTTGTATCATTCGTAAATCGGTAATACTCCATCATGTGTTGAACAAGCCATGCTGCACCCATCGGCCACATACTTGAGGATCGAAAGTTGTCCGTGGGGGCAGGGTCAGCCCAGAGGTCAAGATTGTGGTGAAGAACCGTGCCGTTGCAACTGTACATATCGCGAGCCAATTTCTCACCACGGGGCTTTGCAAGTGCCATCAAGTCGTAAAGAGGCTCTTGAGTCTCTAGAAGATTGGTCGTCAATGCGGGCCAATAATTCATCTCCGTATTAATGTTGATAGTGAACTTGCCACCCCACGGTGCACTTGTTGCGTTATTCCAAACGCCCTGTAAATTGGCCGGGAAATCAACCGCGGCGGCTGTATTTCGAGAAGATCCGACGAGCATATGCCGGCCCAGATTCCAAGCTAACGTTACCAACTCAATATCGTCGCCGCTGCCACGAGCGTTACTCACTCTCTTGTTCGTAGGTAAGTTAGCTAGCTCTCTTGGGGATCGGCCTAAGTTGATAGATGCGCGCCCCAGCAGAGCTGAAGCATCTGCTACAGCTTCGTCCCGTATTAAATCAAAGCCTTTGCCAACTGCACCAGCCAGCTTGTTATTGATTAGGGTTAGGGTTAGGGTTAGGGTTAGGGTTAGGGTTAGGGTTAGGGTTAGGGTTAGGGTTAGGGTTAGGGTTAGGGTTAGGGTTAGGGTTAGG